AATCACTTACATCCCTGATAGTAACTCCGCCCCGAAGGTCCATTAGTTTCCCCGCTCCCTATCTTGCTGTTGTACAGGTAACAGATCCCAGGAAGCCGCAACTTACTCTGAATCCTCTGGGGGTCACAAAGCATCCTGTTCCGGGACAGGCTGCTCGTTGGCATGGGCGCGCAGTCCTTGGCGCCGTCAACGCTTGATGCCTTTGGCATAAGGATGTGAAAGCTATAGGTATTTGGATCCAAAGTAAAAGCCAGTGGATTTGGGAAGAACCTGAGCTCACAGAGATAAGCGAAGGTGCACAACAAGTTGGTTGGGCGCCTGCAACGACCATGAACACGTGTGATACTGTTGACGCCAAGGGTATTCGTGAGTGCAAGGGAGTTTGTGCTTGAGTTGTGAAGATAAGCAAAGCCCACTGACACAGGGTAAGGGTTTTGTTTGAACGTCTTTAACACTTTTCAATCTCTCACAATGTCAATAACCTTTCCATGAGGCCAGACTCCAGCAACGGTCTGACCTCCGTGAAACCGTCGAGCCGCACGCGCTACCAGCCTCAGGACATGGGCAACCGCAAGACTTGGCTTTCATCGACATCCTTGTAACGCATTCGGCGAGATTACTAAGAGGCCTTGGCGTGCTAAGAACGAAGGAATCTTAGGATTATATTGCTGAGAGTTGTCTGATAGTTATCGCGAACATATTCAAACCCAGCGCTAAAGGTTCCAAAGCACGGAAGGAAGACAAACGAGGGCAGACGCCCGCACCAGCAAGATTAATATCGTGTCATCATACATTATCATATGTGAATAAATGCAAAGTATCGAGGAATACAATAACGGGACCTAACTTCTTCAATCCAAACAGCGCACCGAATTCCAGATGAAGATCCTTCACGAAGAAGGGAGGGGCAAAAAATTGTGCGAGAATCTTCAACAGGCCCAAGGGCTCCAGTTGAAGACGGCAGGACCCATAATCAATGGGGGCTGCCCCGCGCTGGCAGAAAGAGCTGTCAAAGTCAAAGGCGGCGGAGCCTCTGCGAAATCCACAATGAGCGTTATTAAGAACTAGAACACATGCATATAACTTACGACCATGCAAAACACAAAGGATTGCAAAAGAAATGTAGGGGTTACAACCCATTCCGGATACGTTTTCATGAATTCCGTTACTGGCAACTGGGTTTGACAAGATATGCTCCCAACGGGCTTTCACTTTGCTGCGTGGGTACAGAAACTCCACATATGCCTGAAACAGCCGCGAATTAAGTGAGATCCGAGCCGAAGGTAAACGACAGCGTATGGCAACAGCTTGACATCACAATAGAGCTTTCGACGACAATAGTCTGTGAATCACAAATTACGTGTTAGATACCGGACAACAATTCAAAAGCTCAGGGAGACTGAGTTATGCCATGCGAAGCATGGAAGCACCGATAAATTCCTTCAAGGTCATCATCATATGCTTGGCCCACGACTTGCTCCATAAGCAATGCATCATGCATCGGGTTGAATCTTGTCCATGCGGATAGGCAACGGGCTATGATGGGCCTGTGCAGTATGAGAATTTCTGCCTAGTTATCATCAGTCCAAAAATGAGTGCGTGGTTTCTGTGTGCGAGCACTGGTGTGGTCAATGACATGACTGGGTCATATAAGCTTGTGCGGTATGCATCAGTGGTATGAGTGTGTCATGTACTTTGGGCGGGTCAAGGAGGACAATGCCGCGCGTGCACAAGCAAACGCACAATGCACCGATGAACCGCACCCGACGTATCGAGGCACATGATCCTCGTGTACAAAGACAAAGCCACTTGACCCTGTTTAAAATGCATTTGGATTCGGGAAGAGGGCGATGCCGCACGCGAACGCACGACGCACCGATAAACCGTGCCAGACGTATCAAGGCGAACGATTCTCGTATGCGAAGACAAAGCCACTTGACCCTGATTATCACATGCGGTTCAAATATCAATGATATATGGTTGCGTGGTTATGCAGGTTTCTTTGGTATGCAATGGTCTGGCCAAGGTCGTAGGTTTATCAAATAGTTTGTCTGTGGGTCGAGGAGGGCAGTGCCGCACGCACACAAGCGAACGCACGAATGCACCGAGGCTTATCGTCGAAGCGACCCTCGTGTACAAAAACAAAGCCACTTGACCCTAATAAAAATTGGCGGGAAGCATGGCAATGCCGCACGCGAACGCACAAATGCACCGATGGACCATGTCCAACGAATCAAGACGAATGGTCCTCGTATGCATAGACATCGCCATACCCTTGGTATCATGTGATAACAACTGGTTCATTTGGGTTCTTGTGTGCCAGGTTCAAAGCGACGATCGCGACAGTTCCGAAATAAGTGGCAAAGGCATCGAGATTGAGTCAAACATTGAAAAATATTGGTTCGACGTTGGGATAGCTGTGGGCGTGGTCCTGGGCGATGAGTGGAACAGAGACTGTGAGACATTTGCCTATCTGGTTCGCTGCCTCGTTGCGAGATATTGGTAGAGGGTGCCGGTAAGAGGGCTTGCTTGCTGGCAGTGCCTCATGCTTTTGACTAGAGGGGCTGCATGAGCTAGAGATTTGTGGAAGGGAAAGGGGGGAGTGAAAGCGAAAAGGACATTGGAATTCCGATTCGGAGACTGCCAGTGACGACAAATAAAAACATTGGCAAATAAGTGCACCCTCAAGGCTGGACTTGAACCCGAGCGTGTCCAGGGAAGGGCTTAATTATTTTATTAAAAACGATCATTAATTCGAAGAGAGGCGTACACTGCTAATCGGGATAAACCTGAACCTAGCATGCGTAATCATACCTTTATGGGATCTGTGCGAACCCCAGTACTATCATAATATATACATTTACCAAAGGATTTCCGTCAATGTAGTAATGGGAGCATGAAGCAAACCATAAAAGGATATTGGTAGCAAAGGTCAAGCAGATATTGGGATCCTCTCTGACGAGTATGGTGTCAGGGACGGTCCACTATCATGTACTAACATATTACAAACCATCATAGCCTAACATTGCGACGGGGTCAAATGCTGAGGTCTGGTTGGCCTCACACCTATGTTGTGCGTTTGCAATACAGTCATAGTGTTATCGTATTACTGTATTTCTGTATTTACTCTAACACCGGTGCTTCACAGCATGATCGGGCAGAACGAGGGCAAGCATTGATTGATCTAATTTACAAACAGCAAATATAACTAGATGAAACACGCTACAAAAACGGAGGGACGGTAAAAATAAGCTGAAAATCATCCCATATACTTGTGCGAATCTCATCCAGGATGTCCTGGCTGAGAGGGCTATCAGCTGGTATAGTCAGGTTGTCCGCCTGTCCAAGACTCGATAAATTTCCCTTCCAAACTGATCTTAGGGTTCCAGTTAGGCCAGGGCCCCCGAGGAAAGTCTGGATTGGCGGCAATGAATGCCATCCAGAATGCAGTCACAGCCCCAAGCCCACTCAGGCGCTCTAACGTCCCGAATGGTGTCAACCAGCCAAGTTTCCACCTGTCTGGCGAGCACAGACCAACTGGCCTCGGACAAGGGATTGAAAGATGGCGGAAGTGGCAAGAAGGGTATCTGCATGAATGTAAGGTTCAATGTGTGTCAGTGCTGCGCACGATTCGAGACTCACCATGAGCTGTGGGACAGACTGCGACTCGAAATTTGAAACCAATTCTGTCCAGGAAATATGGCGAATTACAGGCACCGCCTGCCCTCCAAATTCTCGCGGCCATAGAATTGTGACCTGTAGTGGCTAGTAGACAAGGTGAATGGTGTCAAGGAATCTGAATTAAAAGAGTACTTACAATGGTACCAAAATTCGACTGTGCAGACTGCGCTGTACTTCCTTGGAAAGATATGGAGAGGAAAACGGGTGTGAAGCCAATGCCTTCATTGGCTTGGAGAGGCGAGGTGTGGATGATGCTGGTGACGACAGACATGCACCGTGTGGTGAGAGTTGTTTTATTGACAATGTTTTGTTGATTGAAGTGTGTTGATTGAAGACTTTGTGTTGATTGATCGAAGACAAGGTAGTATTCCCACGGATGACGTCTTGAAGTTTCTCCTATCAATATTCAAGCTTAATAACGTGTTTGCAGCGTGTCGCCTGTTTTTTCAATGTTTTTTGCCTTTGCTTCGAGCGCTTTCAAACATTGCCCCACCATGGCCAGGACAGGTTATCAAAGGTCAATTCCCTTTGATCCCCAAAGTACGAATTCTTTTTATGCCAGCAACAGACTTACAGTGATATTGATATTCCCCAGTATTTTCATTACAGAAACTCGGCGGACGTGTGGTATGCAAGATCTGCCCGCAGCGTAATGGGAAGCGGCGAGATATGAAGACCTGTCATGTTGCTGAACACTGCGCTACCAAAATTCATAAGGACAGCCTTATCCTTAGTTTGCGCACTCAGGAGAAGAAAATTTGTTCACTGCCTGCCCAGTCACCGTCACCGTCACCTCCCCTCACTCCCGCTGCTCATTCCCGCATGGACTACGATATTCCACCACTGGAAGACCCAGAGAGACCAATAACACCTTCCTTCCCTTTGGTGATGAGTACGGAGGATGATGACAGCGGCCATGACCATGAACTCGAATTACCACAACTGTGGGATCCATCAACACGAATGTTTGCGCTTGAGGAACCCGACCTTTACAGTGAACTTATTGCTGCTCGAAACCGGGGTGACGCACTCTTTACGTGCTCTCTTCAGCCACTTGCAGATGAACTTGGACTTGATGATGACGACATGCTGGACCCTCCTCCTGACGATAACAAATTTGGACTGTTCTTGGAGGGTGAAGGTATGTAGATACTGTGTACGTCATGCGAGAAATAACTAATTGTGCTTCAGAGGATCACATCAACAATCAACTGTGCATGGATGATTCCACATATCCATGGCCTTCGAAAGCGGTATGTTTCATTTTATTTTGATCTATCAACAAATTTACGGAATCCTGCTAGACCTTTATCACAGACCTCCTCTTTGGTTCGACGCGCCTGCGATTTTCAGAGGCACAGAAAAAAGCTGTGCTTAGTTGGGCGCGCGAAATGGGCGCTCAAAATGTGCCTACCTTGTATGCGCTTCGCAAAGCTCAAGATCATGTTCGTAGCTGCATCGGAAATCCAACTTGCAAGGTTACAGCATCTTCCAGGTAACATCTTTTATATAAACTCAATTGGCTCCGCAATCACTATGGTACGTGCATCTATTTTAGTGTCAACATTGATTGATCTTCCTCACCAGGACTATTCCAACCCTCTCACTCGCTTCTGCATGCAGGACTATCCTGAAGATGGGAGAGGGAATATGTCTCAAGTGCACCACGGATCGAAGATGCTGCATGAGCTTCCCGAAGAACTACTTGTCCCGTCTGTTTGCGTCAACGGCGGTATCTACTTCCGGAATGAGCTGCTTCAGTCGACAACTGGATTCTTTATTCCTACGCGTTTCTTTCAAGCCAATATCTCTAGTTGCGATGCTGAACAAGCATCATTGCAGGTCCTTGCATTGGGACATCCAGTTGTACGGACAGAGGTACAATCACCATCCGAGTCTAACTTCTAATTTAATATCTCTTTCTAGGCAGGTTTTGCAGTAGATCCCGAGCGCATCATATTGGAAGTTTCGTCGTTTCAGCGGACCTACATAGACTTGCAGGCTGACGTTCATTTGTGCGGGTTTACATGTAGGTAATTTTTTCTATCGTTTAGGTGACTATTCATAGGTTTCTAGCGACATCGCAGCCCTTCGCTGCAAAAATGCCCAACCCCCTGCGCGAAAAGTCAAATGGTCGACTCGTCCTCACTGTTCCCCAAATAATCTTCATGGACGATGTCTCTGGGAATGTGTCGAAGCAGTGGAACAAACACCACGCGGTGTACATGTCTAATGCCTCCATGCCATGCGAGATGCTTGAAAAGGAATTCTGTGTTCGTTTTGTGTCATCCTCGCCGCATGCTTCACCCATGGAGATCGCCAAAGCCGTCAAAGAATCAATCGAGTTTGTTTATTTCAATTTTTCAGTCTATTTGTCTTGTTGATGTGTCCGTCAGGGCTGCCGTGGATGAGGGCATTGTTGCGTACGACTGCAAATACAAAGATGAGGTGATGCTCATCCCCTATGGCCTATTTGACGCAGGAGATAACCCCATGCAGGCGGAAGAGTGTAGCCATGGCGGTTTACACTGCAATTACTTCTGTCGCACATGCAAAGTAGGAGGTACGACGTCTGTGAAACAGTCTGATGAAGGGTATCTTAAATTATTTGAGGTAAGCCTTTGTATTTGTCGGCGATCAATTTTCTGAAGCGGTGCATTAGATTGGAGAGCTTCGTCGACCAGAAGAAACAATTCAGCAGATTCTCGAGCAGATCGAGCTTTCAAAGTTGTCGGGTGGAACTACGAAAGTGCAGGCTGCTGTCTCGTCGACTGGCACCCATGACACTACCTCCGCATCAATTGTGAACCGCCTCCTGGAACTTGGGAAGCGTCTGCGGAAACGAGAACCTGGCAAACCAGCGATCAACGAACGAGAGGTCCGACAGACATTGGAGAGGGAGTTTGAGGAAATGCTGGGCGGTCTCCCCTGTGGAAGATCATATCAACCCTTTGCTTAGCATGACAGGGCTCAACATACATCAAGACACACCGACAGAGATTCTCCATACCATTCTCCTTGGCGTTGTGAAGTATTTTTGGGGTCAGACTATCTGGATCCTCGACAAAACGCACCTCGTCAAGATATTCCAAACCAGATTGGACAATATCAACAAAGACGGCCTTAATTCACCCACTCTTGGTGCAGAGTATATCTGTCGGTACAGCGGTAGCCTGATCGGCAAACACTTTAAGAGTCTTGCTCAGATCATGCCTTTTCTTATATATGATCTTGTTCCGTCTACTGTCCTGAATGGATGGGCCGTCATTGGACAGTTGGTGGTCTTGCTGTGGCATACGAGAATTGATGATGTTGAGGAATATCTGGTACGCCTTCCCCAACCCTGACCCATGAATACAAACTCATTTCATGTCTGTGATACCAGGCTTGTCTTACGCATACTATTGACGATTTCCTCAATATCTCAGTTCAGTGCGCACCTAGCATCATCCTCACCAAATCAAAATTCCATTTTTTACTCCATATTCCGGCCTATATCCGAAGGTTTGGGCCACCTATCTTGTTCTCAACTGAACGCTTCGAATCCTTCAACCACGTCTTCCGACTCAGCTGCGTTCATAGCAACCGTCAAGCTCTGAGTCGCGACTCATGCAACGCGTTTGCATACAATGATATTCTCAAGCATGTCACTACTGGGGGTTTTTGGATGGAGTCGAAAAGCAAGCGGTGGGTGCACGCTGCTCCAGGTGTCCTCAACTATATTTCTGATCACCCAGAGCAGCGGCACCTCTTGGGTGTTCCCACAGTGCACCAGAATCATCCAGGTGAGTTCGTTGCAACATGTCCGTTCTTAATTCTCATGTATGCAATTTTCGAGGCATGGCAACAGTTCCAACTTCATCAAAGACCTCACCTGTGCCATGGACATCAACACGCTCAAGCATGCTCCGGCCAGAGATCAAGTCATCAAACAATGCCGTATTTCAGGCGTCTTCGGTCATTGCTGTGAACGGGGACAAGGTCGCCATCGAAAAATATGCCATTTTGCGTGGCAATGGACAGCTGCCTGCTGAGGTGAGGATTTTACTTTTGCCATGCTGCTGTTATCTTATGCGCTTTTAGATGTCTATCGGAAAGATCGTCGAAATCATTGTTTCAGAATCTAGCCCTCGTGTCGCAAGTCATGTTGTTATCCGGCCTCTTCATTTTCTACCTGATATCCACCCCCAGTTGCGATTACTTCAGTTGCAACTTGCTGATGAAGAACACTTACTATTTGCCCTCGGTAAGAGCAGCCCATTCTTCATTCTTTGCAAGCAGCTAATTTGCATATACTTCAGAACATTTTGTCTGCTGTAAACGTACAGCATGACTGCGCATCATCGAGCTGCGGCGAGTTTGTATCTGTCAACATACAACAAGAACGCACTGAGACGACAAAGACTAAGACATCACTTGTGCATAAAAACGCGAGCCATTTTGTTTTAAATGCCCACTCACTGCACAATTACGCCCTCATATCACAGGTCATCCCCCAACCCCTTCACATGGCAATGAGCCTCCCTTTTTTGCCAAACTCACGAGAGGTACGGTTAAAAGCGGCAAGGACTGTCAGAGCAAAGAAGGCTGGAACCACAGACACAGCTGAATGTACTGGAAGTGCCCCTCCAGTATTTGATCGTGCTACCCGTAAGCCCAAGCAAGGTGGGAAGGATAAGAAGGGTCCCTCCTTTCAACCTCCTATGCATTCATCCCTAGCACCACAACCAGTGGTCCATCCACTTGCACATTCGGCATTCTCTATCCCCCCAACGCCAGTACATGTACCCGCTTCCCATCATCCTCCGATGCCAGCATATGCAGGTACCTACCATCACCCAGTACATGTACCCGCTTCCCATCATCCTCCAATGCCAGCATATGCAGGCACCTACCATCACCCAATGTACCCAGCGCCATATGTATTCCCCTCTGTATTCCAAGGCCCCCTTATGTACCCACTTCCTTCCCCTACAAATACTCATTTTCACACGGGACTTTGAATAAAATTTATTCTTTTGATGCACGATAAACCAATTAAAAGCGATGAGAACTGATGAAAACCGGTGAAAGCTATTTATAGAATAGGGTGGAAACAGCGAGGGAATACATACGACGTTGGGCTGAGACCAACAAACTTTACTCACAATTCACCGCAAACTATCTCGCTGCAGCATGACTGCTCATATCGACGTCCACGCATTCTATGTCGAAAAGGCTACCGCAGCTTCTTATCGGGTTGGGGAGACAATCACCAACATCGGCCAGCTCAGAGCCTGTCTCCAGCATCAAGCTCGACTCGAGTTCAATAAAGAATGGTTACAAGTACCTGACCTTCATCCTGATCCTGATTCCGTTCTTCTCACTACAAGTAAGTGTTTTTCTGTTAAATCAAAACGAAAATTCATTCACGCCACCTCCAGATGTGCATGGTACCTCCATGCTCGAGGATAACCTAATGACAATCCAGAGCGTGTGTGATTTGGCGGATCACATTCTTGCGATCATTCCCTCCAAGCAGCTATCACCCTCTGTTGCTCCCTCGCTCGCGGCAACCGCGACCCAATCCTTGGCGAGCCCCGCCCACATGAAAAGTCAGGAGTTGATCAACTTAGTTGTATCAATGAATGACGCACTTCGAATCAAGGACAATATGAGGGTTGAACAACAGGTTGACTTTCATGCGACCCTGCAGTCATTTCAACGTGATCAGCTGCGGAGGGAGGAGGACGCGAAACTAAATTTTCAGCGATACGCCAAGGAGGTGGAGCGGCAGCTGAAGGACACTCAACATCAATGCAACATCCTCAAGCAAGAACATACCCTTGACCAATCGTGCATCAAATTCCTGGAGGACAGACAACAAGAGGACAGACAACGCATCAAGGACCTGGAAGATAAGCAACAGCAGGACAGCTCATGGATTCAGGACCTTGAGAGTTCGCTTCTCGAGGAGAAGAAGCTTCGGGCGGAGGAGAAGGAAGCTAGCGATAAGGAGAAGGAAGCTAGCGAGAAAGAGAAGGAAGCTAGCGAGAAAGAGAAATCGTACATGCTAATGAGGATCGAGGAGATTGAAGATGAGCACATCGAAACCGCTGGGTGGGTTAGTGGTGCGGTAAGTATCGACTATCTAATGCTATTATGACGCTTGAATTATTGGCTAGGATACCAAACTCATGGATCGCATTTTACTCCGCCACTTACTTGATCTCGCGCAAGCGAAGCTCGCAGTCGCGTCTGGACTTCCCAGAAACAACAAGACCTTCCGCATTACACAGTCATTCCTCTGGAGAGAGGCACTGTCTTCCTCCCAGACAACCCCTGAGCACGTGCAAGCTGCCAAGAAATTATTGAACACACCAGGGTTGTCTCTTGATGCCGCCACGAAAAAATTCGCCTTATCCGACAGCAGGATGAACATCGTGGTCCAGAGACCATTGATGATTCGTGACATGGGAGACAGCGCAGCCCACCCCAAGCATGTATCAAGGGAGGTGTTTAAGAAAATAATTTCGTGACACGCTGTCGCCGGAAATCACGACGGACTTCATGCTATCTTAGAACTTGTTGATCCTGTAACTCAGTCCACCTGATTTCACATCACGCGCTCACAATGTTGTATTACTTTCTTTTACCCCAAGTTACAAGTACGATTACGCAGATTCAAATTTACCAATGTCAGTTGTACTTATTGCCAATGGATTTTCGGTCACGTGCAACGCATCACGTTCGGGCTGACTCTGACACCGTCTCTGTTCAGTGTGTTCATCGCGCGGTGCTGGGTATGAGCTACCTCAGTCAATTCCGACTCCAACAGGCACCTGTACCATTGTTCCCCCGGGCTGCTACATCTAGCCTGCCGTCATCCCCACTTGCGGCACGAACACCACTTCGGTCAGTCACACGAGGCGAGGTCAGACGACGGATCGAATCTACAGAGTCGGAGGCTGAGACCAAGCGGCTCAAGACTTGCGCTACAGACGTTTGCAGGACCAATGGGTTACCTGATGATGCGCTAGAAGAATTTGCTACAGTAAGTCTAAATCATCAGCATGTACAGTATAAGCGCACTAAAATTCATCCATCCATGCAGAAACCCGAAAAGGAGATGCTACTTAACATCATGGGGCATCTCATTGCCCTAGACAAGCGAAAGGCGAGAGATGATGCTCGTGAGCTCATTAGCTCGGCGGAATTCAAGGTACAGGTCTGACTCTCATATATTTTACTATTCTTACATTGCTTCAAGCAATCACTCACCGACAGGCTTCGCGCTTGCCTATTGTCTCCAAATCTCTCAGGATATGTGACGCACTTGTCTCAGAACCTCTTCGTGAGTTTTTTTATTCTTATCTGACAAATAAAGATTAACATGTTCCAGGAATTCGTAAAGAAACACCCTTCTGTATTCAAGATACCCCTCGCCGCCCTGCAGGATCTCGAACTTATGAATAAGTTGGACTCGATGATTAAGGAACTGCTTACGCAGCAGCGCGGAAGCATGAAACAAAAGGTTTGTCGATTCCTGAGCTGCTATGATATTTTTAACGTTTTGAACACAGATCGTTACTTCCGCTGATAGAGGATCAAATATCCATGCGCTCTGTCGGTCGTTATCAGGTAACTGCACCGAGATTACTTCAGCACACTGGTCTTGTGTGGCCTTTCTGGCAAGTTGATTCACAAACCCCGCCATGTCTTCCACTCACTCTAATCTAGCGTTCTTCACTGATCCAATTCTGGACTGTCGTTGCAGAGAGCGCAAAGTCCCAAGAGGAAGTCACTTTGAACAGCAACCATGAACACGTGCCGGCAGATATGGAAGGTGACGAGGCCGATTCCAGCCCTTCAACGATCACACAGTGCACTTGGACGTTTAATCAATACTGGAGCTATATCGACGTTCTTTTGGGTGAGCTCAGGGACGACGCTAAGAAGAATACATCTACGACACAGGCAGCTGAAGAATTCGTTAAACAGTGTGTTTCACTGCTTCTTGAATTTTGTGCGTTAATTTGATCTCATCATTGATTTGTATAGATTTTTCACAGAGGTCCTCCAAGCTGACTTACGAAAATACCCGAGTACAACGTCCCTCGCTCCATCCCTCGACTCCATGACTGTGGACTGGCAAAAGACAATTCATAGCAAACTTATTTGGTGATTCTTATGTTATGTCCTACTATACTTTAGATACACCGTGATAATAATGATGGATTGCTCCCATATTTTTTACCGTCGCTGGAAGTTTATGTTCTGATATATATATATAGTTGAGTTTTAATGTCACCATGGTATACATGCAATGGTGATGAAGTGTCGATGGGACCTGATATTAACCTTACTCTCATGTTACCGCGCTAACATTGTGGTATTATTTTGCTCCCTTGGTTGCTCGTCCCTTGTGCAGACCTTGTGCAAAGGTTGGCTCGGCTGTCAGCAATACCCAGGAAGGCCGGTGTCGAGGTTATATTTAATTTATGGTCTATGCAACATTTCCGGAAATCCTTCCGTCAACCATAACCCTATGTGCATGTGTCACAATCCTATTTTTGGGTCATGACAACGTTTGTGACAATTCTCAGTTATAACAAATAAAATTGGGCACCAGTGTGACAGAATTAAACGATACCCAAAACAGGATATGTGTGACACCTGCAATGGTGTGTGACGCGTCCCCGACGCGCGTCGAGACTTATTGGCTGCCAAGTACCTAACTTCACCACCTTAGAGGCATCTACGAACATGGCAGAACGACCAGCAGCAGATATTACAGTTCCTTCACAGGATCCAAAGGAGAAGAAGAAGGAAGGAGAGGACAAGAAGCTAGACACTAAAGCGAATGGTGTAAAGGACGAGGAGGAGGAACTAGTGAGTGTTAATCACATTAGCGAAATCAACATTAATTTGATTTACGTTTCCTAGTCAGAAGAGGATGCACAGCTCAAATCTGAGCTGGAGATGCTCATTGAACGATTAAAGGTGCGTGCCACACGATCGAGGTAGAAAGAACAAGTAATTGAATTCGTAGCAGGAATTAAACACGGATCTCTACCGTCCTGCTCTTGAAACACTCCGGACACTCATAAGAACTTCCACGTCGTCCATGACTTCCGTTCCGAAACCACTTAAGTTTCTGCGCCCACATTATCCCAGCCTGCAGGAGCTGTTCGAGACATGGCCCGCATCCGAAAACAAGGTACGAGGAAAGCCTTTCTGTATAACCCTGGCTTATCATCATGTAGAGTCTATTTGCCGATATTCTCTCTGTTCTCGCTATGACCTACTCCGATACTGAACCACGAGGAACCCTCCGCTATCGCCTTCTGTCTGCATCTCTCCTCCCTCCTACATCCAAAATCTCTGAACCCGGTTCTTGGGGACATGAATATGTTCGTCATCTTGCTGCTGAATTAGGAGAGGAGTATACCATCCGTCAAGAGGGTGAAGAAGCAGTCCCCCTACCAGCACCCGAGGCTGATTCAGACGCGCCTAAATCAAAGCCTGCTCCGGTCCCTGGCACCATCGAAGACTTACACAATCTCGGCTTAGAATGCGCTACGTTCTTCCTAGGGCACAACGCTGAGCCAGACGCCGTAGATTTATTCGTGGAGCTCGAGATTGTTGATCGGATAGCAAGTCTCGTGGACGCAAACACATTCGGTCGTGTGTGTGCCTACATGGATCGGTAAGTTAACCTTTTGTACATATCCTCATGTCTTGAATTTCTTTTGTAGATGTGTCATGCTCCTCCCTCCTCCTGACGATGTCACATTCTTACGCACGATACACAAGGTCTACCTCCAATTCTCCAAATTCCCTGAAGCTCTCGGTGTGGCAATCCGCCTTAATGACGCTGCACTCATCCGACAAGACTTCAACGCCTCCGGCAACCCGTGAGTCGTGTCATACGCGCATTGATATACACTCATATCTGCACAGGATAATGAAGAAACAGCTTGCTTTCCTTCTTGCGCGTGCACAAATTCCAATCGAATGGCTGAAAGCGTCCGCTTCAGAAGACCCAGATGCAGACGCAGAAGATGAATTCCCAGAAGACATCTTAGATTGCCTAAGCAACACACAGCTCAGTAGACACTTCAAGGAGTTCGGAAAAGAGGTGGGCGTTGCAGATCCGAAAAGCCTCGAAGATGTCTACAAGAGTCATTTGGAGACTACAAGTGTGTTTTTGAAAACTATTCTGTTTTGTTTTGTTCTGAACCACGATCAGGATCAGGGCTGTCTGCCAATGTCGACTCCGCTCGTGCTAACCTTGCAGGCACATTTGTCAATGCGTTTGTTAACGCTGGTTTTGGTAACGATAAACTGATGGTGGAAGCCGAGGAGGGCAGCAGCTGGGTTTACAAGAACAAAGACCACGGTGACTATCTTACCGGTTTGTAAAGCCGGTATACTGACAACCTTTTTTAGGCATGATGAGTGCTGCAGCTAGTCTTGGACTTGGACTCCTCTGGGACACGGATGTTGGTCTCAGTCACATCGACAGATATACATACTCTCCTGAAGAGTGGATTAAGGTATTATTCACTTCGTGTTACCGCGCATCCCTATTAATTATTTAGGCTGGTGCATTTTTGGCTACAGGTTTGCTGAATGCAGGTGTGCGCACGGAAGCAGACGCCGCCCTCGCGCTGCTAGCAGAACACGTAGAGAACAAATCCGTCCCACTCAAAATAGCCGCAATTATGGGACTCGGTGTAGCCTACGCAGGCTCGCACCGCGAGGATTTGCTCACTCTCCTCCTTCCTGCGGTTGCAGACGATGGCGTGTCGATGGAGATCGCTGCACTCAGCGCGCTCGCCCTAGGATTCGTGTTTGTAGGCAGTGGAAACGGGGAGATCACGAGCACGATCTTGCAGACACTGATGGATAGAGATGATAAGGCTCTGGATGAAAAGTGGGGACGGTTCATGGCGTTGGGGTTGGCGCTGCTCTACGTTGGTACGTTTCCATACGCTTTTTCGAGCCGTCAGACGTGTTGAGTCGGAGTTGCAGGCTTGCAGGATGCTTCGGATGCCACGCTCGAGACACTGAAGGCGATTCAGCACCCGATTTCAAGGCAGGCACAAATTCTCGTGGAGGTATGCTCTTTCGTTGCTACCGGGAACGTTTTGCGAGTGCAGAGATTGCTACACTTATGCGGCGAGCACCTTGATGCCCTCAAGGAGAAGGAGAAGGAGCAAGCTGAGACCGCGGAGGGGAAGAAGGACGAGAACAAGGACGAGAAGAAACCTGACGATACGTTCCAATCGTTCGCCGTTCTTGGTATTGCAATGATTGCCATGGGCGAGGATATCGGTGCCGAGATGTCCATGAGACAATTCAACCACTTGGTACACCTTTTTGGAAAAAAAATGATCTAGTTGTCTTACTAACGAGTATCACTGTCAGATGCACTACGGCGATCCCATCATCCGCAAATCTGTTCCCCTTGCTCTCGGCCTTGTCAGCGCCTCAAATCCACAGCTCCCCGTCCTCGACACGCTCTCAAAATACAGCCACGATCACGACCTCGCGGTCGCACTCAATGCGATCTTTGCGATGGGCCTCGTCGGCGCAGGTACGAACAATGCACGGCTCGCACAGATGCTCCGCCAGCTCGCAGGCTACTACTACAAGGAGCCTGACTGCTTATTCATGGTCCGCATCGCGCAAGGTCTCGTGCACATGGGCAAGGGCACGATCGGGATCAATCCATTCTTCTCAGACAGGAACATCATGAGTCGACCGGCTATTGCGGGTTTACTGGCGACGATCATGGCGTTCACGGATGCTAAAGCTTGTGAGTCCTCTCACTCCGATTCACACAAGCCGATTCTGATGAATGCATATAGTCGTACTCGACAAGTACCATTGGATGTTGTACTTCCTCGTGACTGCCATGTACCCTCGCTTCCTCATCACACTTGATGAGAACCTCGAAAGCAAGCCTGTGACTGTCCGCGTCGGTCAGGTGAGTACCCAGTTTCCCTCTTTCATGTCATGCATAGCTTATCGTTGATCGTTATATAGGCTGTGGACGTTGTCGGCCAAGCTGGAAAACCACGTACGATATCAGGCTTCCAGACACACCAAACACCTGTACGACTAGGTACGACAGAACGTGCGGAGTTGGCGACAGAGGAGTTCATCCCATATGCGCATGTCCTAGAGGGCTTTGTTATATTACAAAAGAACCCCGGGTGGGAGAAGGAGGATACGATGCAGATGTAGGTATATACATGCCGTTATACGTGAAAATTTGGAAACAGGATATGGTTTTACAATCAAGCTACAAGACACATGAGACCAGGGTCTTGAATGCAACCTAATGCTGCGCGTGAATCCGATACACCGGATCCTCCGTACCACTGTAGACATTATTGACTTCGCATCTGCATCTTCGGACCCTTGTCTGAGACAACGGGTACGTTCCATTGATGACCGCGTCACTCAATTGATTCGTGACGTCTCGCGGGTTGTGATGGTCGCATCTCTGGAGTATTGCATGAACGAGTATGTCTGATCCGAGAAATTAGTAGCGCCGACTGTGGCGGTGGCTAGTGCTGGATCGAGTGTTCCCAATAGTGCGGCCAGAGATGGAAAGAATTGGTGTAACACTTTTTGGATATCGAAACGCATTGCGTCTATTTGCAGACAATGTCAATTTGTTGCGAGTTGCTACCGCAAACATGATATATCGTCGAAGAGCCGACTGGAGGAGTGTCATTGTTACGGTAGGACGTTCGAATGGCGGCAAGTTCAGTACTGCCGTTTATCATCGGTCGACTGAAAGATGTGTCTGGCATCGCTTCATGTACGTACAAGTACGATTGCGATTACCGTGAATGCATACATGGTGCTTGAATTGATAGCACACATTAGGTGCTCTTTGGAAGTGGGGTCTCTGCATACAAGCACCTTCATAGCCGCTGGAAGGCAGTGATCCTCAACCACCCAATCAGCCTCCAACTTCTTCATGTTGATACGTACCTCTTGGACTCATTCAGGACTCGACGACACATTGACTCATAGAGATGCTGTGCGAGTCAAAGCCATGAATGCCTGGAGTTAGATGGCTACTGACCTTGATCTTCTTTGTGCCCGGAATGGGGATAACATCTTCACCTTGGGCAAGAAGCCATGCCAATACAATTTATCCAGCGGTTGCATTATAGTGCTCGCCTACCCTCTTCAGGTCATTCACCAGCTTCAAGGTGTTCGAGATTGAGAACATCCTCCAAAGGGCAAGGGACACCCATGCTGAAGGTGTCTTCCGAATGATAGAAGCGATTCCACGTAAAATCGAAGAGAAATAAATGAGGTGAGCGACTGGCGACCGTTTCACCTCGTCCGTAATGACTGCAGACGGTGAAAGAGTGACATCAACAGCTGGGGAAATATTCAGCCTAAACCAGATCACAGAGCAAAGGCATAGATACCAGGCACATGACCATCCCTTGACAATCTCTAACAACAATTCCTCGCAACGCTCCTCCATCTCCATCTCCATCTCCATCTCCATCTCCATTTGCTTCTTGCTTTCCTTCAGCGGGGGCGGTCTCAGTAATGGTGGCGAAGGAATCCGCTGGTTTGGGGTGCAGCAGCACAATCCGCGAAAGCATCGTTCGCAAAGACTTGCAATGGAAAACAGGAAGATCCCTGGAAGGGCCGTTCAAGAATGGTGAATTTGGTTGTGAGCCGACACACCACATGGCCGGAAAACCAAACAAGCGCGCGGTAAAATGGTCTGATAGCTCCGCAGTGTGGCAGCAGAAAGACGGCCTTTGAAAACGTGTCGCTGAGCTAGAGCATAACCTGAGTGTGGGACGCCAGATTTGTCGATTGTAACCGGCAGAACTGACCTCTGCAGCAGGACAAAGCTTTCACCCAGCGCGTGATTTAAACACCCATGCATATACAGCTGTACAGTTGTAACCGTTGCGCAACCGCGTAATAAGGATTTCCGACTCATACAGAGATGACTCTGAGATGTTGAGTGCATTTGGTATTGGGTTGGTTGCTAGCACATATATGATATATCTGTTTGAGGCCGCAGATTGAGGGTGCAAGAAGAACTTACTCAGCACATAAAAGCCAGCCGTGTTCACATATTCAAAATTATCTGATCTCATAACACACAACTTCAAGTTGAAGTCACAGACAATGCGTTTATCCAAGTCCCCTGGAATTGTACTTTTCGTCGTTACTGCTTTAGCATCGTCAATCGCTGCCGTGCCCACCGAGTCGGATGCGCAAATTGCCAATAAATGTCCTACGTGGTGCTCGAGAAACACAAAATGTCGGAACTGCGTCATTGCGTATTGTGTGAGTACTCAAGTATTGGTGGATTTGATAACATGACTCACTTGCATGGCAGGACAACTACTTTCACTGCCCACGGGGATAGGCGATGGATATGATGAAGTAATCAGGTGTGCGGGGGTGTTTGAGGCTTACATAAGACATGACACGGGCCCCTGACATGTGCAACACCTCCTGGCTATAGATCCCTGACCTACGGGAATGAGTTAACGGAAATGAAGTCAAGTTCAGAGAATACTGACCGAGGTCACCACGGTGAGACATCTCACACGAACAGTTGGCATTCATGTGGACACGCTCCTCTAATGGATAACAAATATATAACCTAAAAATTATGGTGATTGTGCCAACACTTACACAATTTCTTTCACCTGCCCTCAGCAGTGTGATTTTTTTCTTTTCATTCCAAACGAAAGTGAGTCTCTCCACATTGGTCTGCCCCTTTACCACAGTAAAGGAGGGTTTTACGTTTTAAGACCCGATTTAATATCTTCGAGCTCTCACACTCTTCCAAACTGGAGTGCCTCGGAGAGACTCAATCCAGTCAAACATGATGCAAGTCGCACGTCCTTCAAAGGCTACCAGCATCACAATCTCTCCGAGTCTGAACAGGGTCTACAAGAGCTCAACACGGCGTTGTGCTTACACGAGTAGAGCACATAGTAATCCTCGCCGGTGTTGAGACGAGTCATGTCACGGTGTCTGATCCACGTTGGTCATGTATATACCTCTTATAATGTGAAGCCATCCATCCATTTCCAGAACGAAAGTTGCCAACCTCTGGTCGCTTTTGAACTGGCAACTTGAATCTGCAGCATCTTCTTTGGGTGCGATGCCGACACTCCCGCCTCTCTCCCTGGCTAAAACCCCGGTTGATCATGAACCCAAGAAACTTTCTTTTACTCGCAGACTAATTTTACTATTCATGTTCTGTCTCTCTCAGTTATTAGATGGCTTCAATTTTTCAGCTCTCTTCTCCGCAGTCCCTACCCTCGAGGTATCCATGAGATTGACTGAAAGTCAATCCACTTGGATCCTCAGTGCATTCCAGTTGACCTTTGCATCCTTTCTGCTTATCGTGCGTGCTCATCCCATTGATTCTGATTTTGCACTTCAACACGTTGTGTAGAGCGGTCGCATTAGCGACGTATACAACCCAAGTCAGTACTACGCTGTACCTGTCAGATAGTGACATTGATGGGCTTCCAGAAATTGCGTTTATTGGGGGTGTATCTGGCCTTTGTGTCATCTCGCTGTGCGCTGGATTTGTTAATGACATCATTCCGTTCATTGTTCTCAGAGCGTTGAATGGAATAGGTAAACGTTCCCGCCGGTCTGACGGTTTTTGGCTAACAAAATTCGCTTCTCAGTCTCTTCAATGACGGTCCCCTCTGCCTTACGACTCCTGATCAAAGTATTTCCCGAGCCGCTTGAACAAGCCCGGGCGATAGGGATATTTGGAGGCTGCAACGGCGTTGCTAACGGTGAGAGTCCGGCCTACTAGCTCTTTATCCACGACAAGCTTCATGGTTCCCTTTCATAGTCCTCGGTCTCGTAATTGGCGCAATGTTCGTCGAATGGACATCTTACCAGTGGGTGTTCTGGTTTTCAGCCATCGTGGCTGGGCCAGCGGCTCTGGCGTGTGTCTTCATCATACCGTCAGAAATTTCAAACAACACAGACAATCTTGAGCCTGCAGCAGAGAAATGGAAGAGCCTTGACTTGGTCGGCGTAAGCATCCTCACTGGTATTAATTTTCTGCGTACTCCACTTCCCATCGCTCACGAGCTCCGATAGTTGCTTTGATTTTGTTCATCTTCGCTGTGACATCTGGCTCCACTAATGGCTGGGCATCCACAAAAGTGCTGGTTCCGCTGATCATATCCATCTTAGTGGTGGTCGGGTTTTTCTACTGGGAAACGCGCATACCTGTGGACACAGCTGCAATGTATGCTTTCAGGGACACTCGCACCTATCACAGATCATTGGGCTGATCTTGTACCAGACCACCCCGGACATGGTTTTACCACAATTTCTCCGTTCTTTTCGCCCTCGCGCTCTTGCCATTCTTTTGGTGGGCCACAGTGTTCTCAACTTTTACCACCCTGTGGCAAAACGTATTTGGTTGGTCGGCAATATCATCGGCTGTACACATGTAAGGTTTTCACTGCACTGTCACTCTATGTTGTTCATCATTAAGATTGCTTTTACTTACCAGGTTCCCGATAGGCGTCGTAGCATTCGTTATGAGTTTCACCGGATCGCTCTCTCGCATCGTTAGTCCAAAATGGATTATTCTCACTGGTCTGTCCTTTTGCATGGTCGCGACCGTATTGTTGGCGCTTGGTGGAGGGAAGCCTCATGATTATTGGCCATATATATTCCCGGCTTTTGCTGTAGGAAGCGCAGGGGCCATGTTGACGTATACGCACACAAAGTAAGTTCAAATTATCGCAGCTTAATGAACACATTCAAAATTGTTGCAATCGCAGCATTGCCATTTTTCAAGCCGCACCTCCGTCCATGGCAGGCACAGTTGGTGCCATCTTTAATGGCGCTCTTCAATGTGGATCAGCAATTGGCCTTGCTGGTATCAGCTCGATAGAGATATCCGTGGAGGCCATCCATGGGGGCCCACATGAGTATCACGGACGAGCCGCGGCATTTTGGTTCCTCTTCACAGTTGTCTCCATTCAATTCATTTCAGTATCAATATTTTATGACCGCAGTGTGGACCACACACCTCAACCGGAACACGACAACCCCGCAAATCCTGCTCGACGCAGCACACACTTTGACGAAAAAATTAACGATGCGAACGTGACCATGATCGAAAAAGCTGACCTAGCGAATCTGTCGGTATAGTGACCGTACTAGGTTCTTTCTTTTAACGACTGTTTCTTTAGACGACCATTTGTGTTGATGATGTATTTCTTTTTTATTATTTTCCCGTTAACGACCGTACCGTGACAACCTGCAGGGTAAACGTGTTTTTTATTTCATTATTAGAGCCTGCAAGGCGGACCTCATAGTTTATTGTTTTGCTATACCCGCTACCAATCTGGCCATAAGTAATATACCAGTAGACTTTATTTCACCTCTCACCGAGATACCGGCTCGGTAGCGCTGTAGACTGCTTCAAAAACAGGGGGCGAGAAAAAGCTTTAGTTAGGATATCCGTGACGTTCTTGTAGCCTCGTGTGGTAGGATCAGTCCCGTTGCACCTGAGAGAAGTCGTGTGCCATCTGGCATCCACACGAGTGAGTTGAATCATCCACCGATCCCGATCGTTCTCTGCAACTGCCAGTGAGTGGGGAAGTATGTACTTGTCCTGAAACCACAGTAGTCATTGGGACTGCAATGACACTTACCTGCAAATCATCCTTTTGAAATCATTAGATTTGAAGCCACCTGGAAGTTTTTTTTGCATGCAATGAGTGTCCGAATGAGTTTTACAAGTTTGCAGCACCTATATCATCACTCGCTGCTGACGCTCCATGCACGATCCTGAGTCCGTTGGGTGGTGTTTGGGTCGAAATCGAAAGTGAGATGATCGGGGTCAAGGTGGGCGCCTCCTAGTGTTGTTGGCAAAACAGCTGAGTTTTGCCAGGTGGTTGTGCCAGACCGGTTGTGCCCGGCGGTCGGCAAAACTCATGCAAATGGAGGGTGGCACAGCTTGGCAAAACTCCAAATTCAAGTTGCGGAGATATAACTTCAATATAACTTAGATATAATAAGATTTACTTTAAATCCAATAAAACATAAAAATCAACATTCCTAGAGCAAGATTGCAAAACGGTGGAAATGGGACATAGTTATGGCAAAAAAACTCTCTGATGACCTGCAGGCCTATAATCAGTCAGTAGCTCCATTTGCTGGTGGCCAAGCAGATGGCCTTTCTTGGTGGCAAAACCTTCCAATCAATTCTGAACTCCACCCCCTCAAAGCCTTTGCTGTCACGATCCTCTTGATTGTAGGGCATGTGGGCGAAGTAGAGCGTACATTTTCCGATCTCGGCACAACACAATCTGCATGGCGGTGTAATCTGTCAGTTGAAACATTCGAGACACTCGGCAAAATTTGTGCAAACCTTTGACACCACAGCACCATAAAAGCGGCTGAGGCTGGGAAGTCCACTCACTGTCGACATACTCACATGCACACTTGTGAAGAGGTTGGCATTGCTGTCGAGACTGTGCAGGATCTTGAAGCATCCTTTGCATGGACACCTCCACTGTCAGCTGAACCTCGTGACGCAGATGACCTGCTTGCTGGTCCAGAGAGTATCTCGCCCAAGTAGTGATGTGCAAGGCCCGGCTTGAAGCCCTGGGCCGGCCCAAGCCGGGCCCAGCCCAGGCCTAAGTCACGGCCTGAGCATGGCTTAGGCCTGGGCTTGGATTCAGAAAAGCCTAAGCCAGCGGCCCAAGCTGCGGCTTTGGTATGACACCTTGTCCCGTCAGTGGTCACGCCCTACAAGCGGTCGCCATTGTGTGTTCAGCAATTGGCACGTCCTCATTATTGACTCTTACTATGACACGCGCGATTTGACCATACCGCAGATCATATTCACACAAGAAAGAAAGGAAAATTCGTCTGCTATGGGCACCGTGCTATTGCTCTTGCACATGAACATAACTGGGATGCCGTGCTTGAAGATACAAACCAGGTAAGTGATACATTACCAACTAATAATACTGAGCCCCTTCAAGATGTACTAATCTGGGTTGCGACATAATCCATCAGTATTCAGCACTAGTCATCTCGAGTGCCAATCGCCCACCTTCTCTTTCTCACTGCCTTCTCCTGCTCTCGTCCATCATCTGTATTCGTCTGAGCCACGTCAGCAGTTGCTGACGTGTGCTGGGTGTTTGCACATGGTGTTCGTGGTGTTGGGAACATCACTACGCCCAAGGATATTGCTGCCGAATTTGCAGCTCTCGAAGAACTGAAGCAGAAAGACTCAGAAGTTCATAACATTGACGGAGTTGAAGTGTTGGAGGGGAATGTTTTTGATTTCGACAAGTTAGATCGTGTTGAGCAAGGAATAATACCGCAGGCTATTCTGGATGAGGTCGAGGTCGTCAATTACAGTGGTGAGGACAATGGATGGGATGAGGCAACTTTGATGTCTTCATTAGGAATGTTGTTCACGTAGCTCAGAATTTTGCCACCTGGCAAAACAACCAGTTTTGCCAGTTCTGCCGGTTGCAACCAGCAAAACTGACTCCAAGTAGTTTTGCCCCCCACACTAGCACCTCCTCTGCTACAACTTTCGATTATGTCATCACCTCCTTGTTTTCGTGCATCACCAAGTTCATCGTTGAAGTTACTACTAGTAAATGTGGACCAAAACCCAGATTCAAACCCAAATGTGCATGCACATGCAGACTCGGAGTCCATATAAAATTCCCCTAACACGAATGGTGTTCCCCACAATGTCCTCCCAAGTGTCCCCGCATCCATGCTCAGATACATGCCGCTTAAACTCACGCTTGTCAATGCTCTTATGGGTCATGTGAAAACGGGAGCTCTGAGTTGTGAGTAGGTGTACACGGGGTTGAGGAGGAAGCTGATTCCTGTTGAGATGTTTGTGAAGGCTTGGGGTGCATGTTTGAAGTTGATTCTTTTGCCTGTTCTGTTCTTTCTCGGTCTTGTTTTACAGTTTTACTTTTGCTGAATGTTTTTGATGTCTCTTTACTCTCATTTACGATGATCGTAAATATTGCATCCATAATCAATGTCATTGCTTGCCCTCTGACTTTGCATCTTTTTTTCATTGGCATGTCTTTCGTTACATGTTTTTTCTAGTCCTCTGAGTTCCTTATACATTCCCTTGATCTCAAACACACCATTCAGTCACGTTCCTAGTACACTGAGGCTCTTGTCACACTCTCCATGGTATGTGAAGCTTGATTTCTAATGCCCACTCCTAGTACTTGATATTCATCGTCTCTATTGGCCCTCAGTGGCATCGAAAAAAGTCCTGTCATGTATAGGTGAGTCATGTTATCAAATCCAAGAGAACTACTGATAATTGTGCAAAGCCCAGTCTTTGCAGCTCTTGCATATCTTGTCATTTATGCACTATCCAGGACATTTACTATCGTCAGTGGGCACAGCAAAGATTGATGATGCTGAAGCAACGGCGAGGACAATCACATAAGATAAACACATTGTTTGGTGTAACATGGGATCAGATAATTCAGAAGAAAATGGTAAGAAGACGACTGGCTTTCATGTACTGGATATTGTCCTTTCTTACTAGGGTATACCCGCAGGTCGGAAGGTCAACGCCATACCCATACTAACACGCAGGTACACGAACAAGAAATTCTAACATCTAATAACCTCACTTAACACTCTCATCCTCTCTATCAAGGTTCATGCAGACGCGAGCAGAAGTTCATGTACTTAGGTCAGTTTTATCATCCTGTTCGGTGGCAGAAGGTGCAACATTGACATCAATTGCTTCTGGAGCAGCGGAGTGCAACTTGGAGGGGGTTTCTTTGACCTGTGGAAAGATAGTAACTAAGTAAGCTCAACACACATTGTCCGCTATGGACTGCAGAGATTACTATACATCTGAATGTGTTGAGGCAGATTCAGTGAGCGAGGCTGTGTCATTGGCAGTAAATTGATTAACCATAATGATGGATTCAATGGAGTATTGAGAAGTGTAGAGTCTGTGTACCTCACTTTATACCCGCGTTGTAATTAGTAAAATCCTTGATGTGTGAAGGTCGCACCGGTACCGGTACCAGGTATACAGGAAAGAACAATATAATCATTCATATAAAAGCCAGTTGTGTTCTTCAGAATTATCCTCACATCACACTGTAACTTAAAATCACAAACAATGCATTTCTTCTCTGCAATCGCACTCATCGTCGTTGCTATTTTAGCACCATTAATCTCTACCATCCCCACTGATGCTCAGGCTAGTGACGGTGCCAATAAATGTCCTACCTGGTGTACCACTAAAAAAGCATGCCAGGCCTGCATACTGATGGAGTGTGTAAGTACTTGAGTATCAGTGGATTTGGTGACATGACTCACCCACATGGCAGACCTTTCTTCGCTGCTTCTGAGGGCAATAGAGGCGATGATATGAAGTCATTGTCCGCTATGGACTGCAGAGACTACTATACATCCAATGAGTTAGGACTACATAAGAACAGTCGGGGTTGTTGAACTGAAATTCCAGAATGGCCTCTGCAATCACATGTGGTTCAGGACTTTGAATGGACCATCTCTGTGGCACCTGAGGCTGGAAGCCAATCACTGTAAGAACAAAATGAGCGAACTTCAGTGAAGTCTTTGATGATTCAGAGTCAGCCTTATGGTTTATGTACATCATGATGATGGTAAGGGAGACTAGATTTGCAGTTCACTGGAGGGACTCACAAATGCTCTCAGCATCAACACTCACAAGCACATGTTTGTCATGGTGGTAGCCGCCTTACCAACTTGCTGCACGTTCCCAATGTCGTTCCGTATTTATTCAGAGGGCGCCTGAAGAGCTGTTAGTACGATTCAAATGAAAGAATGTAGCACATACAATGAGTCACATGATAGGCTTAGCCTCTGTGATGCGTGTGATATATGGCTTCCGAGAAATTCTGCCAGCCTACGTTCAGCTAATACAAAAGGGATGTAACTTTTGGGAAGACTGCTAAGATGTCAGAGGCTTTTTCAGATGCCCTGAATAACATGCTATCGGTGGCGGGTGCAATCTGTGTGTTGGGTTTGGCATGTTGGAGATGGTGAGACCTGTATCTCGAAAGCAGATGTAGAAAGGTTAGTCAGGGCGATTAAGTATTAGGTAGGTAAATGAAGTGTACCGCACGCTGTCCTGCATGATGTGGAAATCATGCATGGACATGAATACTAGGTGACCCTCAAAAGATAAAGTCTGTTAGCTTAGTCCTCAGACTAGTCAACCCATACCTTGGTTTCAAACCATGGTCCATATTTCCAGTTTTCCCCAAGTTTCATGATCTGAATATGTTTTGACGGAAAAAGTCTAATGTGAGATGGGAATCACATTTAGACCTAGTTGATGTGAGAAGAGAAATGAAGGTTAAGGTATAGCCTTGCCTTTGGCTTATTCACTTTGGCTAGAGAAAACCATAGAGAAAAGTATAAAGCCTATAAAAAACCTATCCAAAAAGACCGTGTTTCAATTCCTGCCAACTGTCTTATTTTTGCTACCTACTTTTATCTAGTGTTTCTTTACTTTACTTTTTCATTAGGATGCTTTGACTCACCTGACACTTCATAAAATTGTACCCATAGGGTATGATGTCATTATGATGTCATAAGACTCCACAGATACTCCTGCAGGTATTCTGTTGAAAGATATTATGTCATCAAGCTCTAGATTATTCTACTCTACAATGACATCATCCATGATGTCATTTCCTTCTAGAATATTCTGCTCCACAATGACTCACTCTGACTCACTCATGGAAGGTTCTGGAATCTTTTGCTCCACAATGATGTCACTCTTGATGTCATTATGATGTCATTACTCCACATTCCAGAATGTTCTGCTCCACAATGATGTCATAGCTCCATCTTTCACTTGTATTTTATTCTTTTATTGGGTTTGACCCAATATTTTGATTGGTCCTCCTTATTTTTTATTGTTTGTGAACCTAGGTTACTTTCCCACACAAAATGTATATAAGGAGAGCCCATTCTCCCCCCCAAAAAAATATGATCTCCCATTTGTAGCAATCTGCCTATCAGATATTTCACTTGCAAAGTTAGTCCCTTTGAAGTGTGACAAGCGCAGGGAAAAGAATTCCCTTGAGATTATAAGTTTCTTACCTTAGAAACTTATTAGTGCTATAGACCAAGTGTTCTTGGTCATATATATTGTCTTTGAGACCCCTTTGTCTCATTGCTCTGTGCCCTTTGACTAAGCGATCTTAGTCATCTATCATATTGTTGAGACCACGTCTCACTAGTTGTCCCATAGACCAAGTGATCTTGAACATATATATAGTATACTTGAGACCGTTGTCTCATAGTTCCAGTGCCCATAGACCAAGCGATCTTAGTCATATTTTGTATATTTGAGACCACGTCTCACTAGTTCCAGTATCCAAGTCCAGAGCCTAGAAGGAGATTTCCTAGGCAAATACATCCCAGAAACCGAATTACGTGTCTAGAAGCTTATTCCTAGACAAGAGATTTGAGTTTCAATAAAGAAAAGTAAAGCTCTGGCTAGGTTGATCTTAATAAAAGATTAGTTTAGCGAGCCTCCCAAGAACTCACACGTTATCTACCACGAAATAGGAAAAGTTGTAGACCGTGTTAATTGAGGACTGGCAAGCAGTCTTATCCAAAGTGTAATTGTGGTGTCATTACATTTACACGACTTTATATAAGACCCTCGGTTATTAAGACAACGTGACACAGAGAATTGGCGCATGCTCAATTCTTGCCCAGCTTGCCAATATAAGCTGGTCGATGAGCCGACTCTGGACTTCTCAATTCTGTGTGCATGTGATGGGAATAACTCAGCAAAACTCGTAGATCCTGCAGTATGTAGCGGTGAGGAACATCTTGACCCTCGCTCAGGGCTATCATCAATCTGGCTCATGGAGTTGTACATTGACCAATTTAAAGATGAAGTCCGATCTGCTCGGGCACATCAAGTTAGGCAACAACCTAGTGACCCTGACGACCTGTGGATAGACGAACCAGACTCGAACGATTCTGCAGAGCCACCTACCATATGCGTTGACCGCTGGCGTAATGCAGTGCCCTGAATCATGCAAGAAAATGTTCGCTATATTTAAGAAGTCTGGGATATTTGTCACAGTGTGCCGACATGGTTTTCTCCTTACCATCTGTGATATGGTCCAAAGCGGTGAACTGTATTTCGGTTTCACTTATCTGACATTTGATATGCAGGCTAATTGTTAAGATCGTGCTCAAAGGTTCAATCCAAAGGGCTTGGCTTCAGCTCATGCGCTGCACCCCTTACCCGAGTATGTGCCCCTAACCTCTGAAGGCTAATGGACGATGTCCAGATTCCGATTGTCCGATGCGCAGGAATTCCGGCGGACATTCGGGAACAGGTGATAAGACTAATCCGGACGATGTCCAGACTAGAAAGGAAACAGCGGAGGACTACCAAAGGTAGAGGCGGAGGTGATAAGTCTATTGGGATCGACCCTAAGACTAGCGGAGGTCGACGAGAGAATAACTCAAGTCAAACAGAGGGGAGAATGAGCAGAGTCTAAGATAATATTTGAACTAAAGATGTACATAGATTCTACAGGGTTTATATACTATGGAGGACTTAACGGAGGACAAGCCAGCACAGTCCGAAGCTATGCGAGGCTGTGGACGGAGGTTATAGAAAAGTCAAACACTAGTCTATCGAAAATAGTAAATGAACCCGGAGATGAGAACAGAGGAAAATAAAGGTGGAAGTGAAATGAGGTACGGAAAATAATATAGTCTAACTGGAATAGGAATGTACAAAGGGATTAGGCACAGAAGTTAGACGCGGGTCGGATCTGGACATAGATAGAAGTCGGTCGGACCCGGATATCCGGAAATGATGTGTGTGATACATCCGGGTCCGGAATGCGGGATATGACACTAATGCATTGACAGAATGAAATACCTGATTGCTAGCATGAAGAAGCTCATGGACGTTGTAACGATGGCCGCGGCGCTGGGCTTGGAACCAGGCAATCCAACACCTATGTTCATACCATTCCCCAATCTCCCTTGACCTTCCGAAGGCCACACGCACTTGTCCGAATCTTCCACAGGCAGTTCTTGTGTTCCGAGACCTGTCCGAACCTCGCAAGTTATCATACCATGTCCTATCCTCGTCCTTTTGACTTTGCTGGTGCGTTTTCCTTTATTCCAACTATATGTTAACTACGTCTTGGTGCTACACAGATAACAATCCCATTGGCATCCTGTCGGGAGTCTCGGAATATGTATAAGCAGTACGCATCGTGGCTTATTACATGTATACTTGCATTCTTGCACGCCTCACGGCTTATTACATAGGTTCAGACTTGCTTATCTCGCTACTAGTTTCGCCTATGGATTCCGGCCTCTCACGGAAGTAGGATATAATCTTGCTCGCTGGCTACTGATAGGACACTTCACTTCCCATACTTCGAATAGTAATTAGTAGAGTCACCTCGGTATAATCGTAAACTGCGCAATTGATCCTTGTTCATTTGGAACAATTGTCTGGCTAGACCGCTGCCAATTTCGCACTTCGTTATTCTCGAGTCCCGATAGATTAGCATTGTTCCAGACTTCGGACGCTGCACATAGTCTTATACTGTTATTCAACACACCGACATACCGACACATTGACACACTGACATATATAGACCTTCGGACAGCCTTCGCAAACCTCGGAAGGCATCGCGCTACTTCGGACAACACTTTCGCAGCCTCGGACGACCTTCAGTCGCATCGGACAAGTTTCTCGGTACTTCGGAAGTAGTCTCGGAACTATGGATGAGCATTAAAGAGGTTTTCTTCCAATATCTTGTCTACTCTTTAACTGTATAAGACTTCCCTTGCATTATCAATGTAGTTCTTAGGTTGTCTCTTGGGATGAAGCATACTCACATCTCTCAGGACTAGGGACTCACATTCAGTAGAGCCCAGCCCAGATCTACTCTTTACAATGTCTTTGGCAGCAATATACTTTATGGGTATGATATCAAATGTGCCTTCGAAAAAATTACACAACGGAGCTCACTCGCTGACAATGCAAAACACCTAAACCTGCAGGACATTGTGCCTGCCTTTCACGGGCATGCCCACAACCGTCTTTGCCAAGTAGAGCACCATTCGAAGTATAAAGTTGGTGCTGGGAAAGAAGATTTCGAGACCTGTGAACGGGTCTTTTCTGAATCTAATGCACTTGCTGCCCAAATTCAAAACACCACGGATTTCCATCGCCACCAAGCACTTGATCAACATTTCTCTTTTGCTGATTTGGACAAATATGCAGCCCTATGTACGTCACATCATTTTTGCAGGGTCCATGCTAACGCTGAATGTAGCTGAGTTTATTTATAATAATTATGTCCAAGTGCTGACAATTATCTCTACAACAAACATATTCCTCGCCAACTTCCATGCATCAAATGCTGCCCTCGAGCCCAACTTCGAAGATGATCTCAAGGACGAGCACCAGGTTTTACAATGCCTTGCGCGCAAGAAGGAAGAATCCAGCATTGAAGTTGACTATGTGAAAGCATTGAATGAGTATGACGAGGCCCAGTAAGTTTTTTGTTCGGCCGCACACAGAAACTGATGTTAATATTATGTAAGGCATTCATATGAATCCGCGCGTGTGGAGTTCAGTACCCTTGATTTACAGGTCAATTATTCTACAAGGGAATCTGGTGACATACGCCGCCATCATTCACATGCTATTAACAAACACAATCAGAAGCTCAAGGTTGTCATCAATTATGAACATCAAATGGCCCTTGACTTGAGATGGGGTCCAGACCACCCAGAGCGGATAAAGGCACAATCAATCAGCTGTTCCACAAGGCTGTAGATGACGTTGAATGTCTTGTCATCATGCATCTGCTTGAGTTGACTAAGTTGCAAATGAGTGGACTAGGTAAGGCTTGACAATATATTTCACATTTTTAACACTTGTCTTCAGTAGGTTACAAGCTTCGCACTCAAATCTCCAAGGCACTCAAAAGTCATGCGAATGCAATTTGAAATGCCCTTACTCGATACAACAAATATGCTGCTCTCCTAAGCCCTCCCCGCCCCCCATTACAATGGGACCAGATTGTAGAGTATTCTTTCCTTGCCGAATTTGATTTGCTACGGGAAACAGATGGGGAGATCCAGTCGAAGAGATGGGCCAACCCATCTTACCGACACGCGTCTACACAATATTTTGAGCACCAGCGTGCTAATGAAGAGATTCATCGGCTGAATGTCGAGGTTGGATGATTACTCACAAAGATGCAAGATGATGCCATTGATTATCCCCACGCCATCGCACAACTTCAGTCCAATGACCCACCCCTTGCAGCCGAACTCTGGCTGTCGCTGGACACAGCTTTGGTCCATCAATGCACGTCACATTTGGCGCATGCCACAGATTATGAAGCTTCCTGGTTACAGTGGGCCAAAGAGTCCTGGCACTCGTGTAGGTCAGGTTGATGTTGTGTGCGCTTATCCCTATGAAGCTGTACCACATGAACAGGATAGAGAGGACGGAGATGGAGATGACACAGAGCTTGGGCAACAGTTGGAAGACGTACGAGCTTACATTGAGGGACTAGATCATCACCGTGTGGACTTAGAACTTGCAGGATAGTAATACCCTTGTTTTGTAATAGATCACAATATGCCTTTGCTGGATTGTGTCATTGGACCATGAAAATGAAACATCTGGAGCACTGCACATATTTGAATTCAGTAACTCAGACAGTATGCTAATATCAAGTGAGGATTTACGATGCAGATTTGTGGTATATAATTCAGTACTTGATAGAGTGACTCACTCTATCAAGTACTGAATTATATACCACAAATCTGCATCATAAATCCTCACTTGATATTAGCATACTGTCTGAGTTAGTACATATTTGTCACGCTGCATCTTAGAAATGCCATTGCCTCATTGCAACCTAAGGCTGATCTCAGTCATCGTCCATCATGTCCTCTAACCTGTTAGACTGGAAGTCCTCTACATACAACAGATCTCCTACAGTTGGTGGCTTTGAAGAGTGCAAGGTTCTATTTCCTTGCCCTGAATATCTTCAATCAATTGCTGGATATGACCATCACTGGAACTCAGCACTCTTATCTTTGGTTACTCACGGATTTCACAATGATGACGGGCATCTAGAGCAGAACAAAGGCTTTCATCCACTTACTAGCGAACACTATCTCACTGGGTTTTCTAAATCTCAGATGGATACAGAGGAGCAGAGGCTAAATAATTGGTGGGCTCGAGCAATTCATGCAGAGTAGATATTGCAAACTATATTTGACCTGGCAAGTGTCATCTCCTATTCAGACCTTTCCTTCCACTAAACTGTATGTTCAGTGCACTGCTTTAGATAGGTTGACAGGTGGTTCAACAATTGTCCTGCATCATCCTGGTGCTACACCTCCATCCTTGGACATCTCTCCTGAGAACCTCAAGGCTGAAGTCTATATCAATCCCAAAGTGCTCTTGGAGCATTGTGAGCTTCACTTGGTTGTCGCTCAAATCTCTCAACTCTTCATCGCTGACTATGCGACACCTTTGGCCCAAGCCTTCGCACAAAATCGTATTCGCAACAATTGGAAAGGCAGTGGCCCAGTCTCTCAAACGCCTTCAAAAGGCAAGACAACATTGAAAGGCAAACAAGTTGAAATCGTGCCTCTTATTCCCTCACCTGTTTCACCATCATCAGCGCATTTCACTTTTTATGGACGTCCTCGAGGCTCTTTAGAAGGTCTCACGACTTCGAACTCCAATATCTTATCATATATGCCATCCTACGACAGCAGAATTATGTGGAAGCCAACTCAGATCCGATTATTGCATACTCGGGAGAGCAAGGGTTATCATGTCCGCAAAGAGGGACCGAGTAGGAGGGCTGTCGTATCAGCACAGGATCACAGTGCATGTCAGGTAAATTTAAGTTTGTTTTCCCAGTGGAACTATCATCTAATCGGTCACTCAGCCAATGACCCCTGCTGTTTTTAACCAGTCCTCAAGCAGTAGCCAGGCTGAGAGATGTTACCCTCCATCAAACAGTGACAATAAATGTTACCCTCCTTCAACAAGTGACCAGGCCTGGAGACATTACCCTCCTACAACTCCTACGAGGAGCAAAAGCACATCCTTCGAATTACCCACACCCACGTCGATCACTGCTAGGTCCCCATCTGATTCGCGGCATTATAGTGTGCTGGCGCTTGTTCCTTTTGGGAATGAAACGGAGGTAGTCCTAGAAGAGCTAGGCTACCCAGATCATTTTCATTGGGTCTGCATATCAATCGGCAAAGATTATCTTCTGAAGCGGTGGTTTTTGAAATTGCAGGAGGTCGCTGAGATCTTGGAGGAGCACGTGGAGGCTATTGCAAATGCTATGTTGACTGATTCTCAGGTGTTGCTCTCATAATACTTTTTGTAACATTTTTTTTAATCTGGCCTTGTATGATTTGTTTAAAATGCTATTCGACCTCTCAGCCTGTCACCTCATTCCCTGTCAGAATTACTGTAATGGTGCTCCCAGGAACTGCTCGCTTGCACAATCCTCGCTGGTTAGCTCCTCGAACACGCACCCCATATGTCAAAGTATTGAAAGAAGTACGTCAGCAACTAACAGAGCAACAACGGGCTAAACACCTTGACAAGGACCAAGAGGTTTGAGCTGTTCTCAATTACATTAAGGCAAAGGCCACAGATTTGGCGTCTAAGTTCAAACAACCTCGACGCCGCTACCTTAAAAAATTATCGCTTGGTTCTGTTGTCCACCACCGCAAACGCAACAAGACAAGTGCCTGGCATGCCTATATGCACTTCAAAGGCATCCAGGACAATGCCAGTAAGTTTTCCTCATAGTACGACTACTGTGTTTGTTGCTAACTCGGCTGTTCTAGACAAAAGCTTCAGTGAGAAGTCAAACATTGCCAATCTTGCGAAGGACGAAACCGAGTACCACCAACTTACCACTGAGGAGAAGGCACAGCTTATAATTGACTTTGACAAAGTCAAGAAGAGTTCTCGGGATCGTCCTCCAAACATCACCACTAGATCACGGGCTGCTGAATGTTCCCGGAGCTTCCAGTTGGTGAGAGAAGAGGTGTGTACTTGCTGCCTTACCTTTGGTTGTCTGTTTGACTAATACTTCACGCAGCTTGAAGCTCTCAAGGAATGTGTTGGCGTTGAAGCCTTCATCGTTATGGTTCATGGTGTTTCTGACTTCACCATGGTGCCAAAGGCATTCTTCACAAGCCCCGCAGCTGAACACTTTGTTTGTTTATATCTACGTAAGGACATCGCGCAACTGGCAACCAACTTTGAGAGCACAATACTGGCCAATGGCCTCGTTATGAGTTCATACTTAACTATTTTTTTCTATACACATGGTTTAACTTTGTTGTAATCTAGATGTGGCTGCTAATCATCGACAGCATGTTTCTAACGTGAAGACTGCCATTTGAAATGGTATTTGTGCATCACTTTGTAAGCCCCCCTTTTTTGTGTTTAAAATTATCCACTGATTCATTGCAGGCAAAGTAACAAATAATCCCTCAGCGGTAATGGAGTTCAAATGCTATAATGATCTTGTCCAACGCTACCACGTCAAGCTTGTAGGGTGGAACCACCCTAAATGGGCCAATCCATCTGACCTGAAAAGCGGTATTGAGAGCCTCGAGAATGTGGTCCTTGTGATTCAGGCCAATACATGTAAGTTCGTAAAAATCACACCACAAGAAGCCAAAGAGCGACAGTGTCATATCAATGATGGTGAGATACTCACTCCTGACCTCAAGCCCCCAATGCCATCTGACTTGCCTGCTCCCGATTCAACACAGTCATCAATGACCAATGTTTGGACATCACTGCCACCACCATCATCCGACATTCCTACTCCCCATTCGACTCAGTCACCAACGGCCAACACTCGGACATCAATGCCGCCACCATCCAGTGTGTTCGAGTCTGAACAATCTGCAGATTATGATATCACACCTGCTCCCATGACACCCACTGCGGCTTCGTCAGAGCCTTACATGCACCCCTCATCGATTACAAATGAAATGGTGGATCCCATTCTTCATGCACTTGATCATGGTAAATATACCTCTACTCTAGTTTAAACAATGTGTTGATGTTGTATTTCAGCCGCTTCTAACAATGGACCTCCCATAGTGCAGTTGCCTCCCACTCCTCCCATGCCTACTCCTCTTCCAATGCCCAATGAAGCACCAGTTCTTGTCACAGCAACCAACAGTAAGCAAACTGCAGATGGTCCACCTGCTGGCACCTTACGTTCGAAATGCGCTTGGAAACTGACTGAGAAAGGCCAATCTGAATTAGAGTCAAGGAACCACACATGGTGCAGGGCAACAAAGAAGGGGACTCGGCGCTCGAAAAAGAGTAGCGCACATGTTGAATCTGATAATGAAAACATCTAGAATAGGTGGATAATATACTCAGAGTTAGAGACGAGGGAACACACAGTGCAGGGCAACAAAGAAGGGGACTTGCATTCGAAAAAGAGTAGCGCACATGTTGAATACGATCACAAAAACATCTAGAATAACTTGGCAATATACTCATTTCATTGGCTCATCCTGTCTGAAGTAGTACAAGCTCGCTGTCTATGTATCAAGCCTCCGTACTTAGCCAATTGCCCCAAGAATCTACAAGGTCCCTCGCATAGAGCACCGAAGTACTCATGCCATCGTTGTACCGTCAAATGAAAGAGCCAAAGACTGCGACAGTGTTGAACGTGTTCCCAGAGTTGGTTGATTTGTCGTGGGGGCTATGTGTGCAGGAAGCAGAGACAGATCTGGTCCATTGATGTAGGAACAGAGACGGGTGTATAGTCTTTGTGTATGGAGTATGGATGATGTATAGTCACTATAGTGAGCGTTAGCAGCAATGAGCAGGTTATAAAGTTTTGTACGTTACCTTGTTGATTTGTCGTGGGGGGCTATGTGTGCAGGAAGCAGAGCCAGATTCAGTCCGTTGATGGAGGAATAGAGATAGGTCTATAGTCTGCATGTACTGCCAAAAAATGCTGGAAGAAATGGTGAAATTTGGCAGGAGGTGGGAGCTCATCACGGTAGACGGTGAGCACGTTGTTTGGCAGGTGTTTGCATCAGCATGACTGCCAAAATCGGCCTGGGAAAGACATACCGGAAAGAGAAGTCAAGGCTGTTTGAGAAAACACTCACAAGTGACTGAAACCAGCTGGGGCGCACCGCCGGTGCTCGATACCAATGCAAATAAGCTTAATTAAGTGGCAGATAGAGTGCCGTCAGGCCACTTTACTAATTCAGATATGTGGGAATCATAGGTGTTGAATCTATAGTAACAGACAGATGGCATAGTTTTTTTTTAAAAAAAAATCCAATTTCTGTCCATTGGGGTAAAATATCCTATGTTGGACAGTACTAACTAGTCTACAGGGCCCCTGCCCTATCTACATCTCTGAATTTGCGAATGCCCTGACATGAGGATGTCCTCCGCCAGTCCACCATTCCCGCTGGCTGTTTTAGATGCGCAATTCATCGAAGACAAGTTTGACTTCTCTCTTCTTGTCGTGTGTGTGTATCTGATGCATAGTAATGTAAACTGAAGCACGTACTTGACTGTCCCTAGGGACAGTCCATACATGAAGCTAAGGGGGAGGTGTGTTAGTGACATGGGTTGGTCTTGTCTCTCGTTTGATCCTCCCGTGGCCTTCCTGACTCTGGGCAGATGGCATAGTTGACCAAGATGCCATTATTACATTATGAATACCATGGTTGTCATGTGTCGATAAAAATATACAAAAATGACATGTATGTATGATTCACTTTCAGTCTGAAGGCTGGGTATCATCTTGATGTCATAAGCAACCTGTGAACATTCAGTGTGTACCATGTGCCAATGGTATGCTACACACCACCATGATCAGGTACTAAGACTTCTTTCATCTGCGCTCGCTTCTCCCGAATTCTTGCCAGTGCACTGTTCTTGACAAGGGGATGTTGAGCAGTCGTATATGAAGGAAAAAATTGGCTAGCAAATGTGAGAATCAATTAAACAGAATAGGTTCCCGATCACCTGTTCCACTACACAGTTAGGTTGTCCACCTCTTGTTTCTCATCCAGGTCTTCGAAGATTTCCAAAATTGAGTTGTAAAACCTTTCAGAGTCGGTGACTGTGTCTGTACGCAAGAACACGGGCGATGAGGTGAGGGAAAATCAAATCTGGAATGAATATACACAGTTTGTTAGAAATGTAGATATGCGAAGTGTAAACAAACCTGTGTTGCAATATAGGCGATGGAGGACAGTGTGACTCGGGTCATCCCATGAATCCGAGCATTACCTGAACAAGTTGCCTTAGGTTCTTTGTCCACAGAACTGGGGGACGTAAATACATGTCTATATGCCTGTGAGTCTAGTTAAGCACCACATCATGACAATTCAATGCATTATACAGTGTAATTACAAGTAACATGTTGTGCATTAATGAGTGTAGTTACAAGGTACAAGTAAATGCATTAATCAGGTGTAACCACAAGACACTGGTGCTCACCAGGATAATGCATCACATTACCCATGACCGGTTGACCAGTCATATGTTTCAAACATGTAGAGACATGTGGCACTTTTTTCTCCAGTGATGACATCACTCAAGGAAAAAGTGCCACATGTCTCTGTATCATGTGATGGGGCAGTCTTGGAGTCGCGTGAGATGTTTTTCGCGATTTGCAGAACAATATGCCGAACAATTCCAAATTCAGATAGTAGTAATACATCAAAGAGGAGCCCGTAGCTCTGGTATACAAAGATCAGGAAGAGCCAACACCAATGGATCAGAAGACACCTTGCAGGTGATGACAGTAAGATGCTGCACCCAAGAAGCCTCAAACTTAGAGCCAAGGTTATGACGTATCTGAGCCTAGTGAATGGCATAGGCAACTACCCCTTCCTTTTCAGCCCCTGAGAGAGTGCAGAAATGAGCTATATTGTCCCACCAGAGTGCATGCCATCGGAGAAATTGGAGAACACAGCGCATTTCTTCCTGCAGCAACTCGACTTCTTCCTTCTACCACATCATCCTAGCATGAGCTTTGCATCACTCAATCCAAAGACCTGTTAATCCAGTTGTCATGAGTACCTTTAACAAACCATTATTCTTTCTTGAATCTTCCCAAACGTCAATACACTACGCCTAAGTCTAACCCTAACCCTACACTGAAAGCGTCTATCATCCCTGAAATACATTTAGCGCCCACGACACGTGTCTTCAATGTGACTGATGAAGAAGACGAGTTCTTTGATTGTGAATAGATTAGATTAGATACGATAAGATAAGATATGATCACATGATACTTCCTTAATATTCTACGATGTTCTATGGTACGATTCTCTTTCCCTTTTTATGATTGGCTAGTAGTTGTATCTCAGTTTCAATCTCAGTTTCGATAGTTGTATATAGGTAGCACATCTTGGTCGATAGTTCCTTAGTTCAAACCTCTTGTATCTACACTGTAGCAATCCAAGACGTACTTGCTCCTCTTTCTCTTGTCGTGATAACCTTAGTCGAGTCCTAGTCTCTGCCCAAGCGTTAATTCGTTATTTGGGTTGTGACACCAGTGAGCGTTAAATTTCAGCTGTATGAGAGAAGAACCATACCATCCTGGACTACTTCATCCTCGTCATCTCCAACCCCTTCCACCATCCAAATCCACGAGAGCTGCCTTCTTCCCTCACTTTCTCCTTTTCTTGGCACTGACATCCCATGCACATCATCTTTTTTGTTCAGCAAGCGAAGTTTAAAATTCCAACCTACCTTATTTAAAATAGGTGCAAGGGAAGATAATGCAGTATGGGCCACACAATACTTGTCAGCTGCAGCTGCAGCCCTTGCCTCTACTCGGCCAAGTGCATTTTGCGCATGGGTGTTTGCACTCTGTCCACAAATCCAGTTCCATTTGAAGGTATGCATGTAGTTGAAGACTTTGTCTGATCTCATCCAGTGCGTCTCTGGCCTGTGTGATTTGTAGCTCCCACTCCATTGTGAGAAGGTAGGGGCTGCAGGATATGGAGTCAGCTGTCAATGATGATGGTAAGAAGAGCTTGATTTCTTCTGGATTGTCTGCCATGCTGACAGGTTCCATTTGGGATGATCACAACTGTGCTATTGGAGTGTAGAGCAGTTGCACTCGCTTCCACGCATCCACCTTGCGCTGGAGGGCATCCTGCTGCCACACAAAGACAGTCTTCTGTCTATCTGTTTGGTGCTCTCCTGGGAGAGAAGAATCTGATTTGAAGTGATGCCTAAGGCTATTTAGTGATATCAGCAAAAATCATGGTAGCACTACTCACTGTTCACTCTCGAGGTCAATTCCGGTTGCAATAAACACACTGGGTGATATGTCTGGATGTAGTGACATGTTGTTACCTTCCCAAAGTTGATGTGATTCCATTTCAACCAGTTTGAGTTGAACTGCAGCTTGTGTGATTGCTATTGAAATATTAGATATTGTGTGACATTTGTTTCTAAGGGATTGGGCACAGATGCATCATTGGGATTTTCTTCCCAATGCTTGACATATGCTCTCCATCCTGTGGTGGTCTCTGGCTTCAAGGCTCTGTTGAGTTCTTCAAAAGCATTTGTGTGAGCTTTATGTTCCTCATTAGCCTCGTTCATTTTGCGAAGAAGAGTAGCACCTGACACAGTAGTATGGAGTGAGAAACACGCCAAAGTTGTAATGCTAGAGCCAACACGTATTGAGGCCAACTAATTTCTTCCAGTTCCAATCACCGAAGTGATCATCCAGCATGTCCCTTCGAGACCCTGGTCCCATTTCCTTTGTACTCAATGCTACAGGATTAATATTTGACCACCCTCATTCAGGAGCCTCTCCATCTGTACACCCAACATTTTTTGAAAAATTGAAGGAGAATGTAGACTGACACTTTAGTATGTGGGTGGGTAAATGAAACTTTGGTATGAAGAACCGGACCAATTTACTTGCATGATCCAGTTGAAGATGAGCCGGCATTGTTGACATGCGTTGCCAGAGATGCTTGTGCCATTGGCAAGCAATATTGTACAAAATGTTGAGAACATCAATGCACTGTTGACTGAGTGTCGAGAAAAAAAGATAGTCCATATTCGTGTACCTAAAAATGAATGCAGTGATTAGTATTTTGAAACAGTATTGCTGGTTATTATCACAAGTGCCTTACCTCTCACCCTTCTGTAAATCTCCGACACCATTCAGTAATTTCATATTGTGTCGTGCGCAATCAATCGTCCCTACACCTGTCGTAGCCAAGCCTTGTGAAGCCTTCGTGTTGGCCATATTAACGGTGTTGTGAGAAGAACAGGTACTCCTCTGTGCACATGAGGTCAGATAAAAGATATAAGGGAAGAGTGAGTGAAAGGAGCACCTCCTGTGGCTTCCCACTATACTACTGCAAGTGAAATTTGTAGGCTGTTTCCTCAACAAAATATGCCCATCCACAACTCAGCCCAGGGTCCGTGCCTTCCTTCGAAATTGCACGCCTCTTCAGGCGAAAATTAGCATCTATAGCGACAAAGAACGCATATAACCATCTGATGATGGAATTGTAAGTGATTAATCAAGGTCTCACATACTAGAATAAGGATGGCTACCGCTTGTCATCTGGCGCATCCTGCCAATCATCTGGTAGGTTTTTGCCAGGCTGGGGACAAGCAGGACATACAACAGCACATTCTCCTTCCCTCCTTCCCTCCACACCTGTTGGATCATGTCTGCAACCAGCACATTTAAGCATCTTGAGGTGGCACCACTCTTGAACCATCCACAAGAAGGCTTCATACCGATCCTATAAATGAATTAAGCGGCTAGAAGATGATTAGAAGTATATCATGTACCTTGTGTGGGTAAAGACCAGTATTATCAGTAAGCCGTGCAATTGCATGATAAAACTTATAACCGGATGCCTTGGACTCAAAGGACAACAGATGGTACTGTTCAAGAATTTGAAATGTGGCTGCTGTTCGGGGTTCTGACATAGTTGCTGGAAACCAAGCTGCACAAAGTAGCTGCATTGTGTGTGTCTGCGCAGTGCCGCAACCACAGTAATCAAGCCCAATTTCGTGTATACCATTGGTGTGAATTAGCGTAAAGTCGTCATTAAATGCCTGTTGGGGTAATAGACACTCCTCTCCAATCGGATGACCAAGTTGTACCTGTAATCCAAGCTGTTTGAGTGACAGAGCAGCAAATGAAGATCCTGTCCATTTCTGCACAAACATAAGTATGGTCGAGGTGATAAGTACAGGAACTTGCCTGAATCCGATGGAGGGGATTCCTGGTGTGCAAAGCCACAATACATACTGAGCAAAACAATTCCCCAGTGAAGCAATCAATGCACTGATATTCTGGTAGGCCAAAATGGCAATTTTCACAGACACAAATGTTCATGTAGTTGCCCTGTCCATCATGCTGCAGAAGCTCGAGTAGGAATGTGTCACATTTGGCTTTCCATGATAGAAGAGGATGATCCTATGCATAGGGTTTAAAAGAGTTGTGGCATAGAATAAAACTAGTAACTTACACCAGCTATGCGTTTACATTTGTGATCATCTTCAGTCTCCAAACATTTAGTGTCTATGTCTGCCCCAGTAAAATCTGAAAAGTCATGGTTCATGTGTGAGTCAGTCATTGACGAGTTCATTGCTTTGGCGAATTGGATTGAAGATGTACTAGGCTTCATGGTGACATGAGATCCATGTGCTGTGAACCCTTGTTTTCGAGAAACAAAGGTGTATGTCTCGTGAACGCTGCTTGATGCCTTTGGAAGCTGGGAGGTATAGATATTGATCTTTTTCCGCTTTGCTGCAGCACATCTTTTAACTTCCATGAATGACAGATGTCCAGGCATTTGCCCGACTTGAGAAGTGACAGGTTCTGGATGCATAACTTAAGTCACAAGCAGAATAGTTAATATGAACTAGTCGAGGCGACTAGGAGGAACTCAATACTACTGTTGCAAGTAGTACTATGACTGTGCAAGTGTGTGGGTAATAGTATTAGTAATGAAGAAATGCATTATATGCTCATTGCACTGCCTTATAAATGGGCCTGCTGGTTAGTATTCCCTCACTGCATCTTTCCTCGCATTTATTCTGATGTCTGAGTCTTCAGGCTCAAGTCCTGTACAACACTCCAAGTCAGGAAGATCTCCACCACCATCCAGTGATCCTGGATGCTGTCTGCACCACTTTTGTATGGTTCTGTGCGGATGTTATCATTTTCCTTAAACCTCATTGAGTACAGCCCCAATTTTTTTAGCTCAATATATTAATCAGAAAAACTCGATGCTGACTGGTCCAGGAGTGCCGCCCAGGCCTCATGCACAGTGTGAGGAGTTTTGCCAACACATCCACAGAAACTGATTGTTCACCAGGTTGTCCTGCACTATCTGCTGTGTACACTCCACCATCGACCTTTGGTTTGCCCACTATTGCACCAATACCCCCACCATTACCCGATCTGCCACTGATGAGTGTTACTGGCACACTTTTTCAGTTACCTGAAGCTTTACCACTCACTATCACACCCTACTTTGCTGGAGAGGCTGATGCAAATGTTAGGTGGGTCAAACAGGATCAAGCTTTATACAAGGAACTTGTTGGTGCAATCACTGATGATTGCTATGTATACCTATACCATGGGATCCTTTACAATATGCCTGCAGTGCCTAGCAAATCTGGACCCTATTACTGTGTCACTTGTGGATGACACATTGGGGTTTTCAATCACTGGTAAGTTGGTTCTGTCTGATATTGTACATGCTCTCTGAGCACTTGTATCTAGGGATGAAGTTGTGGAGAACATCGAAGGCTTTTCTGATGTGGTTTACGCTGTTACTTCGCTTACCATTGGAGAAGTACTCCTTTGTGCTGGAATTAGGAATGGTGAAGTACACAATCGTCAAATATGAACTTAGCACATATCAATTTGTCTGTCCTATGTATTTACTGTAGCTTGCGATTTTTTGTCACTTGTTGCCTTGTTGAATTGCTGGACATATCTTGGTCCATGTTCATTTTCTCACACCACTTCTCAGTTGACACATTTCTTGCTCTCTCCTTTTCTGTTTGTGCTTGAGCTATGGTACAGCTCATTTGTCTTAATTGAAAGCATCTCAGTATGTCTCAACCACTTGGTCTCTTCGGAGAAGGCATTAGACATGAGTCCAGGTATGCAGACAAATGTTATTTATGCTATCAATAATTTTCATTGGCTGATTCATTGGGTCAGAATCAAGATTAAGTAAGATGTGTTCTTTGTTTATTGTTTATATATCAATTTTCCTCTGTACTACTATGTGCTCATCAACACCTTGAATCAGTCAGTTGTCAGTGAGTTATAATCGAGACTTTCGGACACAGGTCAAAGACCACAAGCTTGTTATACGAAAGTATACCATTGTTAAGACCATGCACAAAGGGTAGGACTGATTCTGAGGGGCTTGGCTTCAGCTCGTGCACTGTGCCCCTTACCCGAGTATGTGCCCTTAATTTCAGATTGATGTCCGGAGAAGATCCTAGGAGGTCCGAAGGATATCCAAAGGTGCAGGAAACTTCGGAATGGCTTTCTGGACAAGTGCAAGTAACTTCCGGATGAGTGCGGGAAAGTTCTGGAGGAACTTCTGGAAATTACAATGAGGTTTCATCCTGATATGGATAGGTGTAATGGCTACTCAGGACAAGTCCTGAGTAGAAGCAAACAGAGGTAAGGCTGCAAGGACAATGTCCGAAGCAGAATAGGTCCGGAGAACTGCGGGAAAGATCTGGACAAACTTCCAGAAACTTGGAGGAATATAGGATCAGAGGATCAGAGGATCAGAGGGTCAGAGGATTAGAGAATCAGAGGATCAGAGGAGCGGAGGAGCGGAGGAGTGGAGGAGCGGAGCTCCGGCCTAGGGAATTCCTCCCTAGGCCTAAGGAAGATTTCACAAGGAAGGAACTAGTATAAGGACTTAGTGTGAAGACTAGTGCGAGGACTAATATGATATTCAGACTGAGGAACTACAGGACATATACAAGAGTTTATATACTAAGTGACTATCGGAAAGATCAATAAGCAAGGTCTGAAGGCTATGTATGAAGCATAAGCAAAGTTTATCACAAGTCAAAACACAAGTCAGAAATTAGCACAGGTTAACGGATCATAACACATAGCCGGAAGTAAGTATAACCGAGAGACCGGGGACAAGGAATACCGAATAAAGGAATAGGCTGTGTTAACGTTATATGAACAGGAATTGAATTTAAGAAGCTTATCGTATATCGGATTGGACTGGACTGGACCGGATCTAGTGTCCGAGGTCCGGATGAAGCATGGGAACATTGTCGGATGTAGGTCCGAAATATGGGATATGACAACCATCAACAGCTTTTCATTTCGATAATCTGTCTGAACCAAGGTTAGACATTTCTGTCTCGACGAGTTGAAACACTAATTATATTTTACATCATACTTCCAGATTGCTGTAGTCCATTTGCTTCGACCATTGTACAGTATATGTTGCATCCACTCAATCTCAGCTCCTTAGACTCTCTGATTCTCATTCATTCATGTGGTCTGAACCAAATTTTCACAAGTTCATTCATTATTTATACTTTCAACTCACCTTGAAGCACGTTCATGCTAATGTGCCCCCCTGAGCCCCAGCAAGTATTCAAGTTCCACCATCTCCATCTCGAACATGCGCCTCTCCCTCACGATCCAAAGTATGAGCATTGCACGTGTCTTGTCTGACCAGAATGGTGGTGGTGGGTGTGGTATCAACAGTAGGTCAGGGCAGTACACCTGCTGGCGGATGCGCATTTGTGCGACACCCCACTTGGTGTATAACAATTCCTTTGAGGTAAAATGTCAGTAATGGCTTGCAAATGCAGAAAATACTCACTATTTGCCTTTCCAACATCGTGAACCTCACTTCCCGAGGCCTCTGTGCATGTTGTAGGGCAGGGATCTCTACATTGAATGGTAAGTGATTGGTATGAGAACATTTAAACACGACGCACCTCGTGATTGTGGTCCTCGTTAGCTCCTCTGTTAATGTTTGGATAGTAGTTCATTCTGTACTTGTAGATGTAGTTAAATGTAAATGTATACTTGGAATAAATGAATGTTCTTACTTTCGCCTCAAATGTTCAAGCTCAAGTCGGACAATGATTCAATGATTCCGGCATTTTCTGGATTTGCTTTTTGACAGAAGTATCGCGACAATGTTCACATCAATTTCTGGAGAAAGATGAGACTTATAGTAGATTTTTAGTGACTTACATCAAGCGAGATATTGTGTCATTGAGCGTGTTTGCATAGCATAGATTCTAGGATATTTTTGTAGCTCCCAATCAACTTCTTCACATTTGCTCATCAACGCACTGAATCAACAAAAAACACTTGTATTACAAAAAAATTACAAAAGCAATAAAAGTGTATTCTATATACCACCGGCTTCCCCTCCTGCGCATCAGGATGACATAGCCCGCCAGCTTCTGGCACATGGGAGCCCTTGACTGAAACATATCATTGTTAGATGTGCTTGCTGGGCAAGCAGATAGTACTTACAATGCCAGCTGCCTCATTCTCGTGTCTCTGAATCAATGAGTATCAGTTAAAATATATTAGGTAGCATTAAATGGAACTCACCAACTTCAATGGTCTTGTAACAATGTATCTGTTGAAGCTGCCGGACGTGTTGATAATTGGGACAATGTTTGTGAGCAATGATATAAAACAGTCAGTGGAACGGACCTGACAATACCAGATAACTCACAATGTCCGAAATGTGCGCATATGCATATGCACCGGAAATGACATTTATTTGTCACAAGAACAGATGACTGTCAAGTGAGTAGGGTATAGCACGGGTATTGAACATACTGAGGGAGATTCAGTGAGCACTGAGCGAGGCTGTGTCATCATGATCGGCAGTAAACTGGTTAGGTTAGCCATGATGATGGAATCAATGGAGTATCGAGAAATGTAGAGTTTGTATACCTCACTTTATACTGTTGAATTGCCGAGTGTTAATCAGTAATAGTAATGCGGAAGAATAAGAACTGGTAGGAATATTGGAGCAATGAGAAATAGGATCAAAGCAGTGGGTCACTGTTACAGTCGATGACCTCAGAAAATTAAGGATCTTAGTGAGTGGGCAAGTTGAGTGTGGATGGAATGTCCCAATAAGTAGTATTACTTGTTGATCGAGATCAATTGTGTGCACATGCAACGCGAGCAGCATGTTGAACAAGTTGAACATTTGAAATACATGATGTCATGCATTGATTTGCATAGTTAATATCATAACATGATTATTGGCATATAACTAATAATGTCCTGAATCCAACGAAACACAAATGCAAATGTCCTAAATCAAAGCAAAGCTCACAAACTCAGTGGTAACAGGTACACATAAGTATACATTCAGAGACCTTTATATGTTGTTTGGAGTACTCTCCCCAAATACTATGCATGTATGATATCTTACTCATTATCAACTTGCCACCAGTCACTGGACTTAGAAGCACTCCGACAGATGAACTTTTGACCAGAATACTACGGCTGATTGATAATGCTATCAAGGTGTGTCATTTGCATCTTCCAATGAATTTCTTGGAGTTCAACTCTAGATACTTTGTTCTGGTGATGCAGGTTATGAAGTCGGACACACTACAATTACAACATGAGCAAAATGTAATGAAGGAGAAGATATGTGACAATGGGGAGAAGATTAAGCAAAATACTAAAGTCTTGCCATATCTCATTGGTAATGTGGTAGAGGTGCACACATCCAGGTTGTAGCGCAGGGCATGCTCCAATTGCGAGAAATACTAGATGAGGGGTCAGTATCCTTCCAGTCACCATCTTTTCGTATCCATGCTTATGCTCACATCAAAGGTCATTCTGTATTACTAGCGCTGAGCGCTATGAAGGGACTTGGCAAGTATCTACTTACCTCCATGCACTCATATGCACCAAACAGCCCTTTAAAGTTGTCATCACCTTCATGATGCGGCTTTAGTAGTACAAGCTATTTCAGACTCTAACTTTCATAGTTGTAGGTAAATGGTGAGTTTGCACTCCATTTGATACCTTCACTCTTGTTGCTCATCAACTATGTTTGTTCAAGACATCATGTCCGGTTCTTCCCCCAGAACAGGTATGTTGCTCAGTTACCTCCATTTATCTCTCCCTTCATGTTTGCATCGTCCACACCAAGCAGATTTCAATGATTTCATTTGCGCTCATATTGAAGAGGGTACTTTGTTACAATCTTTTTTATTTATTTTTTATTTTATTTACACTTATATCAAAGAGGCTAGTGTATAATGTATTTCATCCAGACCACACAGTAATGCGAAAAGACTCTGATTTATTGTAGAAAGGTCTGACGAACCTACACAGTAATTGTTACGACTTGGATGGTATCTGTTGGCGACGCTCAAACAGAGCTTGTGTCGTCAACGGTCTGTGGACGTCCTTGGGCTAGCCCAAGGTTAGGGGTCGTACTTGGCGTGTCTTCGGCAAGTACGATTTAACGCCTATGTCCAAATCGGGTAGCTTATGTCACGCGGGTGCGAGACGATAAGCTATATCGGCCTAGGCTTACGACACCCGAAGGTTAATCGTAAGGATCGTCGTTAATTAGAAGGACAGAAGTCCGACTAGTTAACAGGGGCTTTGCTCATCGACGAAGTCGATGAGTAAAGGTCGAGACTATAGGCTTATCCGCGATGAGCAGATAAGAAGATAGAATATAGACTGCTGGCGAGGCAGAAGGATCACTCTGGTGAGAGTAGGAGGTCAAGAACCAAGTAGATTCAAGTTAGGGAATATAGTACATGGTAGCGAGTTTATATAGAGGACAGGGGACGTATTAGTGGATGATAACTCGTACTACCGGGAGAGGCAATCGGTAAAGGGTAAAACCATAATAGGAAGGCACGTTCGATCTCGGTAGAACGTGCTGGATAAGAAAGTGAGTCATAGATCGGAAAGAGAAGTGAAACGCGCAGGGGCACGATCGTGCAACTGCAGATCTAAGTATAAGTCGCATGTGCGACTGCGCACTGAGTCAGAGAATCAAGAAAGGGAACAGGGCAAAGGGGATGTGTCATGCATCATGCCATAGGTTACCATCCAGATGGTAAGGGCAAGGGGACTGTCCGCAGGATCAGTCAGGTGGTGAAACGGAGCATGGGTATGCTTCGTCAGCGAAAGGGTCTGGCCAAATGTACTGGCTTTGCTGAAGCGACAGGTAGAGGGCGAAAGGGAATGCGAGGATGACAAGGATGACAAGGGTAAGGTCGGGGTAAGGGTATGACGCGAGGGCTGATACAAGGAGTATTAGGAGAAAAATGGTAGGGGCCCAAGCGTCTAGATGTTCTTGTAACAGTAATGCGAAACCTTAACTATCAGACATCTAACTCATACATGGTAGAATAAGATAAAAGTCTGTTTTCCATTTTGACAGCAGTCACTCACCCTTAAAATTGCCCCCTCAATAATCCCCCTGAAAGCAATTCCTTACTGCAATGCCTCATCAAGGCCCCAAAAATTGAACCACTCCTGAGGAGGTCTTCCTCCAAAGTCAGCTCACTGCCTATATTGCCTGTCAGGTGACAAAGATTTACCACAACTTTTAGAATGCTACAATCCACGAATTTTTAAGATGTTGGACAGAAAGAGCACATCTAACTGATATCCCACAGGAAGGCGAGCTCAGTGATGTACAGAAGTCTTGCATGGCACAAGCAATCCTGAAGCGACAATCCGTAAGTTGCATAATTACATCATGATACATGTACTTTGTTAAAAATAAAATTCTAGGCCATTAAAAATTGGTTTTGGTGGCATACAAATGTCGCGCATCTGGCTCACTTGGGTGGATCTCGTGGTGTCTTAAGGCTTGATACCACATTGGGTGGAGATGAAATGAGAGGGACATGTTGTCTTAATAACCGAGGGTCTTATATAAAGTCGTGTAAATGTAATGACACCACAATTACACTTTGGATAAGACTGCTTGCCAGTCCTCAATTAACACGGTCTACAACTTTTCCTATTTCGTGGTAGATAACGTGTGAGTTCTTGGGAGGCTCGCTAAACTAATCTTTTATTAAGATCAACCTAGCCAGAGCTTTACTTTTCTTTATTGAAACTCAAATCTCTTGTCTAGGAATAAGCTTCTAGACACGTAATTCGGTTTCTGGGATGTATTTGCCTAGGAAATCTCCTTCTAGGCTCTGGACTTGGATACTGGAACTAGTGAGACGTGGTCTCAAATATACAAAATATGACTAAGATCGCTTGGTCTATGGGCACTGGAACTATGAGACAACGGTCTCAAGTATACTATATATATGTTCAAGATCACTTGGTCTATGGGACAACTAGTGAGACGTGGTCTCAACAATATGATAGATGACTAAGATCGCTTAGTCAAAGGGCACAGAGCAATGAGACAAAGGGGTCTCAAAGACAATATATATGACCAAGAACACTTGGTCTATAGCACTAATAAGTTTCTAAGGTAAGAAACTTATAATCTCAAGGGAATTCTTTTCCCTGCGCTTGTCACACTTCAAAGGGACTAACTTTGCAAGTGAAATATCTGATAGGCAGATTGCTACAAATGGGAGATCATATTTTTTTGGGGGGGAGAATGGGCTCTCCTTATATACATTTTGTGTGGGAAAGTAACCTAGGTTCACAAACAATAAAAAATAAGGAGGACCAATCAAAATATTGGGTCAAACCCAATAAAAGAATAAAATACAAGTGAAAGATGGAGCTATGACATCATTGTGGAGCAGAACATTCTGGAATGTGGAGTAATGACATCATAATGACATCAAGAGTGACATCATTGTGGAGCAAAAGATTCCAGAACCTTCCATGAGTGAGTCAGAGTGAGTCATTGTGGAGCAGAATATTCTAGAAGGAAATGACATCATGGATGATGTCATTGTAGAGTAGAATAATCTAGAGCTTGATGACATAATATCTTTCAACAGAATACCTGCAGGAGTATCTGTGGAATCTTATGACATCATAATGACATCATACCCTATGGGTACAATTTTATGAAGTGTCAGGTGAGTCAAAAGCATCCTAATGAAAAAGTAAAGTAAAGAAACACTAGATAAAAGTAGGTAGCAAAAATAAGACAGTTGGCAGGAATTGAAACACGGTCTTTTTGGATAGGTTTTTTATAGGCTTTGTACTTTTCTCTATGGTTTTCTCTAGCCAAAGTGAATAAGCCAAAGGCAAGGCTATACCTTAACCTTCATTTCCCTTCTCACATCAACTAGGTCTAAATGTGATTCCCATCTCACATTAGACTTTTTCCGTCAAAACATATTCAGATCGTGAAACTTGGGGAAAACTGGAAATATGGACCATGGTTTGAAACCAAGGTATGGGTTGACTAGTCTGAGGACTAAGCTAACAGACTTTATTTTTTGAGGGTCACCTAGTATTCATGTCCATGCATGATTCCCACATCATGCAGGACTATTCATCAATTTAGTAAGAGGAGATTGTATGCAGAGATAGACGAAGTAATACCATGTTTTCGTCATTGTAAGTGTCTCGAGCTCCTGGTAGAGTGAAATTTCATCTCCAGCATGGCTGACTGAGAACCCTTCCTCGCTGGGAGGAGGGACCATAGAATCTACATCCATGAAATAAGTTGAGAAGTTAGTGAGGTCGAAATTGTCAGATGGTGTTTGCAACATCATGCTCGGTCCACCACTCTCTGTGCTTAACAAACGCTCATGCTCCACCAAAGAAAGTTCTGAGAGATGGCATTAGGAGAAACATAATGGAAGTATGAATGGGACATACTTTTGAGGAGAGCGGAGCGCACTTCACGTGCATCCTGTTCATGTTCACGAATGGCTCCAGCATGCAGTGTTTTGACTTTTCCCCCGCCACCAACATGAACAATGCATCGTCTTGAAACACCACCCAGGGAATTGCGACTGGCAGGCATGGGGAACAGAGGTGTGTAGTGAGCGTTAGCAGCAACAAGGAGGTTATGAAGTTTCGCACGTTACCTTGTTGATTTGCTGCGGGGGCTATATGTGCAGGAAGCAGAGACAGATCCGGTCCGTTGATGTAGGAACAGAGATGGGGTGTATAGTCTTCGTGTATGGAGTATGGATGATGTATAGTCACTGTAGTGAGCGTTAGCAGCAATGAGCAGGTTATAAAGTTTTGTATGTTACCTTGTTGATTTGTCGCGGGGGGCTATGTGTGCAGGAAGCAGAGCCAGATTCAGTCCATTGATGGAGGAATAGAGATAGGTCTATAGTCTGTGTGTACTGCCAAAAAATGCTGGAAGAAATGGTGAAATTTGGCGGGAGGTGGGAGCTCATCACAGTAGACAGTGAGCACGTTGTTTGGCAGGTGTTTGCATCAGCATGACTGCCAAAATCGGCCTGGGAAAGACGTACCAGAAAGAGAAGTCAAGGCTGTTTGAGAAAACACTCACAAGTGACTGAAACCAGCTGGGGCACACCGCCAGTGCTTGATACCAATGCAAATAAGCTTAATTAAGTGGCAGAGAGAGTGCCGTCAGGCCACTTTACTAATTCAGATATGTGGGAATCATAGGTGAGATTCAATGCATGTCACCCTGAGACCCTTGCTCAAAATTTGCCAGTGATCATACATGCCTGTTATTTTTGTATCTTTTCACCGACACATGACAATAATGGTATTCATAATGTAATAGTGGTGTCTTGGTCAATTGTGTCGTCTGTCTGTCACTAGTGATGCGGAGGTTCGGTTCTGAACCGCGGTTCGAACCGGACCTTTCATGGACTGGACCATGGTCCAGTTCAACGTTCAGAGTATAGGCTGAACTGGACCGATGGTCCAGTCCAGCGTTCAGCATTCCTTGAATGCGTTGAACGTGTCCGAATGTGTCTGAACCTTTTTGAACTGCTTCCATTTTAGGCTACTCACACATACGAGATGACATCACCCACACACGCAATACACTGAACATGACATGATTACTCGCAACTTTTTCGCTTGGAATCCGATTCACAAGGACCATGCCACACTGGCAAGGTCCGTGAAGGTTTGTTTGCCTACCACTAACCCAAACATTACAAAGGAAGAACCTGATAAGGTATGGAGACTTTGGTTAATTTGGTTTAGTGCTAATGTATTTGTTAACGGGTCGTTTTTTTTCTAGGGTAGCTACATGAATTGTTCGGCACTCATGAACTTGATGGAAGTTAAAATGGATCAAATTCAAGGTAAGCTCAACTCTCTTCAAGCTTTCCCCCTCACAACATGGCTGACCAGTGTGGTCTGGGTGCAGATGGAACTCTCCTTGACGCCAGTCAAATCCGATGGTACAACAATCCCGACGACGATACTCCACTGCCTGTGCTTCCCGCTCAGGCACATCGCTCAACTCGTATCCCACGCCCTGCACCCAAGCTTGTTGACCCCAACAACTGCTGTCTTGCGCAAACGCAAGGCTAGCAGGTCAGTGGTCACGAGTGAGGGCTCTGAGGGGGAAAGTGACTGTGAAGGAGACCAGGATAATGGGGTAACTACGGATGCAGCTACTGACATGGATCATGAGACAGATATCGACGGCATCACCCCCTCCGAGCCTGCTTCACAGTAGTGTACCAGTACTCCTTACTACTAGCTATAGTACAATCGAGTATATTTACAATGCGTTCGATGTTCGAACGCTGAACCGGACGTGAACCGGACGCCATGAACGCATTCATGGCGTCCGGTTCAGCGTTCAGCAAAACGATTGAACCGGACGTGAGGTCCGGTTCAGCGTTCGCAAAATTTGTTGCTGAACCGGACCAAACCGGACTTCCGCAACACTATCTGTCACTATCAATTCAGTGCATGTCACCCTGAGACCCTTGCTCAAAATTTGCCAGTGATCATGTTGGTGATCACAAGTACAACTCATGTGTTTGTGGCCAGTATTTGTAAGAATGAGACCAATTGGACATACCTATGTGATACATGTCTTTTTGATGTGGTTCATAGGATACATAAAAGCAGTCATCCATTGTATACTTAGCTACTATAGCCAATGAAGGATCACAATTGTGAAGGCTTAACTTTTTTGGCCATTCAGATGCTCTCCTGCAATACCTGTCACCATGGTGACACTTGTGAATTCTATCGAGGCATTATAATTGAAGGGAGCACAGTCCATGAATGTGTCATAAATACAATGTGAGATCTTACATTAACAATCTTTGATCCTTTAACAAGCGAAGCTATGAAGTCTCGTCCTTGCATATTTGACAAGTCCTGCCATGTCTATCCTACAATGTAAGGCTTGATAATTTGATGTATCATGATTAGACTTATTATAGCAGTTTTACATATTATAATCCTTTATATGCCAATATCGTTTTCTGATGTACATGCATCATTCCCACGTAAGGTCAAATATGCATGTGTAATACCCACTGGCATATTTGGGGTTGTAATTTTTATCAATATATGATATTTTAATAATAATATGTTCATCCGTTCACTGATGATGGTACAAGACCCGAACAGGTCCAAAATCTCTGATATGCTCTGAAGTACTTGCATGCTTTACCTGGCCTTGGGTATCCTTACACGACCAGGTGAACCCATATAACTTGAAGATAGGCGCTGTTTTGTTGATGTTGTCCATAGACAGCAATGAAAATATTTCATGTTTTGTCTCGTATGGCCTCTCTGTCTTGTTTTACATTTTCAATGTCTCTTTACTCTCATTTACGATGATCGTAATTACTGCATCCATTATCATTGCTAGCCCTCTGACTTTGCATCTTTTTCGTTGGCATGTCTTTCGTTACACATTTTTCTAGTCCTCTGAGTTCCTTATACATTCCCTCGATCTCTAACACGCCATTCAGTCACGTTCCTAATACACAGAGGTTCTTGTCACGCTCTCCATGGCATGTGAAGCTGGATTTCTAGCGCCTAGTCCTACTTAATATTCATCGTCTCCTCAGTGGCAATGATACAGGTACTGTCATTTATAGGTAAGTCATGTTATCAAATCCAGGAAAACTACTGATAATTACGCAATCTCTGCTTGTGCAGCTTGAGCCTTGCCTTCTGCATGTGCTGTCATTTAGGCAATGCTTAGGACAATTACCGTCAGCCGCCGCGTCAGTAGTGGGCACGGCGAAGATTGATGATGCTGAAGCAACGGTGAGGACAATCGCATAAGAGAAACGCATTGTTTGGTGTAATATGGGATCGGATGATTCTGAAGAAAATGATAAGACGACGACTGGCTTTTGTATGCTGAATATCCTTTTTTCTTACTAGGGTATACCCGCGGGTCGGAAGATCAACACCGTACGTACACGTACTAACCTGCGGTTAGGGAAATGCATGGGTACACCCGCGGGTAAATGCAACACCATGGGTAAGCTGCCACTATACCGTGGGTACACCCGCGGGTAAATGCAACACCATGGGTAAGCTGCCACTATACCGTGGGTTAGTACGGGTCCGATGTTGACGGGTGCGGGTCCGGTGTTGATCTTCCGACTCGTGCTAGTATACCCTAGCTATTTCAGTTCCAATGAACATTTCAGCATCAGTACTTCTTTCAATGGAATCACTGTCCACAGTGCACCGGTACCACGTATGCAAGAAGAATTTCAAATAACTAGAGGTAGAGCGGATGGGATCTAACAGGTAAGAACAGTCTCAGTCTCTGGAAACAGAACTCTTATTGACGAAGCGTATACCTAACAGGTAAGAACACTACGCTAAGTCACTTATTTGTAAGGTAACGATAAAGGTATAGACTCATGTCTCAGTCTCTGGAAACAGAACTGAGACGCTCGTATGTTGGGGCGCTACTATCTATACGGTAAGTTTTTCGAGTATAGTGAAGATAAAATTTTACTTGGACCTTTCGGTCTCGACGTCAACAAGTCCTTTCTCCGTTCCTTCCGTCCCCGACATACTCCTTGCGCTCGCACCCTCTATTCCTCATCCCGTTCCTCTCCGTCTTCGGTATCTTCGGACTCGGGAGAATCAGACACCAGTAAATATTTATTCACACAAAAAAGCCAGTCGTGTTCTTCAGAATTATCCCCACATCACACTATCACGGTAACTTGAAATCACAGACAATGCGTTTCTCCTCCGAGTCTGCAATCGTACTCGTCGTCGTTGCTATTTTAGCACCGTCAATCTCTGCCATCCCCACTGACGCTCAGGCCAGTACTAGCGACGGTGCCGATAAATGTCCTATGTGGTGTATTCTTGACATACAATGCAAGGGCTGCCCATATATGATGTGTGTAAGTACTTGAGTATCGGTGGACTTAATGACATGACTCACATCTATGGCAGAACTTCTTTACGTGCGTCTGAGGGCAGTAGAGGCGATGGATATGAAGTGATTGAGGGTTGCAAATTCAGCATAGCATTGTATCATGTAAGGCAGCACCGTGACGTGTGCGGAGAAACAACAACAACACAACTTTTTTTGCCGTGAACAAGTGCATTATGTACTAACTTGAACTGTGACGGAGACGACTCGGAGCACATTGAAAACAAAGGATCCAAAGACCAATTCCGCGCCTGCTACCCCTAGACGAATAATTTTCTCTCATATGTAACAACCTGGCAATAAAAGATCAAAACATAGGAAAAATTTCATCGTCGTATGTATGAACTAGGTTACAAGTGGAGATGGGCAATGCCTGCAAACACTGGGTGTCATTTATATAATCGAAAACCCCTCAATTTTTGACCTTGTCAAAGAGTACCGTTACTAATGACAGCACCAGCACTGAGACATCTATCGGATACTCAAAGTACAGAGGGAGTAGTAGATAGAGACATCCGTGGAGGCCATCCATGGGGGCCTAAGTATCACGGACGAGCCGCGGCATTTTGGTTCCTCTTGACGGTTGTCTCTATTGAATTCATTTCAGTATCAATATTCTATGACCGCAGTGTAGACCACACACCTCAACCAGAACACGATAACCCCGCTAATCCTGCTCGACGTAGCACGCACTTTGATGAAAAATCAACGATGCGAACGCGACCATGATCGAAAAAGCTGACCTAGCGGATCTGCCGGTGTAGTGGCCGTACCACGTTCTTTCATTCAACGACTGTTTCTTTAGACGACCATCGATTGATGACGGATTTTTATTATTATCTCGTGAACGACCATACCGTGACGACCTGCAGGGTAGACGTGTTTGTTTTATTTCATTATTAGAGCGTGCAAGGCAGGCTTCATAATGAATTGTTTTGCTATACCCGCTACCCATCTGGCCATGGGTAATATACCAGTAGACTTTATTTCAAATATGTGAGAGATATGCGATTGGTGTATATCACAGATAGCCTGAAGCTCGAGGATTCGACAGGTTTACAAGCCTATGCTGTTGGATAAAAACGGGTAAGGTGTATGTAAGCACGCTGGCTTACTCCCATCGTCAGTACATACATATGACCCAAATAATTTTCTTTCAAGGCTAGTACTTGGTCACTACTTTCAGCCAACAGACGATCTGCCAGAAGTTGCCCTCAGTAAATCGAACAAACGGAAATGAGTAATAAAATGCTCCCTATCGTATTTCACCGGATCCCCGCTTGAACATTCGAGTCAGCTGTCTCAGGGCCTGCATGCTAGTAGGTGACTCGTGAATTTTGCAGTCGCGCACCATAAGTTCTCCCCATGATGATGGAATTTACGATGCTTTCTAGGCGTTCTATGGTCCGCACGTCAGTGCAATCAGCTCGACAAATTAATAAGGGTGCGAATGCGCAGCAGTACTTGTTACTGGACAGACATGCTAGTCAGTATTCAGCCTATCGTGTGACATTTGACAGTTCTCCGGGCGAGGTATGGAACCATGCATCAAATCCCTCGCGTCAAGTTTCGAAACACCTATATTCTGCCTGTCCTGCTGTCAAAAGTCAGACGGTGACTAATTCCAGGAAGCTGCAACTTACTTCTCGATGAGTCCTACTACGGCGTCATTTGGCAGGGGAAACTGCTCATCGTTGCAAGGGCGCTGATCCTTGGCGTCATCGATGAGGCTATACTTGTGTTGGATCTTTGGAGAAGACTCCTAAGATGTCAGAGGATTTTTCGGATGACTTGAATAACACACTTTCCGTGGCGGGTGCGATCTGTGTATTGGGTTTGGGATGTTGAAGAGGACCGAGGTGAGGCCTGCATCTCAAACGCGGATTATAACTGGTAAGTGAAGCGTACCGCACGCTAGCAGCATGATAGCATATATAAACGCTATTGGTCCAGGGTGGACTCTTTCTATACCTGTTTCCATAGTGTCCGAGCCGACAGGCATCCTCCATGCACAAAGCTCAATCCTCTGACTCTCGATGAATGTGTGCATGATATTAGATGACATAGCAGTCCAGCAAATTCTCGGATTGCTTTGTATTGGACTAGTATCAGAATAAAGTTGGAACCGGCCAACGGCAACCGATTTGTCAGTGTTAGACAGAATTTACAAGTCCGATTCGTCAACATATGCCCCTCATGATCATGCATCTACATGGACCCGGCATATAACGTGGTACCGATGATGCCCATATCACTTGCGTCATCACTAATTATTGTGTCCCGATTATCTCTTAGTCATTCGTTGAATAAGTAAGCAGCTGCAGGAGACGGGGGTATATAAAGCCATTTCTTTTTCGTGAGTTCTCGTTATCCTCCAACTAATTGACTATATCTAACATCATGGTCAAGTTTCCCACACGCAAAATCGGCACCGACGATGTCTCTGCCATCGGCTTTGGTGCCATGGGCTTGGGAGCGTATTACGGTCAGACTGGTTCAGATGAGGAGCGCTTAAAGGTGAATCGTAGGCGCCCTACTGTACGCCACATAATCTCATCAGTGTCCCTTTCAGGTTCTGGATAAGGCCTATGAGCTAGGTTGCACTTTCTGGGACACTGCCAATATCTACGGAGACAGCGAAGAGCTCATTGGTAAATGGTACGTCGTACTCCACTGTAACAGTAATACCCCTTCACGAACAGGAGTGAAGGTTCAAGCTGAATCCCGAAAAGCGGAGCAAAATCTTTCTTGCCACGAAATTCGGTATCGTTATCAGTGGATCGGATGGTAGAGGAGTTGATGGATCTCCAAAATACGTCCACGAGTCATTTGCAAAATCCCAGAAGTTGCTTGGTGTTGACAAGGTCGACCTTTACTACTTGCACAGGTGCGCCCACCGTCTTAAACAGGTTACTCAATCTTCATTATCATCATCATGCAGACCTGATCACGAAACGCCAATTGAAGTACGTCTCTGTTTATGAACTCTACGAAGTTTGCTAAAATCGGTTAGGAAACTGTCGGTGCCATGGCAGAGCTTGTCAAGTAAGCGAACAGTTCATGAAAGCTTGGCTGATGCCCATCGTTGGGAAGACAGGGAAAAGTGAAGTATCTCGGGCTGTCAGAATGCACTGCGGACACCTTGCGCCGTGCTCAGAAAGTGCACCCTATCGCTACCCTCCAAGTGGAATATTCGCCTTTCACACTCGACATCGAGGACTCAAAGCTCAACATTTTAAACACGGCTCGTGAACTTGGAATCAAAATCATTGCCTACTCGCCTCTAGGGCGTGGTTTGATCACGGGACAGTATGTACGTATTGCCGACCGGTAAAACTCATTCGGACACTCATCGCATTAAAAGAAATCTCCGGATGACTTCGAATCCAATGATTTCAGGAGAATGATTCCCAGGCATGTATCATGTCAGTGCCTAGTGGAGGCTCTCACGAACTGTACTTGGTTAGATACTCGAAGGAAAACTTCCCGAACATTTTGAAGCTTGCGGATAACCTGAAGAGAGTAGGCGAACAATATAACGCAACCGCTGGACAAGTCGGATTGGCATGGCTTCTTGCCCAAGGTGAAGATGTCATCCCCATTCCGGGTACAAAGAAGATCAAGGTCAGTAGCTACATCACCGCGTATAGCCTCGGGCATTCATGGTTTTGACTCGCACAGTATCTCGAGGAGAACCTCGCTGCTATCAATGTGTCGTTGAGTCCTGAGTCAGTTCAGGAAGTGCGTACCATTGCGGAGAAGGCTGATTGGGTGGTTGGGGATCGCTATCCTCCAGCGGCTATGAAGGCGCTGTATGCAGAGACCCCACTTCCGAAGAGCAGCTAACGTGTGCTATGAGTTCGAGCCCTGTAGAGCATTCTCAAAGATCGCAACTGGACTTGTGCGTACATGAAGCAATGTCAGATGCGTGTTACGGTCGAATAAACGGCAGTGCTGAATCATCGGCTTGCGTGCATCCGAACATCCCACCGTGATTTTCCTATATAATAAGAACACCCCCTTGTTGGGCTCTTCCACGATATATTGTGTTTACAGCAGCGATTCGTAGAAATATTAGCATCGTCTCTGCAGATAGACAGTGCGTCCCTTCGCGTTCCCACTCTCGACAATGGTCGAGCATGGTTCTTTGTCAAGCCTTGACATTAATTCCATGTAGTAGTTGCATGAGCGGGTGGCGGAGCAAACTGCCTTTAATTCACTGTCCAAGGCGAATGCTTTGGATGGAATGCGGGGATGCAGTGGCTTTCGCATGTACTGAGTTGGACTTTGAAGAAGCGACGATGTGGACGCATGTGTTTCTGATCAATTCCATCAGTCAATCAATCACACGATCTCTAAGATATGCTAGAAATGAACATATAAGGTACCATCATTCTTTCGCCTGAAAATTATGAATAGTTGCTCGTGTGGTGCAGCACCTAGACGACGAAAGAGTGACAGCCTATCCAAGAAGCGACGCTTGGGTGAGGATGATGGAGGTATCAAGCTGGGAACGACTTTCAGGAGAATCCTCTGGTAGGCCTGAGTCCTTTAGCTCACCTAGCTCATCCCCCCTCCGACACGTCACGTGACCTCCCGCCGGCATCCAAAAAGGCTATGACGGTTTATTTTCTCGTTCTCTCAAGTCTCTCTGAGTTGATTCTTGAACGCTATTAATATTAATGTAATATGTATTAAGTATATAGTATGTGACAATGGCGATGAATAAAGAGATATATGTACTGTACTAGCTAGAGGGATTAAGTGGTTATTAGAGTGATTATGAATGTGGTCACTGGGATGATGAACGAGCACGATAAAACATAGCGCCAGTGGTACCTTTTTCCCAGGTTGTTGGGCTCCGCAATCGAGACGAGTTTTCTCGTCGTTCTCGACCGAGACAATTATCTGCCAGACGGAGGAATGATGAGCCATTGCGTTCGAGAACGGTAAGCATTCTAAAGTCATTAAATTGAATTTGATACTTAAGGCCATCACAGAAATCACGGATGTTCTTGACATGTGTGAGCATGCGTTCCCGGAATGTCCTGGTGTCGAGCTGTTGACAGAACGTATCCACAAGGTCATCTTCCACACCATCACCAACTTCGTCGCCTGATTCCATTTCCCCCTCGTTCACTGGTTCCAGTGGCACAGGAACAGGCATTGCAGCAGTGGCGGGCGGCGGCGGACAGGAATTGAGGGGGATGAGCAATGGATGTGTCCAAAATGGTATTGTGGGGTTCCGTTGCACCTCGAGGAAAAAGGTAGGCGGCACAGGGTGTACACTTTGTACCAGATGCTTACAAATGAGAAACCGAGTTTTAACAAAATCACGTGACGTGTCGGAGGGGGGATGAGCTGGGAGAGCTTGAGTCCTTTAGTGCATCCTGTCAAGATGATAATCAAGCCTCCGAAATCCAAACTACACAGCCCACACGTTAACACCTACTTCAGGAGCATTGTCGACCTCGCCGCTATTCCAATTCTCAGTCGATGCTGAAGGAGCATACAGGAATGGAACCTTGCGACAGTCAGATCAGAGATATCCCGCCGTGGGTACAATATACGTACTTCATTCTGAAGTGCCAACAGGGAAAGGAACCAGCGACCTGCGGCTAGTTATAAAAGTATGAGTAACGCGCTTCTCTACCTGCTGTATCAAGAGCTCATTAAGAGCCTGAAATGATTGCCCGCATCAGCTACTTCGTATGGAAAGCAGGATGGCCGTGCTCATTTCTTGGCGTCACGCATCCATATGAGGCAGTGGGACTTCGAACACCCTATGGTAGTCTCGAACCAGACTCAACTGACATCCCAAATTGGGAACCCTGTCAGTGGAGTCTGGGATCCAACCGGAGGCAATAAGGGGGTCTGGTAGTTAGTAGTCAAATGTGTCACGTCACGCTCTTAACGCACGTCCAACGTCTGCCTCGTCGGTGTCGAGCAACCCGTTAGACATTTTCTCTTATTTATTCAACTCAAACCTATTTTTCCTCCATAACCAACCACTATCCTTTATTTTAGGTCAATTATATACTCATAATGGACGAAAATTTGACACCCTGCTTAGGGAACTGCACAGGTAAACCCCTGGGTATTGGAGGCCATACCCGCACCTGCACCCTGCAAAAACCCATACCCGCTCTGACTAGTGATGTGCTGGCCCAGCTTGGCCTGAAAGCCCCGGCTTTGGCTTTGGCTGGGGCGGCTTGGGCTTTCGAAAATGCCAGGCCGAGCCGTGAGCCAAAGCCGTGGCTCGGCTTGGGCCCAGTCACGGCTTTGGAAGTCAAATAGATCAATATTCACGTTTAGGGTTCATCCGTGCATTTTCGTGCTCACCATCCTCAGAATCTGCATCATCAAAATTATCATCCTCAACTCGTGCTCTTTTGCTGTTGTCGGGCATAGGTGCAGGTAGAACAATGTCAGGAGGAGCATTTTGCGAGGTGTGGGTGGTGTCTTCGGCGGTCCACTTTGCAGCCTCTGCAGCACAAAAGCCATTGATAGCTTTCATTTGGGATGGGAGGGCTGCTTTTTCCGAATGCTGTAGAAGTGCTGCTGTAGGTTTAGTTTTGCGTACTGGCCACACCACACGAGGCTCGTCATCACTGTCTGTGTGAATTGCTCCAGTCATCAGGATTCAGAGGGTCAGATGGTATCAGGTGGGGAAGATGTACCAGGGCCACTACTACTACTAGCATAGTTTCAAACATCCTGTCATGGCCGTCATTGGCCCATCAAAGGCTACAACATATGAGAGCCTGGCAAAGGAAAGTAAAGCACTGAAAATAGTAATGTTGGGTGACTCACCAGTTGTTTGAACACAAAGCCATGGCCTGGGCCGCCGGCTTGGGCTTTCAAGCAACTCAGGCCGAGCCAAAAGCCATGTCAGGCTGTGAATTTGGCCCGGCTTGGCTTGGCCTATTCAGGCCTGGCTTGGCCCGGCCCATGGCCTGAAGCTGGGCCATGCACATCACTAGCTCTGACGGGTATGGGTTTTTGGTAGGTACAACAAGCTTGGACCCGTATTTGCACCCATGCAGGGTTTACCCACAGGTACCATAGGTATCACTGCCAGTGCTTAGCACATATGTCCAGCACACATCAGCATTCGCTGATGTGACTCAAACATATGTGGTTGGCACAGGAAGGAGTGGAGGCACAGGCAAATTTGCTGGTGCATGCTGGGCATTCATGCGTACAATTGAAGTCGAAGGTGAGCGTGTCGAAATGGGAGATGGTGGTGTGGTGGTGCGAGAGTGTGACATGTCGGGTGTCATGTCCTCATTGCAGAAAATGGGGGCAGAGTCAGGATGGCGACTTACTGACAAGATCCTTCCTTCCTCCTCTTGTTCCTCCTCCTTTCCTTCTCTCTTCGTCCTGGTGTCTTCTGTGTGCGTTTGAACCACACCAGCGAATGCTGGTGTGGTCTGAGCATGTATGCTCGATGCTGGTGAGTCAGCATGTCGCGTAGGTGCTGGATGGTGCTTGCTGGTGGCATCCATCAGCGTGCTGCACAGCGACGTAGTGGGTGTTGTTGAACGTGGTGTGAAGGACATGGTGAGTACTGCCGAATGCGAAGGTGTTGGTAGTGATGTGGTGGCGGGTGCTTCTGAAGAGACATGTTGGTGATGTCCACCTTGAGGCGCTGCCTGTTGAGTTTTCTGATTAGCATATTTTTCTTAGACTAATTAGCAAACTTACTGTTGGTCCTGTAGATTAGTATTACTGGTGATTAGCCTACTTGGAGAGATGTTGGTGTGCAGAGACATGTTGATCCCAGCCTGAAGTTCGCGAGCTGTAGACGTATGGCAGCCTGTGTAATGGCTACCATAAATTAGTTTGTGAACTGTAGAACAAAAGGACACGACTCATGAGCAAAACGGCTCTCAAACAGATTGCATTGAGAGTTATCATTTTCCCAAGCTTGATGCGTTGCTGGCAGGAAGTCTGAGTGCTTGGTGGTGGTGCCAGTTGTAGTGTGCACGTGGGAAGTATGACATTTATGGAAGGCATGGGTATAGCTGGGGTACGGGTAAGAGCATGGGTCTTAGAATCCCGACCCATACCCATACCCCAGTAGTACCCATACCCATGCAGATCCCTAACCCTACTGGCCTCCTGTTCGTAAATGTGCGCGCAGCCCTTCGTCAAGTGCTTGCACCAGGGACAAGGCCAATCCAACCACACCCATCCATTCCATCAATACACATGTCCACACCCTCAATTCACTTCCACTTATTGATGCTATCAACCTTACTCCACACTTCTGCAATGGATATGAGGTCAAGCCGCAAACACCCTCCTACAAGCCATATGCCCTGTCCTCTCATGGGCAAAAGCAGCAGCGTGCTTTTGACTTTTTGGTTGAAGTCTCGATAAACCCCCATTCTCCGCTCACCCCTGATGAGTGGAGTGCTCTCACTACTGGTGCTGCCATCATTCCAGCAGACTGCCGCCCACGTGACTTCCAGATTCAATGCAGCAACATCATAATCAGATGCTCAAAGGATGTCTGTGTCATTGCACTGACTGGCCAGAGCACGTCTTTGCTCTGTGTTCTCCCACTGCTTGTTCAGAAATTAGGTGTTTCTCTTGTCATCACGCCTTATACGAGCTTAGGTTTGGAGGGCCAAGATAGGTGAGTTTCCACTTTTTTTTCAACTGACATGGGCTTTACGGTGATTTACAGGCACTGTGCTCTCGGAATCCGCTCAGTCTTCATCAACATGAACCAGAAGGATGCTACCACACTGGCTGATGGTGCACATGGACTTTATATAATTGTGTTCACATGTGTGGAGATGATGGAGAGTCCTATGATGGCGAAGATTTTACATGCGGATTCATTTAAGGCTGTTTTGTCTGCCATATACATTGACGAGTCTCATCTTGTCCATGAGTCTGTCTTCTGTGTTATAGGGGAGGACTTGGACCCAACAGAACTGATTGCTTCAATGTCGTCGAGAGAATCCAGGCGTGAACAAAGTGGGTGCATATTGCAGCAGCCTATTTGTATTGCTCTGAGACAAAATGAAGAGAGAAAATGTGACACCGACGAGGCAGACGTTGGACGTGCATTAAGAGCATGACGTGACACATTGACTACTAACTACCAAACCCCCTTATTGCCTCCAGTTGGATCCCAGACTCTACTGATGGGGTTCCCAATTTGGGATGTCAGTTGAGTCTGGTTTGAGACTACCCTATGGATGTCAACCCAACAGAATAATTCGAGCAGGCATTGTTGACATTGTCCAAATATAACATGTGTAAGAACAAATCATCGTGGTCAGAAGACTAAGGCCCCAGAGCGCCACGTGTTACTAACAAATGTTAAGAACTGACCATGAATTATTCACCGAGCCCTAGTTATGGCAAATAAAACATGCACAGTGTTTTTTTAACAAGTCACATGATATTATGTAATGTGGTTCATTTGGACCCCCAGCTTTTGAGCCCGGTTATGAAACACTGTTTGACGAAGGTGTTGAAAGTGGTTGGTATGACAGTGACAATGTTCTTCAAGTGGTGGTATTTTGATGGGTGTTCATCCCGTGGCTGCAGTGTGAATTGGACAGGTATCAAGACCGTGTCAATAACACTGCAAAGAGACATGATCATAACAAGGTACTAGTATTTACTTGCAGATCATATGCACCACTCTCATGTTATCAATGACTAGGTTCTCCCTCATGGTGTGCCAAATCTGATCTATGAGTCCCCTGAAGAATTTGGCGCAATGGATTTTAAGATAAGCTTTAATCTTCCTGTCATCCATTTCTACTAGTACTGAGTTCAATTTCTTACTATACATACTAGGTAACCATTGATCAGGACGGCATAGATCATGTGCACCAGGTATATGTCAAATCTGATCATCCAGTATTTGACTTGGTGCCTCAGGCACTCGATCACTTTATTCAGTGTTGTTATGATGACCTTGGTCGGCCTCCAGTCACCCGCCAATCAGCTTGGCACATTTACTTGGATTTACTTCACTCTCTCCGACTCGCTGAACAGCTGCCACAGATGGTTGATGACAATATGAACAAGGACCATGTACCTCTCCTCAAAAACCAGAGGGATTTGTTATGCGCTAATGATAGTGACTACATGGGCGGTGTACATGGAGGACTAGGTCTTGGTACGTCTTTAGTATGTTTGAATAAGCCTTTTCTTTCTAAGTGATCTATTTCTAACTAGACACATCTGACCATCACCAACTGGATTCACTCATAGAGGAGGATGAACCAGACACATCTTTACTACCTAATGATAGTGCTGCTGTGGTCTGGTTCGGTCCGGTTCACAGAGGGTCGAGCGAGAACCAAGAACCGGACCTAGGTCCGGTTCTACCAGACTCAACGAACCTCGAACTGGACCTTGGTGAACGGTTCAGGATGGTCAGGTCTGGTTAATTTCAGGTTCGAACATGAACCGAACCAAATTTATTTACAATGAGCAAAAAAAAACATAGGTAGGTACTCATAGCTACACATCCAACTACACAGCTTCTGCCTTGACTGTCGCAGAAACATGGCCATTCCTATATGCCGCCTTTAACAACTGTAACAAGCCAAACATGGACGATGCGAGTGCATTGCGTCACATGGTGGAGGTGATCCCTCCACTTGAGAAAGCCTGTTCGGAGGGGACAGAGCTGCCCTGGATGGGCAAATAATCGCGCGCAATACGTGCAAGCATAGGGAATTGTAAAGAATGAAGCCCCCACCAGGCAACAACGTCATTGGCCTCCTCTAGTGGTGAAGACAGATACGCCGTGAGTTCTTGACGAGGATTGCGAGCAAGTTGGTCTGCAGCTTGACATGCCTTAATGGCCTCGCGCATCCATGCATCGCCATACCGGTTTTCCAGCGAGGGTCTTGTTGGCAGAGCAGGTTCATCGACAGGCATCTGAGTTGGTGGTTTATAGTACTTGTCAAACTGTAGAAGAATGTAAGCCAAAGGACAATGATGAGTCTGAACAAATACTTACGACAGTCTCGAGGTGAGCCCTCCCATCCACAACGTCTTGACTGTCCCACCGTTCTTCGACATAAGCAAGCTTATAGTTGGGGTCAAGGACTGTAGAGAGGCGGGCACATGTTAGATAATAGGAGGGAAAGATGGGAGGGAAGTGAAGTTTTTCATACAAGGCGGTGAAGAGAGAGGGAGGTAGTAGGTACAATAGGAGGGAAAGATGGGAGGGAAGTGAATTTTTTCATATGAGGCGGGAGATAGGTAAAGATGGGAGGGAAGTGAAATTTTTCATACGAGGCAGTGAATAGGTATGATGGGGGAGGAAGATGGGAGGAAAGTGAAGTTTTTATAAATGCTCACCGAGACAAATAAAATATACATCTGAGTCGCTTGTTTTCTTGTAGTATTTGTTGACGTTCTTGAGTCCTTGCTTGATTGCATCAGCGATCGGTGCATACTGTATATTGTTGGCCATCTCTTGCCACCGGTCAGCCAAACACTCCAATGTAGGTATCATTTGCCATGCGGTAGGGTGTTTTGCGGAGGAGAAAGTTTGCTGGGCGGTAGCCGGCTCCTTCAGGACTTGATGAACAAGTCTGAGGTGTCTCCAGTCACTCCAGCCGAGCTTGAAATCATTGTAAGACTTGTTACGAAGATTTGGCACCTCTTTGCTTTCATCAGTGAGATTGGTGAAACGGTTGATGGCCTGTTTAAAATATAAATATCAGATTCATGAACACTGAATAGAAAAAAAATGTACCCGATGTAAGAGTAGCATGCGGTCAAGACATTTGTATAGGGACACCCAACGAGTTCGGATCCACTGCAATAACTCAAGCTCAGGTACATTCTCCTCTTTGCAGGCCTTCTTGAAGAAGACACAAGCTTGAGGCGATTTGCGTATCTAACAATCTCAATCAGTAAGAGCATAGGATAAGGATAAGGATAAAAATAAAATAATGTACCTGCTCTATAAGTGCAAGCGCTTTGCCAAGCAAATCACCAGTGTTGAACTCATCTTCGTGGTCATGGTCACCATTAACTTCCAAGGTTGCAAGCTCCTTGTTTAAGATGTTGAGTTCAGCATCATCTCCCTTATCAAGCGCCTGATGGGTCTTCTTCATAACTGCATCTACAAAGTGTTGTGCTGCAAGGTTCAGGATGTGTTCCTGGCATCTAATGCAGTGTGTGGCAGGTATCCATCGGACACCTTCTGGATCAATTTCGCGAGCAACTTCTTTCATTGCCATATTGTTGTTGCTGGCATTGTCGGAAGTCATCCATCCAACCTGCACGAAGCAAACAAAGCAAACCATTAGCTTTACCATTAGATAGTAGAGGCCAGACCTTACCTTAGCTCGGACATCATATGTGTCAATTGAGTTAATAAGCATATGAGCTATATTTTGCCCGCTGTGATTGCCCTCAATGTGTTCAAAACTGAGCTGCTCATGATGTAACTCCCATTGCAGGGGTTTATCATCCGGGTTCCAAATGTAATGGCCAGTGATGGAGAAAAATGGGTCGCCGATAATCGAAGTCCAAGAGTCGAACATCATGGAAACTTTACTATCGACCTTTGCGAGACATTCGCGTATGACATTGACTATAGCTAATGTGCGTGCCTTGATGGTCTCAGTAAGCTTGGTGCAGTGAGGTATGTCTCTCTCAGTAAGGCCAGGCCGAACATAGCGAAGTAAGTTTCGGAAGGCTGGTTTGTCAACCAGCTGCAGCGCTTCATCTTCGGTCACAATAAGTTCCATTATGTACTCCAGGAGTCCTTCCTTGGTAAATACAGGCACCTTGGTGACGAGGATCGTATCAAGGGTGGATTGTCTGGAACTGTCAATGATTCAGCAACACTTGATGCAAAATGTTAGCTGAAAATTACAGAGCCTGATCCTCGCTAGTCGGAATGGCATGAGGGTGCATAGTAATCCCTGCTGCTTGGCAGTGAGCCTTGTAGAATTGAAAGTGGTTTTTTTTACTAATAGATATCAGCAAAAGTAAGAGATGACATTGAAAGAACATACTGACTGATGTGTGTGCGGAGTGTAGAGATACCTCCTCGAAAGACATGCTTACTCTCAGGTTCACCAGCGTCCCTACCAAACATTAGCAGAACACAATACACACAGTTCTAATTACATACTTGCAAGGGTTGCATACCCAGTGTGTTTCATGGCGAGTGAAGACAGTGCGAATGTCAGCGGTACATTCAGTCTTCGGCAAAGTTGCTTGGATGGCATCCTCAGGTTCGGCTTCGGGCTGGTCCTCCAAAGGGTCAGTGTCATGACCAGCATCGTCGTCATCAAGGCTATCCTCGTCTGATAACAGACATGATAAAACCTTTTTGTGAGCCGGTTGAAGTTGAAGTTCAGTAGCGCTAGACAATGCACGTTTGCGGTTTGTTGAGCTGGTGGAGGTCGAGGTTGAATAAATGTTCTCAGCATCCCAGAGGCGAGCAGATGGCTTAGAGGTCCGAATGGATCGTCGAGCACCAGCTGTAACTGGTGTTGGTTTGCGCCCAGTATTCAGTAGCATAGAGAAGGCATCCTGAGGAGGATTAGTAGATGATGATGGCTGGGGGGCAGAGGATGTGGTGTCAAGGGGGACAGAATCATCAGGATCATGGTAGAAGACGATGTCCTTGGCATCCTTGAGAGAACCGTCAGCATTGACAGTGCATGAGTCTGAATAAGCCATGTTGAATATATTGCTTACCTGCTGAGGCTTGCACACTTTATGTGCAAGCAAATCAGACAGCTGGTGGACAGCCGGTGGAGGATCGTAATAGCATCATAGGGTGTTGATATGATAAGGATCTGGGCGAGGACATGGTCATTACGAGCACAACACTCACACTGTTCAGTTTGAACAGTGCATATCATGACTTACCTTGTCAATGAGCCTCTGCATTTGACAGAAACAAGTAAGTATCGAAGCTCGAGAATCCTTGAGGCCAAGGCGAATCATCACAGGCAGTGTCAAAACACGCTTCAACAATGCGACAGAACTTCTCGCGGTTCGGGGTTTGGACCAGTTCGGGGAAGGTTCGAACCAACATAGAACCGTTCGGGCAAATGGTGGACCGTGAACCTCACTCAGGTCCGGTCCGCCCCAATTCATGGACCACGGACTGAACCAAGGAAGAACCTGACCGTTGGTCAGGTTCGGACCGTGGTTCTGGACCGAACCACGGCAGCACTACCTAATGAACAAGTTGCTGAAGAGGAGGGGCTATTTGCTTGGTTTTCTGATGAGGAGGAGGACGACGAAACACACGAGTGGTAGATATCGTAGTAACGACGGTCTATTATTCAAACGAAGTTCTTGCGGTGCACGGAGTCCCAATCTTGCACTTACTTGCTATGGTAATTGTCACAGTGACAAATCGAGCACGGCCATCCTGCTTTCCATAACTTCGAACAATTAAGCGCAGTGACAGTGCAATCGGCGGTTCTTACATCTTCGTCTGAGAGTGCCAACGGCAATTCTGGAGCTGCTTCACAGCTATCCGTGAGACCAGCGTCTGGCTCGATATCCCACTCACACATCTTGATGTGTTTCCCACTACATGCGCGCACTTTTTCAATCATAGATTTCATGGTGTTCGGAAAAGACTTGCTAGTTCACCGTGAAAGCTGCTTTAAGCCCTTCTTTACTAAACTATTCAGACTCACTTGAGCGCTGAAAGAGTGACGGACCTGTGGGGCACGGTCAGCATCTGGATGTCTAGGTTTCTGCATTTTATGTAGAAAGCCGTGTACAACGATATCATCCGCGAAAACATTGACGAGCACAGAGATCTTGTCAAAAGCCGAGCCAGGAAGCATTGAAAACTTAAGCGCAAGGCCGTGAAATATGATTAGTATTCTAAAAAATCATTGATGCGACAGTGACACGGCATGACTCGGATTGACCTGGATTGACTGCGTTGAGTTTGACGCGGTATAGATGTCGATGACGCTTGAAGCTTGAGACGGCACTGACGAGGCATAGATGATCGATGAGGTTTGTCAGGTTTTGACATGGACTGATAGTACGAATGACGAAGTCAGCTGCAAAAAATAAAATGTCTATTAGATTCATAAGCAAAGTGGAGTTATTTCGAAATTCGGACCACCATTAGAGTCGATAGAGACCGCGCAGAAGTTTGTAAGGTTGTTCGTCCTCGCTATATGGATGCATCCGAGTCACTGGGAATCACTCCATCGATTATAAGAGTCCAGTGTTTCCGATTTCGAGCGATGTGTTGCAAGGTCTTGTGGCCCGAGTCAGCTCCGACTCGGAGTAAATTACTAATCAGGCATTGAACAGCTTGTGCTAAGCTTCTATATGTTCCGACGTACCGTATACACGGCCGGCCATATGCATCTTCCAGTCTTCACTACCTTCTATGATATTAAAACGGAGCAGACACCTTCCGCTACGCAATTCGTGGAATACTAACAATGGTGGGCGGTCGGCGCTGTTCTGCAGGTTTCAGCCGACAAATTAAACATCGCAGAAAGAGATTCAGCCACATACAATTTGGGCCCAAGGGGAGAACTTTACATTGACAACGGGTAAGTAATTCTCGAGAGTTAATGATCACGGTGCTCGCACGCGAGTCGCGCTGAATCTACTTGGAAGTCGAAGCACGAGCAAATCATGATGCCTTACAAATGAAGTACGCTTGCGGCACTGGCAGGCCAGTCATTGAGTCAGAATGTTGACATTGATCTCAAGCGCAACTTTCTTTTTTTATTTGGTTTGACTATACTAGTCATAACTTATGGGAGACTATACTCGCAGTCCAGCGTGACTGCAGGGAGCTCTCACGAAAAACTTCGGCGTCAACCCTCGCAAGCACGTGTTTTCATGGTCACAGAGGCCACCTCACCGACTTGCTGTGTGTCTGAGTCACCACTCTGCTCTCTCCGCTTGCATCAGACCCTTCCAAACATCACTAGCTTTGTTTGAGATCTAATATAGTAGGTGTATCTTCCTCATGTCACAAGCATCAAGTACCTACGGCACTGAGGATCCGCGCACTCACAACAACTCGACCGGACCGCCTTTCCCGCAGAATGACAGTGTAGGACTTACAGAGTAAGTCGTGGTATCCTGGAGTCTGCCCGCCATCTGATAGCAAGACAGGGAGAAGACAAATTGCGAGCCTTCTGCAGAGCTGCAATCAGTGATGTAAGTGTTTCTACCCTAACACTTTTGTCTCGCTCACCAAGAGTGACTGTAGCTCGAACACAAGGCTTCCCAAACCACCAGAACCTGACATACAGCGAATAACTTCCAATGTTTCATCGGATTGTGATTTAGCTCCGTGGGTTCTTGTCAATAACGGCCCAACAAACTCATATATTGTCTCAGGGATGTGGAAAAGGTCGTGGCGGAGGAGAAGGACCAGCCGACTCTTAGTGAATTGTGAGCGAAAACCAAGTTGAGCGATCGCAGCTGACGATACCCTACACGCAGAGCAAATGTCATGAAGCAAATATTGGGTGTTCTCCAGGACTCGACGATTGTGTCGAAGAGTGGCAAGGACAAACGGTCTCGTTTCTGGACGCTATACCAACGAGTCGCAAAGGAACACGACGGCGAGTTCCTCGAGCGATACATTACTGACATGGACATCGTCTTGATCTTCGTAAGTGTAACGTGCTTATCTTTAATCCGTTTTGATACTGATGTCTGATCAGTCTGGTCTTTTCTCTGCTGTCAGCACATCTTTCATCGTAGCGATGGAGTCCAATCTCAGTCCCGACCTCAGGAACACTACAAATGCGCTTCTCGCGCAGCTCGTACAGATTGGACTCGGCAACCTCGCTGAGGCAGGCTCCACCCCCGCAGACCCAGCATCAACATGGTCGCCGCCCTGCACATACCATTTGGATCCAAACGATCGCATATGCAAGCTTGACTATGAGTTTGCTCGCTGCATTCGGGGCCGTACTGGGCAAGCAGTGGCTTGGGTACTACAAGACGAACAGATATGGCCGCGGCTCACAAGAGGAACGAGCAAAACACAGACAGGAGAAATTCGAAGGCCTCGTTACTTGGTATTTTGATGCTGTCGTGCAATCCTTTCCCGTCTTACTTCAGATCTCCCTTCTTCTCTTTGGGATTGCCCTCGGCTCCAATCTGTGGTACGAGCAGCCGAGCATCGCCTGGGTCATCATTGCAGCGACGGCCTTCGGATTTTTGTTCTATTCCCTGACTGTAATGGCATGCTTGATATCTCCCCCTTGTCCATTCCAGACACCGATATCGAGGATATTGTGCATCTTACGTATCGACAGTAGGAACATTTTTTTTTCTGAATTCTGGTGGTCGTTTCCTTTCTAAATCACCATTGCAGGAGTTATATGTTTGGTATCCAAACCAGTTTCCCGTTATTTCCAGCAGCTCACGACGTCGCTGTACGGTAAGTTATGTCTTCTTGCATGTGCATAGGTTTTGACTGTTTCATGCCAGGCGTGCTGGATCGATTGCTTAGTATCATCAGATCGAGATGGACCCAATTGTCTGAAGCATTTACAGGTGACGTTATTATCTACTATTACAATGATATGGGGTACTCATTTCACTCCCAGGTCCTGTGCGTGTGGTCGGTACATTCGCACAACAATCTCTTCGCCGATTATTCACCAGGCTTCATGACTGGCTGCATTTTTTTCATTCCACAACTTCCTGACAAAGGTCGCGGACCCGGAAGCACAATTGCCCGGCCCGAATTGGGATGTTCTGTCGGGCAATGAACACATCCTTACCCTCCCTGACATACCCACCGGCAGTCTCGAGGCACCTAGCATCAAATGGCTACTCGAGACATCTACAGATCCTGAAGTATTTCTCGCAGCTGCTAGCCTTGTTCCGCAGGTTGAATGGCCCCTGGATCTTGACGTCTCAGACACGCTGACTCAGCTGCACGATATCTTCACAAGCTGCGTGGACTTCCACGGACAAATTATACCGTCGTTGGAGGAGAAGGCTTCGGCTTGTATAATGGCTCTGAGTCATCTATATTGTGGCTGCGTTCTTCAGGCATATCCTGACCGTGGCGAATTTCTTGGTTGCGGGAGAAGAGACTCTGATACATTTCTTCAGATGAGGCTAAGCCTAACGAGCATTCCTACAACCGACCTGATGGTGCTTGCCACGAATATGGATCTTTCTCTTTCGGAAGATCGCCATAACATTTGGAATCCTTCGTCACTAGATACTTGCTCCGTTTCTGTCTTGGAGTGGCTGTCACATTATCTTCCCTACCACTTTGTCACTGGGCGAATGAATGTGGAAGAATTTGCCATAAAGGTGATACTCAAACTCTTATCATCTCCATCCTCTCCGTCGAATCAAAGTGTAGCCAATTGCACTCTTCTTGCTTGCGTTATGATCGGGGTTCAGTTTGATAAGAAGGTCATAGTTCGGATCGATAAAAGGTGCCATTGAATCGTTTGCTCATTTTCTTCCATGTTAATTAACAAAGAGATCATGTAGTTCTGCTCTGCCTCTATTAACGGATGCCCTTTTGGCGAAGTTCCAAATTGCTCTCTGGGCATGCGATGGAGGCTGTTTCAGTACAGATAGCACAGGAGTCGCACGCCGGGCATGGAACCTCCTCAAAGTCATTTGTCTAATGCTTGAACCTGCCAAACGTTACTATCATCATTCGCCCCACCCCATGCGGAACCTGGATGTGTGCAAGAGGATTTATTCACGAGTGAAGTCACTAGAACAAATTCATACCCGGGAATTTTTGGATGCTCTGCGAAATGCACTACGCTTTACGCTCACCGCTGCCAAAGTATCTCGGGGCCCTGCCGACTTGTGGAATAGCCAGATTTTTTGGACAGAGGATTCCCATTCGCCAGAAGACTTTGACTGGCTGGTCGACTACCTCGAGTACATTTATTCTGACGACCAGGAAGCTGCGTTTGACATCCTTGTCCTCCTGGGTGTCATGAAAGTGCGCTTCAACTCTGCTAAACATCAGTTCTTCAAGAGCCTCATCGCCTGTATGGGCAGTAACATGCCTGTCCATTTACGCCATGCTGCTCTTTGTCTTGCCCACAGTGCCCGAGAAGAAATGATCTCGATCAATGCCATTGATGATGTGAATCTACGAGACATGATCTTGGCCGACTTTTCCCCTGCTATCCTGACTGCAGTTTGTCCGCAACAAGGTGCATTATTCTCCGAAGACGATCCTGACTACTTCCATCCTGAGCGGGACTTGTGCTATCTCGAACTGGTCTTTGCCCTCGCGAGGAATTCCAGTTGGCACTCCCATTTGTTCAAGGATCGCCATATATGTCGATGTATCAGTATTATTGCACAGTGCCACTCCAGGCCACATGCATTTTACCTAGCTGGCATACTCCTCCGAATCGCACCTGAACTGTCATCGGTTCCATCGCTCAAATCTATTACAGGGCAGCAGTGGTGGGACATGATGAGAAGCGCAGTGGCACCATGCCAACTACATAATTGATGACATACACTGTTCCAAGTCCCTTCCCGTCCTTGTGGAAGGCACGAAGAGGTATATGCAGATGGCTTCGGAAGGTGGTTTCGAGGAGCTCATTAGAGATGTGGATTATGTTCTCACAGCACTGAAGAGGCGAACTTCAGAGCGGGGAGGAGAGGGTGTCGTCGTTGCGGTGAAAGAGTTGAGGATTGTTGCCAACGACATGCTTGAGCAGTTGGTCGACAACAAATGAGTTGGTTGTCGCTGATAATCATGGTACTTGCATGTTGCGTTAGTGTCCTGGGGCCGGATGAAATGGCGGAGCGTACGAGTGCTGAAGGGATGTCACTACATAAGAACGGAGATACGGTTTAGGGGTGTGCGTTCCATGAAGCTCGAGTCAATTGTTTCATGTAACAACTTCGTTCGGCAACACTCAATGCAACTGCAAAAAAATGTCAAGAGTAATATGCAATACGACAGCAACACAAATTTGAGACCCAAACACTTTGATGGAAACATACGCAAAACAAAACGGAAATGGGCTAAATAACACGACAAGTCATTCCTCGAGAGCGGCAATGGTAGGTAGAGTAGCCAGTTGAACTGATACAAGATCACCATTGATATAGCTTGGAGTTGAACGATACTGTTACTTTCAATGAAGCTTGGACAGTCTGGGCCACAATCTCTATAGGATATGTCAGAAACGAAGAGCATATTCAGATATCATCATCCTTTCGCCTGGGACCCTGAAAATAATGAATGATTGTTCACTTGATGCAACAAAAACACCTACGAGTTTGCCGCACCGCAGTTATTGACATCGTTTCAACGACGAAAGAGTGGTAACCTATCCAAGAAGCTACGCTTGGATGAGGGTGAGGGAGGTATCAGACTAGGGAGAACTTCAGAAGATTCCTCGGGTTGGTTTGAGTCCTTTGGTGCATCCTGACAAGATGAGAGCTAAGCGTGCGAAATTTGAACTACACCGCCCACACGTCGGCACTCACTTCAAGAGCATTGTTGATCTCATTGCTGGGCCAGTTCTCAGTAAACACTGAGGGAACATTCAGATCGGGTGGAACCTGCGATAGTCAGATCAAAGTTATCACGCTATGGTACGATATACTCACTCCATCCTGAAGCGCCAACGGGGGGAGGAAGCCAGCAACCTGTAGCTTGTTATAAGCGTTGAAAGCATAAGTGATGCATTTCCCTACCTCCTGTATCAACAGTTCGTTAAGAACCTGAAATAATTGCTCGCGTCAGCTACTTCAAACAATCAATCGCACAGTGCAAGTAGTTCTTACATCTTCGTCTGAGGGAGCCAACGGCAATTCCGGAGCTGGTTCACAGCTATCCATGATACTAGCGTCTGGCTTAGTGTATGGCTCGATATCCCACAGATACACCTTGGTGTCTTTCCCTCCACATGCGACACGCTTTCGGTCAGGGGAGAATGTAACACAATAGAGTTCATCGGCATGCTCGAAGGGCGGGCTCACTGCTTCATAAGTACGCACGCTCCATAGGCGAACAGTACAGTCAGAGGATGCGCTTGCAATGAAGCGACCGTCAAAAGATATTGCGATGGCGTGAACTGTATTGGTGTGTCCCTGGAGGAGAGCGACTTGGGCTCCGGTCCCTGACGACCACACCCGGATCGTTCCATCTCGAGAACCTGAGAACATTTGTTCTCCACTTCTCGACCAACAGACACTCGTCACTGCATCAAGAGGACCTCCGACATCCAGGGTAAACCTCCCCAGGCCACTTCCTTCAGGCAATCGTATTACGTTTGTCTCTTTGGGGTGAGTTGGAGTAGGCCGTTCTCGCGGTGGGACAGCGGTTCGCCGTGGTTGATCTTCGGTATTTCTCATTCGCCTTGGTCTTCTGAACCTTGGTCGTTCCATCGTGATTGTTGGGGTCTCTTGGAAGCTAACTGGTAATCGACCGCCCGTCTATAAGATACCCATCCAACTGGCACGGGCGGCATAATCGATACCTAGTTTGGCGTACCCCTCCCACGTTCCCAACATGCACACTACGCATTGTGGGCGTAGATCTGCACTGCATGAATGCGCAGCATACACGTGTTGAGCAACGCACAGCATGGATGCCTTGCATTTTGTGGACGAGGTTACTCGTGTTAGTATCTTTGGACCACTTTCAAGTTTCGGAATGGAATTTGCTGTGACTTTGCTATGTAACTTGCTGTGGCGACGGCACTTGCCGCAGAACCATCGGATCACGTGTGTACAACACCGGCGGTTTGAGAATTTTTTTTTTTTTTTTTGGTGGAACGATATTGCTAGTGGCAGCTGACCAAGTCAGCCCCAAGTAGCACGTTTATAGTACGGGAGCTTCACCCGTAAGACGGAGAGAGTATTAAGAATATGCGGTTTGAGAATTTTATCTCAGAGATTTCTTGCTCATGTCAAGTTTGACTCCGAAATCGCCGCTATGTAATCAAGATCACATTTGCGAGCAGCGGATCGAGCCTGGATCTCAATGTGAACTTTGCTACAAGGATGATCTCACAACGTTATTGAGCGGACAAATCACTTTACTAAGGCTATGTTTGGGATGTACATCACCAAAACTTCTCCTTGATGCCTTGTGCTGGTGGCGCCTGGTGGGCCTGGTGTAGCTGTTGACGGGTGTTGTGCAATATGCTATCACCTTAGCTTCCCATACTTATCTGGTTTTGGAACTTTTGGTGATGCCTAGGCTTGGTCAGTTTGAATCGTACTATTATAATTCAACACTGACCTCTATACTTGCGGACAGCTTCGAGACATGTCATGATACGAAGATTGCATCTCGCTGTCATTCACTGAACCCTTCTACTACAGTACTAGTAACTGGGCCGGTCTGCGACAGACTCGGACTTGCCCTGGGCCAGATGTGCCCCTCGAAGTCGATGTCAGTCCAGGTTCGCTTACGACAACCTACCAAAATCCCATAAACATGATCATGCAGGCCGCCGTGGGTGGACACAGAAGGGGAGAAACACGGCCACCGTTTATGGTCAGCCTAGAGCAGTCTGGGTCCAGGAAACGGTTGAAGAGTACAGCTAGTCAAGGTGGAGCTAGCTCCCCAGACTTTGGCCCTAGTCCGAATCCCTGACTTTCGAAGCAAGCCTCGTGATCTTGCTGGGACCGACGGCGGTATGTATAATCAAATTACACCCCGGGGTCATCAACTCTTCATCGTTGTCAACTCTAGTCCAGACGGTCCTCATGCTGTGCTGCCAGTGCGTATTTGTCATCTCTCTCAAGTTGCAAAGTTAGTCTCCACCTTCAAAACACGATCTGCAAACATATAACCTGCAACCTGCCCGTGCCCGTGCACTTTCTATGATCAGTGTTTAGAATGCGCCCAAGCACCAACACGACCGCAACAATTATTGGAAATACGACACCTGATCGCGTTGCCAAGAGCTAACACGTCATCATCTGTGCTTCTGTCGAGGATGACCATCCGCTGCGCTGCCGCTAATAACTGTCTTTCATCTCCGTTGGGTCCAGACTGTGATAAGTGGGGACCTTCTACCTCCACTGCTAGTATTGGGAAAGAATGGTACGCAAATCCAAAGCACCGAGTTAGTATTGTTGCGCTCACTTTTATCGCCCAGATTTGTGGCTCCTATGTATGTGGAAAACAGCCCACGATGCCACTATAAAAGCCCAGCGTTCTCTGACCTTTCCTCCAGTTCCTCATCTCATTGTCGAATCATCTCACTAGCGACCTACATCTTATATAATGTCTTTCCCCAACGATGGAGTGTATACTATCAGAAACGTTGGCACAAACCTCATGCTCGATCTGACGAGCGACAGCACCAATGAAGGCAACCAGATTCAAGTCTACCCTAACAATGGCACCGTGGCTCAACAGGTATGTATCTATACGCGTTTACACTCACCTTGTGATCGGTTCTCACACATCACGTAGTGGATGATCAAGAGGCAAAATGAGCCAGGGACCTCCAACAAAACTCTCAGCATTCAGTCCAACAACAACGGCAACAATGGAAATGGATGCTTTGCTACCGCCAAGGACGTATGTTAGATCCGCTCTCATTCATTTATTTCCTTGTTGGTTGATACAAACATGGGCAGGCTGCGGGAGAACCAGTCGTTTATACTAGGCAGGCGTTTGTCGTCGATCTTTGTGGACAAGCGGACAATAGTTTCAAGTGAGAATATCACGCAGTGCTCAGCAACCTATTTAACCACTCGCATTTACAGTATTAGCTTCACTCGCGGTAAAAGGAACTTGGTGTTATCCGTTCCAAACTCAAATCACAGTGCAGTAAGTCAGTGGATCTTTTTTAAAGCCTTTTGCTAACAACGTTCCCAAGGTGAGACTCGACAATCATAACCAAGGAAATACTTGCCGGCAGTGGCAATTTAACCGGGTTGCTGATCTCCAACCAATCGCCTAATTGTCGCCACTAAGTACCACCTTGCAGAGGTGTTGAGGTTGAGCTACTGAAAGTGTTCCCGCACATGTATAATACGTTCATGAAGTTGATGAATAGCGTTGCTTTAGTCTGGCTCTCTCAGGCAAATGAGTGAATAGAAAATGAGGAGGTGCGGATCTCGCAAACGAGCAATGCGCAGTATATGGGCACCGCCCGTTATTGTTTCACCTGTCTTCAGACGGTCTAGTAGTCCGAATAGACCACAACTTACTTATATGGTATGAGTTTTGCTGACAAATACAGCGTGGTGGACCGTGGTCCTTACGCCTCCCTACGCCCTCCAAGTTCTCTGCGAGATTTTGATGGGCCAGCTTCGCACTGTGATTAGGTGACATCTCGCGTCCTCCGTCTTGCACAGCGAACTGGACTCCTAGATCTTGATTCTGAACCCCGCTTTTTCCAGTTGGCATCGACCTCCACCTCCGACCGATTTGAAAATCTTTTCTTGTCGACTACTCACTACACACTGTACATGTATGGCAGAGTTTGCTCGAGTTTTCGCCGTTTAAATTGGGCACGGACATGCTTTTTTTTGGTGCGGCAAGCAAGAAAGTCTGATATCTAATTCAGCGTATTCAGGCCTGTTCGAAATTCGCTGAAACCTCGATCGTGAGCAAGAGGCTGGCTAACTTAACAATGTCAGCCTTCCAGGTATAAAACCTGCACCCGAGGGCTGAAACGTCAGTGTTCATCTTTCTTGCTCACTTCCATCGTCTGCACATCTGCTATCTGCATATCCATACGATTTTACTTGCTTCTATCTATCAACATGTCTTCCCGTTCTTCCGCGATTTTCACGCTCGCCTTCAACATCCTTGACGTCCTCGAGATTGTGGCCTTGGTCTTCTTCTACGTTGCTGTTATCATGGCTGGATTGGCCTTCGATGTCTACCGCTGCCAGTTCGACCCTTCAACGGTCCAGGGTCCTGCTCTATCCATCGATTCACCCAAACTTCAGCAAGCGAAGAAAGCAGTCTGTCCCTCGAAAGCTGCTTCTTCGTCACCCACGTGTACTTCATCTTCATCAGGCCTTCCTTCGTCCTCATCGTGCCCTGCCATTCTGGAATCATGTCTGGACAGCCCTCGTCTCGTATCCGATGTTCGGCTGCACTGGAGCATTAGCTGTTCCGATATCAGCCCGCAGTTGCACAACGCTCCAATAGGCCCTGGCCACTATGTCCACGCCCTGTTTTCCGACGCGTGGAACGAGAACGCCGTTCTTCTGAAGCAGCTCCTACGTGTTCAGGATGCTCTCGACGCTGCTAATGCTGATATCGACGGGCTCGTACTGGACAACTTAACCATGAGCAACCAAATGGACCTTTTAAAGCGCGATATCGAGATTGAGCAGGTTCGTCGCGACGAGGCTGAATTGATGTCCCGGGATGCCACAGCCAAGATGAGCTCCCAAAGGTCTACCCTCTCCTCGTTGCAATCTGCCAACACTACACTCCGCTTCGAGATTGCAAACCTGAAGGCCGAGCGCGACGAACTCGCAGCCGAGAAGAAGTCATCCGACTTGCAGCAAGAACACGAGGAAGAAGTCCATGCGTTGCGAGGAACACTTGTCCGAACGAAGCAAGAGCTCGAGGGAGCCAAGAGGGAGCTCAGGAAGTTGAAGAGAGCTGCTGCAGGTGAGATGTTTTTCTTTGTATTCTTCGCTGCCTTCTGACTCTCGCAAACAGGAATACCTGAATTGAAGATCATATCTCCCGATGGGAACATTATAAACTACGCGAATACCTCGAGCAGTACGTCTTCCTTTCCTCCCTAACTATCATTGCTGATGCGCCCTCCTAGGTACCGATTCCTTGAACGAAGATCGAAATATTTCAATGAGGGAACGCCTTACGCTCGCGTACACAGAGATTGTCGGCCTTAGGGACCAGTGCGCAGCTTTGCATCGTCATGCAGACGAAAATGCGGAGTTACAGGAGGATGTCAAGCAACTTCTCGCGCAGCGTTCCGGTCTCTGGGATCAGGTCAAAGCGGCCAACAGTGCCTGCTCCGAGCTGGAGGAGGAGAACAAGAAATACTTCCGCCAGTTCGTAAAGATCAGAGCTGAGCTAACCAAGGTAGAGAAGAGAACTGGCAAGTTGTTTACCTCTTTTCTGTGGTTTGCGCTAAAACTACTGCTCGTCAAGGAATTGCGGTTTCAGTCATCGAAGAAGAAGAAGAAGAAGAAGAGGAGGAGGAGGAGGCAGCTCACGCTGTATGCAAAGTTACACCGAGTGATCATGACTGTCGTTCGGCATTTGATGATGACACTGACGACGAGTCCGTTGCTTCATCGGTCTCGTGTTATTCAATGGCATCCACGGACGATTTTGACAGTGAGATTTTGTCGGCTTTTGGCGTTTTTGATGGCTGATTGTCTTTATAGTGTCCCTGCCCTCTGAGGTTGATACATCTCATACATCGGTCCCGTCCTCCCCGTGTTCTTCACTCTCCGCACCCCCTTCTCCCTCTTTCACGATGCCCTCTTGGGTTCCGTGTTTCGGCTCAGAATACATGGATATTGCATTCGACGTCGTTCCGAGCTCACCCCTTGCGGATGCAATTTCCGTCCATCAACCTATTGGTGTCAGTCATCGTCCATTCGTTACCCGTCGTGGTCTCGGTATTCCCGTCATCCATCCTTCCTGGACTTCCGCTAGCTCCGTCCCTGTCCCTTTCGACGAAGCGTCCCCCAAGCGGAAGTTGGCTCAGGATCTAGATGACGCGACACCTAGGACACGTCGAAAGCACGAAGAATGTTGATGCATCAAGTTTGCAGTGTCTCTTTTGCAGAATTTTTTCTTCTTTCCCGATATTTTCTTTTCCCAATCTTTTCTTTCCCCGATATCTTCTTTCCCCGATCTTTTCTTTCCCCGATATCTCCTTTCCCCGATTTTTTCTTTCTCCCTCTTCTCTCTGTCATATCACTCCTACGATTTCCTTCTTTTGCATCTTGTTGCAGGGTTTGTATTCTGATTAACAGGCCGTCCCTTTGGCTTGCGGTGGTCCTGGTTCCGGTTGCATCGTTCGGCTGTGGTGCTTTCCCTCGGGGATCCTGATGAGGTGAAGTACTTTCCTGGGTTTCATTGCTGCTTATATCTGTCTTCCACGTTTGCCCTTTAAAGTGGCACGGGAAACGCTATAGGTGGTCGTGTTTCTCTTGGACTTGCGGATCTCTCGGACTGGACTCCTCCAGTGATGGTATTAGGCAGAACTTGTACTCGGCTTCCTCGGTGCTGTAATACATAGGGATTGTCATGAATTATAATCCAGTCTTGCAGCATATGGGCCGAGCGTACCTGCAATAGTAAAGTTTGAGAATGACCAGGTAAGTTGGAAATGGTCAACCTTCAAGCGATCCGTACTAGCGCAGATATCATTGGTTATCGCTTATGTATTTACGCCAGCGCATGGATGGGAATCTGACAACCGATATCATTGCATAACAGTGGACAACATGCGGCATGTCACGAGGCGCGCGTAACGCCGCGATAATGTTTGTATTCATCATGCGATTGTGAATATATTCATCCGACCAACGGTCAAACTGGCGCAGCCTATCCACTGGTAATAAACGATAATATGTGTCCAAAGGCCTCTCGTGGGTGGACAATGGCATTTGTCACGTGATGAAACGCGGACGCGTTTGTTTGTTTGTGTTATGTGTGGATGGTTGAAATTTAAAATGGCCATTTCTGGAATAGTTCAAGTAGTTCCTCTCATCTTCAGTTCGCTCTTCGTTTTGCATTTCATCCATCTAGCTACTGCACGCACAGATAGAGTACCTTCTGCGTCAATTAGATAGCTGATGTCTTCCAACTTACCAGTAAGTCACCATTCCCTATCGATTATTGTTCGTCATCGATGGCTTTGTCGCTGATCGATGTTATATTCCAGACTCGCCGTGTAACGCGGGTTACCCGCACGGTGGTTCAGAAGGACAGCGAGAATGCTAATGCCCGCCCATCTCGTATTATCTCCCGTGTGAAGCCCCCATCCACGTCTGCCATTCCTGCTCCCACCGCCACAGCCCAATCCAGAGCCTTGGGCGCTACCGCGGCTTCTCGTGCAAAGGTCGGGGCCAACGATGAGAACAAGGTCGATCTTGCCCTCCAGGGAAAACGTAAGCGCGAGGCGCTTGGCGAAGTTACGACTAAGAACATCAACAAGAACAAGGCCGCTGCCACAGCTGCTAAGGACGGAAAGGGAAAAGGCAAAGAAGTAGTCCCACCGACCAAGGAAACGTTTGATGGCGTAGTGATAAAGGCGAAGCCCACTATTCCTTTGAGACAGATCCCCGTTCCTGCTCGTCGTACTACACGGTCTGTGATTGCTCCAGAGGTAAAACCGTTAAAAGATGTCAAGGAGGAACCCGTAGTCAATGATGACGATGCGATGGCTGTGGATGACCACCCACCGGCTCCTGAGCCCACGCGACGCGTTTCAACCCGCAGGTCGGGGGCGAACACCCAACAGGTGATCAACCAGGAGGTACAACGTGTTCAGGCTACTCGACGAACTTCGTCGCATCTCGTCTTAAAGACTGAGGTACATGAGGAAGTTCAAGACGATCGTGTATTTAAGAAGAGGCGAACGTCTTCTGATGCTCCCGAAACCGACATAGACGAGCAAGCGCAACACGAGGCAGAAGTGGCGGCAGTTCTTGATGTTGATGTAGCACCAGAAGCTGACCCCGATGGTGACGAGTGGGACGATCTCGATGCTGAAGATGCCGACGATCCATTGATGGTCAGCGAATATGTTGTCGAGATCTTCAAGTACATGAAACAGACCGAGGTACGAGTGCCCGAATATTTTTAACGTTTTGTCGTAATTGATGAGACAACTTCAGCTTATAACACTTCCCAATCCGGAATACATGGCATCGCAAAAAGAGCTGGCCTGGTCGATGCGTGGAATCCTTCTCGACTGGCTGGTGCAAGTACATGCACGGTTCCGATTGCTTCCTGAGACTCTGTTTCTCTGCGTGAACATCATCGATAGGTTTTTGTCGGCACGCGTCGTCTCCCTTGCTAAACTTCAGCTCGTGGGCATTACATGTCTCTTTATTTCGTCCAAGGTCGAAGAGATTGTGGCACCATCCGTTTCGCACTTCCTTCACTGCGCGGATTCATCCTACACCGAATCCGAGATCCTTCTCGCAGAGCGGTACGTCCTGAAAACGATCGACTGGAACTTAAGCTATCCGAACCCGATGCACTTCCTGCGCCGTATAAGCAAAGCAGATGATTACGATGTCAAATCGAGGACGATGGGGAAGTATTTATTAGAAGTGGGTACACTAGAGTGGCGGTTGCTGGCCACGCCACCTTCCCTGGTTGCTGCTGCTGCGATCTGGTTGGGACGTCTCATTCTCGGCATTGATAAATGGGTAAGTTGTGTGTACCACATTTTGAACTTGTTGATAACATTTTCGGATTCCAGACTCCTAATCATGCTCATTACTCGTCGTATGCGGAAAGCTCCATAATTCCGACTGCCAACCTAATGCTTAATTATATTCTCAAACCCATCCGTCACGAATCATTTTACAAGAAATACGCTGGCAAGCGCTTCATGAAGGTACGTCTTCATGAGCTGCACATGCATGGTAGGTAACCTAGACATCATCTAGGTGAGTATACTCGTACGAGAGTGGGCACTAGAGCTGTGGGAAGAGGGCGAGCAGGTGTCTCTTTTAGCTGAGTTGCCAGCCATTCGTGCAAGGAATCGAGCGGAAAGGGAGCGGCTGGCGGCAGCAGGCTTGGACGGTGACGAGGATGAAAACTCGTGAGGCCGGCGATGCGTATGGTCTCTGCCCCTTCGTTTCATATTCACGGCTATCCACACCCAAAACGCATATCCATTTTACGGACACCCACAATATCTATCCCCCGCCTGCATCATATCCATCACACGAGCATCATGATCATTTAATTTTGTGCAACACAACCATCACACCATCCCACAACGCCAACTTCGTTTTTTTGTTCTTTGATTTTGTTCTTCATGAGTTGATTCTATGATTATCAAATACGTTTTCACCTCCACACCCGCCTGTTTATGCGCCACATCTATGCCTCCTGCTCTGCGTTCGATCTGTCGCTGTCGCGCTGCTGTCTCAGTGACCTACGCATCTCGCTCGCTGTCTGCCGTACTCGATTTGTCGATTCGCGCAAATGCACCAGTACCCGCCCGGACACCTCCTTCATCGTGCTTGCTCTGTTCTCGCTTGCATCATGCTGTTTTACTGGTCACCGCTCTGTCCATTTCGCGCTACCCGTACATAATCCCCTTCAGCTAACCCGCATATCGCCATCACCATGTTATCCGCTTTGTTTACCACAATCACTAGGACTTATTTTCCTGATACCGTCGTTTCATCCGACGTGTTCTTCATAACTTGTTTTTTACTTGAATTCCTGGAGTGGTGAGATATGTTCTGTATCATCTGTAGGACACAAAATAAAGAACTGTCGTGCTGTTGTAAGGACTTGGAAGATCTTAGATTTGTCGCTCTGAAAAAGGTGCAGACAATCTTGCATAAGAAATTCGCACACTCCCTGCAGGTAAACGCTCAAAAGAAAACTCTCTGGCGGGGAGTCGAACCCCGCTCTCCCGCGTCCATCTTGTGATGACAGGCGGGTGTACTATCCGATATACTACCAGAGACCTGTGAGAGCTGAAATAAAGTCCTTCATGAACAGTGTGGAGTAGGTTACTCTGTGCTTTTCCTTTACATACTCCGAGTCCGTTTTACCTCTCGACGGTCGACCGAATATAAGTAGACCCAATCTCTGGCAGCTGCAGATTCATCTGTTGGAACTCGCAACCATTGGATCGATCAGTGGATAGGTTGAAGGAGCTCACGTTTATCAAAGTGTTTGGCTTCGCAGTCTCCCCTCCAGCATCATTTGTGGACGCTTCTGCAGACTTCACTCGTGAAGGCCCACATCCTCTTAACCGCTTTCATTATCACTCCACGTGGATCACGATGGCGTTCGTGCATTTCCGACATACTATCGGAAACTGGGACATCGTGTCGATCATCATATCGGACCGGATCCGTCAGAAGCATCATGTTCGGATAATGAACCCATGAGTCAATGATGGGAGCAGCAGACTGGATGGATGGATAAAACCGATTTTGGCTGGGTACCCTGGTTGTCTCCCATGTAAGTTCGTCGCCGATATCAGACTGGTAACGCCAGTCTATCATTCATTCTAATGCAGACAAACACTGTTTTCACTGTGTTTCAAACGAAACTTGCCAACCAGCATTTGTCGATGTGTCAGATATCGCTGACCAGCCTGAACTGCTCAACGAAATATTGGCAGTGGCTGGTGAAGGCCAGTACGATAGAAATGTGGTCGATATTCGAGTTGTAGGGATTCCAGGCAGCTGGAGCTATGTAGTAATAATAAAATCTCGGATGGGTCGTTGTCGTAATAATGGCAGGCGTGGCATTAAGAAATAATGAACGACAGTCCGTCTTACTTCCAATTTGGTCTGATTCGGCACTCCAGTTAAGATAATATCACTATATATCATCTCCACTATCTAACATTTTAGTTGGTACATGGCTCAAACTGAAGAAAAACCCGAATTCTTCCCTTCCATCGCACACGTCGTTGATAAAACTGATACCGGAGATGAAGATACCGGCGCCAGACCACTCGAGGAGATCGAGTCTCTTTGCATGCAGTGTGGGGAGCAGGTGCGTTCGCAAACGTTCTCATTGCTGGTGGAATTGAATATTCATTTTCGTCAGGGAGTAACGCGAATGATGCTCACTTCCATCCCATTTTTCCGGGAAGTTATCGTGATGAGTTTCCGCTGCGAACATTGTGGTCACTCCAACAACGAGATTCAATCAGCAGGGAAGATTAGACGTGCGCATCATCCTTTTCATCTTGTTACCCGTACCTCCTAACATGAAATCTCTGAGACAGCTGAAGGCACTACGTACACAGTCAAAGTTCTTAATCGCAGTGACCTTGACCGCCAGCTCATCCGCTCAGAAGCTTGTACGATTAACATCCCTGAATTTCAGCTGGTCCTTCCGCCCTCCCGTGGGCAGCTTACAACTGTCGAGGGTCTTCTCAGGGGCATTGTTGCGGATCTCAACGTACAGCAGCCTCTCAGACGCATCCAAGATGAGAACGCATACACTAAGATCCAGGAAATTATCGATGGCCTCAAGGAGATCATCGCTGATGATGAAGACGGAGACGGAAAGGACAAGCTTGAGAAGAGAGGCCTTTCGAAAGAGGATCCAGTCGCTCGCGCGATCACTATCACTCTGGACGATCCATCTGGGAATTCGTTCCTTGAATTTGTGGACAGCATGTCCGATCTAAAATGGAATATGCGCACATACGAACGATCGCTTGAGCATAATCGGCAGCTTGGATTGACACCTCCCGCAGAAGACAACGAAGAAAATAAGGTAGACGAGGCGGAACAGCAATCTGGAGTTACGGATGAGGAAGTGTTCGAGTTCCCTGGTGTCTGTTCGCGTTGCAGCCGGCCTCTTGTCACGCGCATGAAGAAAGTTTCTATTCCGTATTTCAAGGTTCGCATCGAAAGCACACTGAATATTTATGCCTGACAACCACACTGACAGGACACTCTGATAATGTCGACTAACTGTGATGACTGCGGATATCGGGATAATGAGATTAAGTCAGGGGCTGCAATTTCTGATCTTGGCAAGAAGATCACGTTAAAGGTGGAAGATAGGGACGACCTGAGCCGCGACATACTCAAAGTAAGGACTTCCTGGTCTTTTACAAGCTCTTCTGACCCACAACTTTCCTGTAGAGTGACACGAGCGGTCTTAGCATACCGGAGATAGATCTCGTTCTTCAACCCGGCACACTAGGTGGACGTTTCACGACTTTAGAAGGCATTTTGAATCAAGTATACGAGGAACTCACCGAGAAGGTATTTAACACGGGAGATTCTGGGGTCGCAGAGGTCGACGATAGAGCTGTATTCCAGGAGTTCTTGAGAAAGCTTAAGCAGGTGTGTCCTCCTACCATCGCGCGACTCTCATTTTGATATTTATGATGACTAAGGTCAAGAACGCCGAGATACCATTCACCTTAATCCTGGACGACCCTCTAGCGAACTCGTACGTGCAGAATTTGTATGCACCTGATCCAGATCCGAATATGGAGGTCGTCACATATGAGCGAACGTGGCAACAGAATGAAGATCTTGGATTGAATGATATTAACGTGGAATCGTACGGCGGTGATGATACGAAGGACAGTGATGTAAAACCACAGAGGTCATAGCAGTGAAAGTCTGCCAGTCTGTTTGGACCGTCTGCTCTGCAGACAGAGTTACTGTGCGTGATCTACCATCGTTCCTGCAAAGAGCATAAATAATTATTAATATCCTTCATCAATGCATCAAACCGACATGTCAGTACCAGGATTATATTGCAAAGCAGACTGCTATATTTTTGATTACCGTGACAAGTGACCTTGATTCGCGAAACGGACCTGGTATGCGCTGTCATAATGACTATGACTAGTCCACAGCTTTCAATAACGAGCTTTTTGACTTAATATGCTCTCCGCGGCTATTGGTGTGCCTGACAAGTGAGTCTTTGCTATGTTGAAAGCACCTGGCAGTGACATAAAGTCCTCGGGTCGCTGACGACATGAACCTTGGGAATTTTGGAAACATCGGCTACATTTCAGAATTGCCCGTTCCCTGGCATACAGCAATTGGAGGAGCGAGCATATGCCGCGGGGAGACCTGACCGTTTGTCAGTTGATGATTTGACAAAGCTTCCTGTGGTCGGCCACAGTGTCTTGCCGTCTTAAATGCGATGCGCCCCACATGTTCACATGTTGAACGGTACTAGTATAGCTAAGGATAGCTTCGTCCCTTTCACCCCACGCATCCTCTCGGAGAGACGCTGCCATTTAATATAAAGGTTGACAACTTAGACACGATGTTTCGCTTTCCTTTAGATATACTGTTCCCCAGCAATGCTGTGCTGGTTATCCCTCGCGCTTGTCTTGGCGACTAACGTCGCTGGGATCACTGACTCACCCTTTCCGGAATCCAAAGAGCCAAGCGATGTACCGTCCCAATGCCAGGCACGTGCCTGGGCGAGAGCACCTGACATGGTTCCCGGCGAAATTATCGCAGGCGATGTTAAGATCAAACTCAGCAGGACCATGCGTGGACGCCGAGACCTATGCGTTAGGCTTGCGCTACAAGGAAAGGGTATTCTGGAAGTTGAGGCGAGTCGTCTTGTTCTCTCTGGTATCCTCCACCGAGCACCCCGACAGACGGGAAGATGCACCGATTCCGCAAAACAGAATGGGGGGCATACGAGAGCTCAGTTCAGGATAAGGACTTGTGGTCTATACACGAGGAAGAACGAATTGCCTTTGAAATCAAGAGTCCACTGGCTGGTGCAGGGAGGACAGGTACGGATTGAGATTTCAAGCAAACTCGGAGTTTAATGTCGAGAACAGATCCTTTGTCAAGAAACTTCACGACCCGGTTCGGAATTCTAGTACCAAATACAAACTACCCTCCAGGATTAGACTGTCGTGTAGGCTTCATGTCTAATGGTGGAGAGACTGATGTAAGAACAATCTTTATTGATTTTGTCTTGTGCTCAGTGTCGTTACAGATAATATCCAGCGAATCGATTTACGAGTACTTTGTCGAAATCGGGTTTAGAAATGGTACCACTTCAGAGATACCTGCCGGAATAACAGCCTTCACCCCGTTTCACCTTCCGACAGAAAATAACGCACCCAGTGTTAATGTATCTCTATCTGCGGCACCAGTACACCCTGGTTTTAACATGAAGCCATCAGTAGACATGTTGCGAAGCAACTACACGATTGAGGTATCTTTTCCAGAAGGTGCTCACGTTTATCAAAGTATGTTTCAGTTAAAGGGAAACGTCGACCTAGTTATCTGATTGCATGCTTTCTAGACTCGTCCGTGAAGTTCACGGCCATTGTTCATCGGACAGGATATACGAATCGGACAGACATTCCTGTAGAGCTGTGTGCGTCATCAGCGAATGGCATTGAATGGCATTCTCAGGAGCTCCAGAACCGATCACAGCCATTTCCACCGTTCATCAAGACATTAGTCCCCTCCATTGTCCCCGTGCAGCATTCGCGATCCTTCGAGTCTCAAGTCATAATGCCTCGTCCATGCAGAGAGCTCAATTTTGCAGCAACTCCTGCACCCTTGGCTCACGAAGACCACATTATTTCCACGTCCTCCGAACCGCTTTCATTATCCCTCTACGTGAGACACGATGCTGTTCCTGATTTTTCAACTTACTATCAGAAACTGGGACATCGTGTCAATCTGAATTTTCATATCGTACCTGATCAATCAGAGCCAGATGATAATGAATTCGAGAAGACACAGCGGGAGAAGCAGATTGCGGATGCGGATGAACTCGATTGGGTTCCCTGGACGCTGCCGACGCAGACCCGTCGCCCATTCCTTTCCGGCAATGCCAATGTACTCAGTCATCCCAATGCAGAAGCAGGGACCTGTGCAATCAATGCCAGTCCACTATCTGTCTGATAAAGCTCGTCAACCAGTATTTGTCGATTCGTCAGACATTGCTGACCTTCGTTTGATGTTGCCCGAGGAACGCGATCTCATTGCCCACTGACGCAGTCGTCTATCAAGGTGTTTGCTAAGGGAGAAGAAATTCTACGCAGATATTTCACTGGCGGTGACATGCGGTACCCGATATACGTTGGAGACACCTGGGTCAAGAAAGTATTGCCTAAGACTGCTGAGGGTCAGCGAGAGAAAGATACTATGGACCATTTGCTCGTTGTGCAGTCATGACGATCATCAACTGATGTATTGATGACAGAGGGTAGTCGTAGTCATTTATAATTTCAATCCAACACTAGTACTGTACCGTACTAGTGCTATATGAAGATCCCGATTCTCAGTGGGCACATGAACAAGCTTCGGCTCGCACCCTGACTCGTCGTACAGCACACAGATCCTGGTCACGACCTGTGACACAGACTATCAGCTAGCACATCATCGACCTCGTCTGTCTTGTGTCTATAGAGTAATCCAGGGTCATGGCGCAAGTCCAGATTCGAATAACTCCAAACGACACTCTCCGTGCTCCCGACCATATCTGGAGGTATGAGGAGCGGCGTGCGCGCGCCACTGAACGAGAATAAAGACATGTCAAGTAACCGCACCCCCCGCAATGAAGGGAGCTTGACTTTCTCTTCGTGAGGAATGAGCGTCACAGCTGACTGTTCGCTCGGATCCAAAAATTGTCTCGGGGCCCACAAGTCTACCCATGTCAAGTGTGCATGCGCAGGCATCCGGATTGGAATACACGTATCCGTGGCGAGGTGGCGTAAATTTGGACACATGGAAAGTAATGGAGTCAGGGGAAAAGGGCGGCGAAAGTCGTAAAAGCGGTAGCGATCGTTCATATAAGGCCTAACCAATGAGACAAAGTGAAGACTGTTTCCAAATTTACGCAATAGTGGCTCAAAAACCATCCGGTCCTCGAGAGCTTGTGATGTCAAAAGCAGACGTCGAAGAGAGGGGAGGCTAAGGGTCTCAGCCAGTGCAGAAAAGACGTTCATGTCATGTCTACACGGGTACCAAGTAATTTGTAGCTCTTCCAAAAAGGCAAGATGTAGTCGCTCGGTGGGGAGTTCATCGTCTTCTCCAGTGATTATATCGATGTGGAAAGTGGTGAGGTACGTGAAAGCTGGCATGAGGTTCAGGGTGTCTTTGAGTGTGCTATTGACATGGAAGTGCAGATCTGTGGTGCGAAGGGGGATGTGCTGCGCGAGAATGACTAGGCGAAGAAACTCCTGACTAATGGAAGGACGTCTCCCAAAGATGGGCATGAAATTGACTATGCCGATAAGCTCGCGACTACCGAAAGGCTGTCTCTTCAAGATGGGCGCAAGGGTAACTTTCGTAAGATTTGGAGTCACCGCTAAGATGCCGTCCAGAGCCATCGAGACTGTAGCCATCTGAGACACTGAAACATAACATTGCAGGCGCAAAGATAGTATCATCTTGCCCAGGGTATGGTTGTTCGACACGACGCGTGCAAGCGCGAAGAGTTGCTTGCTCTTAAGGATGACAACATGGCGGTAGAGGAAGCTAATGCCGACACTATACCAGTACCTGCATACCAGCACATTGTTCCTGAGAGTCTGCAGTGAAAAAAACCGCGAGGAACGATTGTCGCGAGCAATGACAGTGGAATCTAGGAAGTGCTGAGTCGGTGGCATGGTAAGCTCCATGATGATGCAGAGGATTTCAACTGGAATTTCAGTTGCAGCATGAATATGCGTCGGCGACAGAACTTGATGTGTCTGAGCAGACGATGAGCGATGATAGTAAGTAAGAAAGATCGAAAAACTACCTTCGTGCGATCCGCATTCGCATCTATATCTGACATCTGATGACAGGTAATCGTGCTGCTAGGGTTCGCCTTGAAAGTATCAAACTAAAATGTCAATGATCGTTCAGTTATTCAACGAGGTTGACTTACCGATGGTTTAGGATCCATGATTCACTAGCGAAGTTGATACACTGATTGAAACAAAGCACGTCCTTTTATCTCTCCATTCTCGGGGCCGTAGTCACTGTCGAATCTGTGATTTTAAAATAATCGCGGTCCCGCATTAACTTGAAATGACTCTTCATAACTAGGAATGTGAAAATTCGAAACTTGGCGTGAGGGACTTGATGCATGGGAGCCCCATACTGTCAAAAAATGTCAAATGTCACACGAAATGCTAAATACTGACTAGGATGTCTGTCCAGTAACAAGTCCTGCTGGTACCCTTGTTGAGTTGTCGAGCGACGTGCGCACTGCGGAACATAGATCGTCTGTTGGCTGATGAGGTAATCTGAAAGGAAATTATTTGGATCATGGGAACTCAGTCTGGCAACTGCCGGCGTGCTTTACGCTTCGCCCGTTTTCGTCCAACAGCATCGTCAACCCGTCGAATCCTCTGTGTGATACACCAATCGTATATCCCTCATATATGTGAAATAAAGTCTACTGATATATTACCCATGGCCAGATGGGTAGCGGGTATAGCAAAACAATACAGTACGATGAGGTCTGCCTTGCAGGCTCTAATAATGAAATAAAAACACGTCTACCCCTTAACAGGAAAATAATAAAAAAGAAATGCGTCATCAACCGAAATGGTCGTCTAAAGAAACAGTCGGGACCTAGTTCGGCCGCTACACCGGCGGATCCGCTAGGTCAGCTTTTTCGATCTTGGTCGCGTTCGCATCGTTGATTTTTTCATCAAAGTGCGTGCTGCGTCGAGAAGGATTTGTGGGGTTGTCGTGTTCCGGTTGAGGTATGTGATCCATATTGCGGTCATAAAATATCGATACTGAAATGAATTGAATAAAGACAACTGTCAAGAGGAACCAAAATGCCGCGGCTCGTCCGTGATACTCATGTGGGCCTCCATGGGTGACCTCCACGGATGCCTCTATCGAGCTGACACCAGCGAGGCCAATTGCTGATCCAAATTGAAGACCGCCATTAAAGATGGCACCAACTGTGCCTGCCATGGACGGAGGTGCGGCTTGAAAAATGGCAATGCTGCGATCGCAACAATTAGAAGGTGTCCATTAAATTGCGATAATCTGAACTTACTTTGTGTGCGTATACGTCAACATGGCCCCTGCGCTTCCTACAGCAAAAGCCGGGAATGTATATGGCCAATAATCATGAGGCTTCCCCCCGCCAAGCGCCAACAATACGGTCGCGACCATGCAAAAGGACAGACCAGTGAGGATAATCCATTTTGGACTAATAACGCGAGAGAGCGATCCGGTGAAACTCATAACGAATGCTACGACGCCTATCGGGAACCTGGTAAGTAAAAAAAATCTTAATGACGGGCAACAAAGAGTGACAGCAGTGAAAACCTTACATGTGTACAGCCGATGATATTGCCGACCAACCAAATATGTTTTGCCACAGGGTGGTAAAAATTGTGAACACTGTGACCCACCAAAATAATGGCAAGAGCGCCAGGCCAAAAAGAACGGAGAAATTGTGGTAAAACCATGTCCGGGGTGGTCTGGTACAAGATCAGCCAAATGATCTGTGATAGGTGCAAGTATCCCTGATAGCATACATTGCAGCTGTGTCCACAGGTATGCGCGTTTCCCAGTAGAAAAACCCGATTACCACTAAGATGGATATGATCAGCGGGACCAGCACTTTTGTGGATGCCCAGCCATTAGTGGAGCCAGATGTCACAGCGAAGATGAACAAAATCAAAGCAACTATCGGAGCTCGTGAGCGATGGGAAGCGGAGTACGCTGCAAATTTATACCTAGTGAGGATGCTTACGCCGACTAAGTCAAGGCTCTTCCATTTCTCTGCTGCAGGCTCAAGATTGTCTGTGCTGTTTGAAATTTCTGATGGTATGATGAAGACACACGCCAGAGCCGCTGGCCCAGCCACGATGGCTGAAAACCAGAACACCCACTGGTAAGATATCCATTCGACGAACATTGCACCAATTAGGAGACCGAGGACTATGGAAAGGAACCATGAAGCTTGTCGTGGATAAACAGCTAGTGGGCGAGACTCTCACCGTTAGCAACACCGCCGCAGCCTCCAAATATCCCTATTGCCCGTGCTTGTTCAAGCGGCTCGGGAAATACTTTGACCAGGAGTGTCAGGGCAGAGGGGATCGTCATTGAAGAAGCTGAGAAGCGATTTCGGTCAGTGGAAACGTTAGGCCGGCGGGGACATTTACCTATTCCAGTCAACGCTCTGAGGGTAATGAGTGGAATGATTTCCTTAACAAACCCAGCGCACAGCGAGATGACACAAAGACCAGATACACCCCCAATAAACGCAATTTCTGTGAGCCCATTAATGTCACTGTCTGACAGGTACAGCATAATACTGACTTGGGTTGTATACGTCGCTAATGCGACCGCCCTACACAACATGTTGAAGTGCAAAATCACGTTCAATGGGATGAGCACGCACGATAAGCAGAAAAGATGCGAAGGTCAATTGGAATGCACTGATGACCCAAGTGGATTGACTTTCAGTCATACCCATGGATACCTCGAGCGCAGGGATTGCGGAGAAGAGAGCTGAAATATTGAAGCCATCTAGTAACTGAGCGAGACAGAACATGGATAATAAACTTAGTCTGCGAGTAAGGGAAAGTTTTTTTGGTTCATGATCAACCGGAGTTTTATCCGGGGAGAGAGGCGGGAGTGTCGGCATCGCACCCAAAGAAGATGCTGCAGATTCAAGTTGTCAGTTCAAAAGCGACCAGCTGATGAAGGGGAGGTTTGCAACTTTCTCCGCCGAAATGGATGGATGGCTTCACAATATAAGAGGTATATCCATGACCAACGTGGATCAGACACCGTGACACGATTCGTCTCAACACCAGCGATTATGTGCTCTACTCAAGTACTAAGCACAACGCCGTGTTGAGCTTATGCAGACTATTTTGGAAGAGATTGTGATTCTGGTGGCCTTTGAAGGACATGCGACTGGCATCATGGTTGACTGAGCTTGCGCCGATGGGTCTCTCGGCACTCCTTGGACCATTACAGGGAATTCGTATACCCGACCATGATGCCATGTGGCCTGTGATGACTCTGTAGGTTCACTAGCAGCTACAAAAACGGAGCTCATGCACAGCTTTATCGCATTGATTAGAACGTGACTGCGAGGAACATGACTTTAGAACGAGCCATTGTACCGTTGACTTTGACCTAAGCTTTCTGTTCCTTCATCATACTATCAGTGTCACAGAAACAAGTGCGAGTACTTCGCCTCAAAAGAATCAAATCAGCTCCTAGAATTGTGACACTCAGATTCTTTGATTGATCACATCACCACTTTTTGTGTACGAAACAACTCTGCATTTCGGACCGCACGGTCACTAGTAGAATGATGGAGCCGGCTACTCAGCCTCAGGGGCGAACACGAGTTTGGAAGTGTGGGAACGTATACTGAAGATATTAAATCGAGTTTTAAAACGTAAATCCCTCTTGTACAAAGGGGGCAGACGAGTGGGAGACCCTCAGTTCCTTTTGAAATGAAAAGACAGGAATCCCAGTGCTAGGGGAAGAATCAAGGCAATTGTGTCAGCACGACCAGCAGAAGCGATAGAATTGGGCGAAATTTCCAAAGTACTGAAAGGTTATATGTTTGTTATCCACTATGAAAAACCATTAGAACAGCGTGTCCACATCCAACCGTCCGAATCATCGTGTGAGATGTCTACCATGATTTCATCGTCAACAGATCTCGGTGACCTCGGTCAGTACGCTCCGATTCTGCAAAATCATGAACTCGACCTTCAAACACTTCATCTCCGTTAACTACTCATTCCCGTTGTGTCTGGAGGGTATATACAGAGACTAGGTCAGGGTCCTGTAGTCAGGAGGCGTTGCACATGTCAGGGGTTCGGCATCAGAGGTCCAGTTAGGTAGCGGCACGTACTGAGTAGTCTTCACTCCAACCACATTGTGTGTTTCGTGTGTTGCTAGTCGTTATTCATCGTGCACAGACTTTCCGTTCTATGCGTTCTTGCTCATGTTCCAGTAGCGCAAATGTTATGTCTTCATCGAGTGGTATAGATTCAGGACCTGTAAATACTAAATAGGCACATCTTGCTTAGTCATCAAAGATTGAACACGTCGACTTCGCCAAAAAGCTCAGTGTCATTGCCTACAGTAGTCCTCGAGTTTCAGGTATTGATTAATATTCTTTATCGAAGCTTTATCGTTTGTTCCAACATACTTGCAACACACCTCAATGGCCGAGATTCTCACTGAAATTCGAAAAATTCCGCCAGTGACGCGCTTTCTCGTTGGATCGTCTCTCAGCGTCACCCTCCCAGCCATTCTAAATCTTGTCTCGCCATGGAGGCTTATCTTCACGTCACAAGCTGTTATCCAAAACTTTGAGGTACGTTTTGTGTTCGTTCTCATTTATGTGGCCAAACATTTGTCGATGAGCCTAAACGGTCCTTGACTTAAATCACAGTTCTGGAGACTGTACACAAGTTTCTTCCTGGGAAGTAAGTATTGTGGACTATGTGGCGTTATGCGAGCTCACCGCACGTTTCAGGTATGAACCTGAATTATATTTTCGAGCTTGCCATGATCTAGTAAGTACCATGTCTTCCCCGTGATGGAGGTCCCACCAATTCGTGGTTCAAAGCCGCAACTCGAACATGCTTGAATCAACTCACTACGAGCGCCGTTCCTCCGATTACGCCTGGCAACTCTTTCTTGCTGGCCTTGCTCTGGTCGTACGTCCCGTATCTCTCTTGCGCTATCCATGACCTCAAATTTCACATTCGCGATTAATACCCATAGGCTGTGAACCGTCCTATCCAATCCTACGTGCATACCCGCGCCTTGCTTCATACTCTCACCTACTTGATGTGTTCCCTTTCACCGCCAGGCGCGCTCACCAGTGTTATGGGTCTCATTACCATCCCTGTCGCATACTTCCCATACGCACTCTTGGGCATGGACCTTCTCACCGGTGGGACAAGTGCCGCTGCGCAGTGCGTGAGTGGGATGCTTGTCGGTCACGCGTGGTGGTGGCTAGTTTGGGGATCCGGCATCGGCTCAGGCGGTGTCGAACAGGGCATGTACGCGGGGTGGGGACGTGCTCCTGCGTGGCTGAAGAGCTGGTTTGGCGAGCGTGAAGAGTACGGACGTGCGGGAAGCAGGAGGGGTGGCGTGCAGGCGTTTGCACCAAGGCAACGTGCTGAGGAGGCTGCTGCTTCAGGGCGGGTGACGGGACATAACTGGGGGTCTGGAAGGAGATTGGGGGAGTCGTAGTTTGTGAGAGGCTGACTTCCCAGACGAAGTGTCAAGAAATATTGATCAGGGTTTGTCCCTCCGAGATTTAGGCTTGGTTGCTGTGTCATTTTCTATTGAGAATTATTACACGACTTGATAGTCAAAACCTTGTTCGCGTTTGCTATGTTCCTAACACCCACGTATTGTCGTCATATCACCTCAGTCTTCAAATTAGTAACAATAAGAGACCGCTACAAGGCTCTTTGTCTGCATGACACGATTTGTTCGTAGCTGTTCTTCTACAGAAAGGGATTGACTAACAGCTTTGCAGGGTCTAACCAAACGCCTTACCTGAAGTGGGTGGTTTGTCTGAACTACTTTGATTCTTTCGTGATACCTTTTACAGCTTTCCACTTAACATGGCCGGACTACACCCCAGCTAGAAAAGTACAATATTACCCACATAATGAACGCTCACTGATTTTAGTGATTGCAGCTAGCAGACTGGTTGGAAGGATATGCAAGCTTCCTTGAGCTTGATGTTTGGACGTCCTCGACTATCACCAAAACATCCTGGAACGATATCACGACAACCTGGTCTGTCGAGGTATTGGGGTGGTAAAGGTACTAGGGTTCTAACCGTTAAGCACCTCGTTTTTGCCACTGGATCTGGCGGTCACCCAAAAGTTCCCGACATCCCTGGAAAGGTATGAAACATTCGAACTCATTGAAACGTAACTCATGAACCTAGGCAAGCTTCAAAGGGTCTACCATGCATTCGTCAGAGTTCAAATCCGCAGCTAATCATATCGGTAAAAAAGCAATCGTAGTCGGTTGTTGCAATTCTGGTCGGTTCGTCATATCTTTTGTATCGAACAAGGTTTAGATATTTTATCAGCGCACGACATTGCTCAAGATTTCTTCAGTCACGGCGTAGACATCACAATGTTTGTCCTGTGGCGGTGTTATTGCTCGAGCAGTACCAAAATTTGTCCAAAATCAACTGTACTGATTGATTCGACACTAGGCATTGTACCATCAACCATGATATCAAACCGAGAGCAGAAACATAGCTCACTGTCGTGATGTGCTGCTCAGGCTTCCGGCTTAATCACGGCCACCACCCCCTGGTGGTGGTGGTTCTACGTGAGCATTGCAATATGAGTATGTGGCCTAAGCGCACAGGTGAGCCATGTGGTTGAATCCTGGTTGCTTAGTGACTCACGTCAGTTGCGCAAGTATAGCCCTCGCAGCAGTCTTTCTTTGAAGGGTTGCAAGATTTACCCTGTTTACCACACTCGGCATTTGTGTCGGCCTGGGTACTGACAGCCATAGATGCTGTCAAAGCACAAACAAGGGCAAGGAAGGAGAAACGCATTTCCTGTGAGAGCTAGTATGAAGTCTTCTGAAAGCGGGGAACACTATAGGAGGACGACCAGCTCTTATATCCTGCCTGGATATATTTATGAACGCGATCCTGATCAATTTGGCAGAATCGTTATTGCTGTCAGATGGTGGTAGAATTCCGGTAGAACCTACAGGAGCGTGTTCAATTGATTAGGACTATCGTATCATATCCTGTCGGCAGACCTAGGCATCGACATCATCTTTTTCGAATTCCCCCCGATCGCTCACTTGTCGCTCAATAATTTGAACTCGAGCCCTGCGCAGCGACGGTGAAAATTGGCAAACCTTAGTAATGAATCCGTAGAATATTATTGCGCTAGCAATAGCAGGAAACGACCGAAGCGGACCCTGCGCACCACGAGCAGCACTTCCTGCTATACCTTGATCATTATTCCCCGACTTCCCACGAAGTGGGAGTAGGTTTTGTCGGATCCAAATACCCAGGCACCTAAATGTTGACCGATGCAGTACCGGACAGGTGATGCATCACATCCTAAGCAATATTGATGCATAACAAAAATAGGCTACTTAACCTGTTCTGATGCATCAGAATAACATTATAGCCTGCCTGCGTGGCTGAAGAGCTGGTTTGGTGAGCGTGAAGGGTACGGACGTGCGGGAAGCAGGAGGGGTGGCGTGCAGGCGTTTGCACCAAGGCAGCGTGCTAAGGAGGCTGCTGCTTCAGGGCGGGTGAAGGGACATCACTGGGGGTCTGGAAGGAGATTGGGGGAGTCGTAGTTTGTGGGAGGCTGACTTCCCAGACGAAGGAAGCGTCAAGAAATATTGATCCCTCCAAGATCTAGGCCTGGTTGCTGTGTCATTTTCTATTGAAAATTATTACACGACTTGCTGGTCAAAACCTCGTTTCCTAACACTCACGTATTGTGTTATATCACCTCAGTCTTCAAATTAGTAACAATAACGTTTGACAGACGGAATCATAAAGACATTTTGTCAACTCGGATTACCTTTATGTAGTCGGCTGAAAGAGAGAGAACTTATATTTGTAGTATGCGGTAACACAACTGTCAAGACGCGATGATATTCCGCGGTATACGAAAAAAAGGGGAACATTATGGTACGAATGATTATTTTTATGTAGGCTGAAACAGTGAAACTGCTGGATGTGATGACGTGAGACAATGGAGCGGACCATGCCGTACTGCCGACAACGGGCCATTTCCGTGTTGCACAGAGTTATGACCGTCAATGGTCGATATAATTACATGCAGTGATAGTGCACCCTGCGTCCCTATCACCCCACCTACATATCCATGTATCACCCATGGCCTTGCAGACCCTAATAGCCCTCATCTTTGCCTTCGCGTCTACCAGGACGAGAGAATCTGACCCAGAGAAGGGTCCGGAGACTCTCAGTGAAACTTCCAATGCAAAGAGGAACTTGGATACTCGCCCTCACAACGATGACGAGAAAGACATGCCCCAGGAAACGCACCTGGACGTGGACATTGACGTTGACGATGAGGATGGTACACCCCCAGATGAATCTGTCTCAGGCTCGCAGACCGACCCGCTCCAGTTGCTTTCTCTCGACTCTCCTGACAAACGTCCGTCATTGTTCACTCGGGTGAAGACATTCATGTTTCCGCCGTCATCGGACGACTTGTCCTACGCACCAAACTACCGGTACATTCCCCTTATAACTGGCATCGTAGTACCATTCTCGATCTTGCTCGAGATTCCAGGGCTTACCGGGCACTGGTACATCCGCACCGAGAACTATAATACCGTCCAGAATCGTGCTAATCCAGTCTTATTGGATATTGGCCTTGCATTTAGTATGACTTGTGCTGTCCTGGCTAATGTATGTATCATCTTTAGGTTTCTTGAGAAGCGGGTCATGGTAATGACAATACTATGCATCATGTTTCTGTCCATCCACGGTTTGTGCCTCGGTTTGAGCAAAGGCGTTTATTAACCTGAGGTATAGATATCATCAATGTCGTCGCTCTCACCATCTTTGGCGTGAGCCACCGATTTAACGACGGGTTTACATACGGTGAAGCCTTCTGGATGACTGTCTGCTCTACCGTCGTATCGGTCATCACCAATGTAAGCCTTATCATAGACTTCATCACCACTCCCGATTTCAAGACAAGCGGTATGTATCCCGTATTCTATTCTCTTCACTCACCGCCCTAACATGATACAGGCAGTGGTCTCACCCGCAAGCAGCGCACGCTAATGATCATGCTTATAAGCCTATTTGCCTACATCGCATTTGGCTCTTTAGTCAATTCATTCCTGCTCTCTCTGAGCTTTATCAACGCTCTTTATTTCACTGTGACGACAATCGAAACTATTGGCTTTGGCGACATCGCGCCCAATTCACCTGGGTCAAGGGTATTCATCTGCTTTTACGCTGCGTTTGGTATCGTGAATCTTGCTGTGGTGGTAGGCATGGTACAAGAGACGGTGAGAGAAGGGCTACATGTCGGTTATTTTCGTCGCCTACATGATATTCGAGAACGAAGACGTGCAGCGCGGCGACGAAGGAATGCAGAAAAGCGTTGGCATTCGGCGGTCATTTGGAGATTGCGAGATAAAGGTGCAAAGGTGTGGGTTCGAAAATGCCGTCCGACATCCAACTCTTTTTGGGCCAAAGTGAAGAGAAGGTTTTTCCGCGCTGCAGAAAAGATGCCGCATCCTTTAGATCCTTCCCGAGGAAAACGTCTCAACCTCGAGGCACTCACACATGCCGAGTTGAAGGCGGCGGCAATGGAGGCGGGCGTTCCACTTGATACACTACTTCCACCACAGTTTTACGAAGCGCAGATGCAGAACGACGACGACGACGACAATGTTGATGACCTGGAGGTAAGTGTCCCTTCTACCTTTGTTTCAATGGTACTCATTACGGGCGAAGATTGCGAGCACATACCCTGCCTTGTCTGTCCCGCATACGGTGTATGGTATGAATGTACGGCGTGGTGCGCATCGAATGCTAACACACCAGCGACTTGGCGCCATGGCAGCACTCCTAACGAGATTTGCGATTGGAGTTTCCCTGGAACACAAAGGACCCATCACACAGGCCGCTGTTGGCGGTGTTGAAAATCCCAGCGAAGACCCTGCTTTGAATAACAAACGTGGCTTGAGCGCTGGCGACGAGGGCTTAGTTGGAGGTGAACGTAACACTGAAAGCTCTACGACATCGAGCAGCGACGATATAAATGCAGAGTATGATTCGATGGTTGCGAACAAGGAGAATCACGCACTTTTCATGCGCTCGTCCTTTGCATGGATAACCTTCGTTGTATTCTGGTTGGTGAGTTTGGTTGCAAATTTCGTTTGATCTTCGCTTGTGTTTTCGCTCCCATCATCATATGTATATTGAGCGATCTGACAAACACTGTAGGTTGGCTCTGCAATATTCAGTCTGACCGAAGGCTGGTCGTATGGCTTGTCTATATATTTCTGTAAGGCTTTTAATTTCGTGTCCTCGAGACATCTGATTTTGACTTGTAACGCGATTTTTAGGTTTTGTTGCATTCACAACGATCGGGTATGGTGATCCCGCGCCCAGGACACCTGCAGGGCGATCTGTATTTGTTGTGTGGGCTCTGCTCGGCGTTGCCACAGTGACCGTATTGATTTCTGGTGCGTGCTTGTTCATTCTCTGCAACCTTTTGCTGACATTGACCTCTATTTTTTGTTTCCTTCAATTGCATGCATGTTCTTCGTCATATTCCGACATTCACATCTATATTCAATGTTTCAATATGATGTCCGATCGCAGTCGCCTCCGAGGCCTACTCTAAGCGCTACAAGGCGATGCTTCAATGCGGAGCTTTCGAGCGAGCCGTCACGGTATACCGCACTCGCACAAAAAAGATGTATATAACGAGGACCCAGTCCCTTTCTGAACCCCAGCCTCCGGATCAACCTCAAAGCCCAATCCAAATTCACCAGATTCAGGCTCAATCGTTGACCCCAGCCTCTCCAAGCGTCCGATTCGAACCTCACGCTCCTTCAGATGTCCGACTACGCACGACTTCTCTTGAGCAGGACGACGATGGCGGCGAGGGGAGCCAGCAACCACGAGACACAGAAATGAATGCACCAGATCCCAATCTACGTGCACAAGACTTGCTCGAGACACTCCCGCAGCGCGTCTTAAATGAGGTGCATTCATTCCAGGAGTACATGCGCTACCTGGGGAACAGTGACAGTGGTACGAACGCATACGTGAATGAGCAACTGAGGGCACTCCTGGACGATGTGTTTGGCGTGGCTGATGTGAAGGCGAGCGTGAAAATGGATATCTTGAAGGATAAGGATACCAGGCGGGTAAGTCGGTACTCTCTTACCATTAATTGAAGAGTTGTGAAATTGACTTTTGAACGTATCAGACGCTCATCACGTTAAGCATCGAGAGTGAGTCCCCATTTTCTTTGGTTGTATGAGGGTCATCAATTGACTGCTGGACGCAGAATCGTTGATGGAGCTTATGACTATCACGGAGGAGGCGATTGCAGCGATGAATGAGCGTGACCGTGTTGCTGCGGCCTTAGTTCAGGGGCGTGAAGATGCTGATGTTGATGAATAATGGCAAGCGCGTGGAGGTAACTATCATAATCATGCGGTATATCATCCATTCAGAACAAATGTCCTCACGCTCAGTTCCATGACAGCCTTACGACACAGTTCATCTTCACGTTGCACGGCAACGAACCATCAACACTGTCACCCTTCAGTACACTCGCTTGATTCCTAATCGACTCGGAATGGCGTCCGGTTCGACTGCACTGCGCGCATCCCGGGCCGCATTTGAGACTCGCGTCATATATGGCATGTCACGGCCTTGAGATGCTAACTGAATTTTTATAACTTCGCATGTATCATCTGCGTGTCTAATTTGCTACTCAACAGCGGTCAGAAGTCTCTTCATGCTTCTGATTCAACATCTCGACTGCTTATCAGTAGTTTATATCAGCTCGCCTATGACATTGTTGATATTGCGCCGCTGAGTATGCCTGACGTAAAACTCCGATCGAGTTCAGCCAAGTGGCCACTTAACACCATCCCCCAGAGTGTCCCATTATCTGCCTGTACCCAATTCGAGCACGAAGCTTGCTTTGGATGCACGTTCTTTTATCTTCATTAACCAGAGGTCACCGGCCCGGCCTAGGTACACTACGATACAATATGATATTCCTGGGAGAAGCCGTCGGCACATGAAACCAGCAATATTGTCATGTTGCAAGCTTCAAATCCGCTCATGGATCAACGTTCAACATCGATACCCTTCTGAATGGAATCGAGATAATCAACATCTCTTGGCACGTTGTATGTACTGCTAAGCAAGATCCTTGGTGATCGATAATTGACGACCACTATGGCATGCATAGTTCAAGATCAAGATATTAAATACCTGGTTTTCTGGGCTCTTCTGCCCAGCATAAGGAGGCCTACCAATTGGGCAAGTCAGCGAATCAGCATGATCCTCATTTGTCACTCGGGCCCGGTTGACGTGGCATACTACGTGTGATATTGTCGTATGACTCCGATCCGTAGGAATGGCAAGCTAAACCATCTGGGAGCAGGTAGAGGCGGACAACCCTTACAATATTGTGGGTTTTCAGTAAGTACTGGACTGTCGTTTCATCATAAAGCGCAATTTGAACCACTTCTAATTTGAATTGAACTTGTCCAGAGCCGTGTTCCTCTTCGGTGCCGCAGGTTGATTGACAATTCTCTAGTTGGGAATTGTGTCATGCGTAACACTCATGAGTCCCCTTTGAACGACATTCAAAGATTACTGCGCTGATCACCTACTGCTTGAATACACTATCTTTTACAGGTTGCAGCCATGGCCCATAACAACTCTTTTTTTGACCTTCGCTTCATCGGGAAGGTCTGTTGATGCGGGATCTGATATATAACCCTTGAGAGCAGCGCCACATCTAGAGATCACCTTTTGCACCCAAACTTCCAGTAATGAAGGGCATGCAATTTGCGAACATTCTAATAATTATCGCCTTCCTCATGGGCGCATTGAGGGCAGGTCAGGAATTTTTCGATAACTGTCGAATTCAATATCTAAATACAATAGCCAGCGATGACGGCGCAATCGGTGTCGAAGTGCCGACAATGATCTATGCAATATTTAGTCAGTTCACAAAGCATCATCTTTCAGATTGGATCTAATCCATTTCATCCAGGATACAATCCAAACAAAGTTGTGGCAGCTGTAGCAGGCGGGTTGTACTCCATCGCTAGCCTTTGCTTGTTCATGCGCTTATTCATGAACAAGGCATGGTGGGGACTTTGCCTCCCCATAGCCTCAACCTGTAAGTTCTCACCACCCACTTCGAAATGCATGTTGATCTTAAAACAGTCATGTCTATTGGCTTTTTCATGCGCATACCCATGGTCATGAACCCAAATTCTCTCACAATTTTCATGGTCGAACAACTCCTTACCCTATTACCGCCTGCTGCATACCTTGCCTTCAATTACATCCTTTACGGGCGTTTCATCGTGAAATGCGTGAACAGACGCTACTCTTGGATAAAGCCAGAGAAAGCTGCGCAGTACTTCATTATCAGCGATATCACGACTTTCTTCATACAAGTTTGAAGTTTGATTATTAGTCTCCTTCACACGAAACATTAATCGTGACATTGTGTAGGGTGTAGGTGGCGGTATGGAAGTGTCGACAAAAGTGACAAACGAGAAACTGGGCTCGAACATACTGCTCACCGGATTAGTCATTCAGACACTCTCATATACGTTCTTCACGATCCTAGTTGTGCATACCTGGCATGGAATCCTTCGAGACAGTTTTCTGCTCCGTCAGGAGCCATGGGGACCAATTATTTGGATCTTGATGTTTTCTTCGACAACCTACATGGTGCGTCTTTCGCCCACACTTTATCGTCCATCTCACTGATGTTGATGTTGCATCATACAGATTCGTTCTATCTATCGTGTTATCGAGATTGCTCAAGGTAAGGGCGGCTACCTCGTCACCCATGAAAGTGAGTGTTGGGAGATACTAAAATTGGGGCGCTTGGTCTGACCCTTGCCTGATAAGTCTACTTCTACCTCCTCGACTCCCTGCCACTATTGATTGGCATTTGCACATACATCATCTACTGGCCAACGAAGTACCTCAAAGGGTCGTCCAAGCCTACTAATGAAATGACGGAACAGCAATAAAGTTCTGTTATTGCCATGCCCATTTGAAATTTCAAGAACTCACCCGGGCGCGTGAACCGCAATACTCACAGGAGAAGAACCTTGGGCTGTCACTTGCGATTCAACGCACAATGTCCTTCGCTCTATATTTAGCCCGTCGGTGTTGTGGTGCAACCCTTTGCTAACATTCATTTCTATTTTTTGTTTCCTTGAATTACATGCATATTCTTCGTTATATTCTGACGCTCACATCTATATTTCAATGTCTCGATGTGACATTCGATCGCAGTGCTACAAGACGATGCTCCAACGCGACTCTTTCGAGTGAGCCGTCACGGTACACTGCACTCGCATAAAAAAGATGTGTATACCCAATTCCATGACAGCCTTACGAAATAGTTCATCTCCACGTTGCATGGCGACGAACCATCGACACCACCACCGTCACCCCTTAATGATATACTCGCTAAATTCCGGACTGGCGGTTCGACTGCCAGTGCACTGTGCGCATCCGCATCCGAGACTCACACCGACATATGGTATGTCACGTCCTCAAGATGCTCATGAAATTTTCATGAATTCGTGTGTAACATTCGCGTCTCTCTCAACAGCTGAGCGCTGTCAGGAATCTGTTTATTCTTATTCAACTCATCTTAGACTATGGCTTATTCAGCACGGTCGATTGAATTAAACCATCTGGTGCCGCTGAGTGTTACAGGCGCTGACGTAATGAGCTTCCGACCGAGTTCAGCCGAGCGGTTAATAATAATATCATACACCCACTAGCACCCCCAACTTTGAAAGCGTCTCATTATCTGCCCATACCCACCCCGAGCACGAAACTCACTTTGGATGAACGTTCTAGAGGTATCAGCCCGACCTAGATACAATACAATATTTTCTGGGAGAAGCTGTTGACATATGATACCAATATCATTATCATACATCCGCTCATGGACCAGGCCATCTGCCATCGATATCCTCCTGAATGGAATCGACAACTCTTGGCACGCTGTATCTACTGCTGTAAGTCAAGATAGTTAATAATCAATGATTGACGACAACAAAATTCAAGATATTAGATATCTGGTGTTTTGCGCTGTTGTCCATTCTAAAATCTACAACTTATCGATTTTCACTGCCCAGCACAAGGAGACCTATCAATTAGGCAAACCAGTTCAATGCTCAGCAAATCAACATGATCTTTATTTGTTACTCGGGTCATTGACGTGGTGGCATACGTGTCGTATGACTCCGATGGTAGGAACTCCAAGCTGAACCTTCTGGTATCTGTAGATGAGAAGGTAGAGGGGGCGGACAACCATTTGCGTCAGTGAATTGTCGCTTCCACAATTCGAACCACCTCTAATTTGTATTGAACTTGGTGCCGCAGGCACAGGGTTGATTGGCGATTCTCTAGTTAGGCCCATCAATCACGTGTGCGTATTGACCGGGTGAGCACGTATGCTTGACAAATGATAATTTGCTCTCCCCGTCCCATGTTGTCCGGTGGTACGTCATCAAAATACGTGTTGATATTAACCCTCATGGCTTCTTTCTCCACATGGTCATATTTTCATGATCGGACAACTCCTCACGACGTTGTGCAGGGTGTATGTGGCGGTCTGAAAATATCTACAAAAGTGGGCACGAATATACTGCTCGCTGGATTAATTGTTCAGACACTGTCTTCATGATCCTAGATGCGCATACGTGGCGTGGAATTATTCGAGACATCTTTCTGTCCCCTCAGAAGCCACGGGGGCCAACTCTTTGGATATTGATGCTTTATTCAATAAACTACACGGTATGCCTTTCGCCCACATTCATCGCCCATCTTACTGATATTGTGCGACACAGATCTATCGTGTCACCGAGAGTGCTCGATGTAATGGCGGCTACCTCGTCACCCATGGAAGTGAGTGTTGGGAGATACTGAAACTGGGGCGCCGCATGATGAGTGTACTTCTACCTCCACAACTCCCCTGCCAGGCATTTGCACATACTTACATCATCTTCTGGCGAACGAAGTATCTCGAAGGGTCGGCCAAGCCCGCTAATGAAATGATGGAACGGCAATAAAGTTCTGTTATTGCTATGCCAATTTGTTCAAGAACTCATTCGGGCGCGTGAACCGTAATACTCGCAGTAGAAGAACCTTGGACTGTCACTGCGATTCAACGCACGATGACCTTTGCTCTTACTATATTTCGGAATGTCTTGCTGGTACATAAGTGCTTCTCATCATGGTGCTATTGCAGTATTGAAAAAATAACAGGCGGAGTAACCCTGTGCCACATATACACTCGTGTTTGCTTCGTCTGAAAGCTTAATAGCTTAGTCAGCATTTACGTCATAACTTATTTCATCATGGGTGTAATGGACTATCATATGATCCTACTTTGGCCTACGAACCGCCCAGTTCATCATTATGCCACATGGCAATAAAATTCCGAATCCGATTTAAGGATACTGCGAGGTTGAAGGAGCAAAATGATAGACTCCCCAGCTGGTACTCTCACGACGCGTACTACCTCCAAGCGCGAAATTCAGGACAATCGTTGCTCACACAATGCAGTACGAGTCTGTTACAGTGGAACGGAAACGAGATTACTGCTCCAGTTCCATGACACCACCAGATTTGGCCTTTGATAAGCCTGTGGGCAGTGATCTGGAGGGCAGTCACTATCATACAGGATTTCTCAGACGTTTCACCCAGTTACTTTCTCGTTATGGAATCGAAACTCATGGGTGAGTGAGATGCCGTGTCGCTGTGATATCTGCAATGTCTAAAGCATTTCTACCTGTTACTCGGATCAGTATAGCACCGATACCAGCAGAGGAACGCCTGGAGACTCGATGGTACCAAATGTTCTTCGTGTGGTTCTCTTCCAATATGAATATCTTGACGTGCGTTTTGGGTCCTGTCTCGACTCTTGATTCCTTGCTATCTGCTGAGTCAGTTGAGATATACAGATTCAGCACTGGCACTGTCGGACCTGCATTCTTTTCCCTGGGAGTCAATGAATCTTTCATCATCATCGTTGTTGTTGATCTGGTGTAAGTGCTAATGGTTCATATGATCATCAACTTTCTGTGAATAATAACTAGGGTCTGCTTGGTACCTGCGTTCTCGTGAGCTTAACTATTATTATCTGGACATTTCTCTGGACTTATGAATATACAGTGCTGTTTTTGGTCCAAAGCTTGGCACACGATCTATGGTACAGGCAAGGTTCTCGTGGGGGTGAGTTATTTTTCTGATTGCCATTATCATTCCCTGACGGATATCAAGGTACTTCGGTGCCATCATACCGGCTGTCTTGAATGTTTTCTCTTTGGAAGGTTTCCTTATTCTCAACTGCATCATTGGTGGACAAACGCTCGCAAGCCTGTCTTCCCATCTTAATGATACTCTTGGTATTGTTATCATTGGTATCATAACTCTTGTGGTACGTCAAATCTGTTTTGTGACACATCAAAATGTCAAGCTTCACAGGTCACGTTCTGTGGATACCGCATCATTCATTGGTAGGATCACTCAGCCACGTACTATCCATATAACTCTGGTACAACTTTGATTCTAGGTACGAAAGTATCGCCTGGATCCCAAATGTGATTGCTTTTATCGCCATACTGGGTGTCGGTTATCCCCAACTACGCGACAACCAATCAGCTCCTGTCTCTGAAGTGAATATCGCTGCGGTTCTTTCTTTTTCGTCTGTCCTCGTGGCTAGTATTCTCAGCTGGTGTACCATGACCGCCGACTATGGTATATACCACAGCCCTGCTGCTTCCTCGTGAGTTTCCTCAGACCACGCACGGACTCTCTAAAACATCCTTATAGTGCAAGAATTTTTCTCTACACATATCTCGCGTTTTTAATTCCTAGTGTAAGCCCCTATGTACTGCTACCAGCATCATAATAACGTCTTGAAAAGGTGACCGCCCACACTCTTGGTGCCGCGTTCGCCGCCGCAGCTCCCAATGTGCCTGCTTGGAATGAAGGATTTAACAACAGTTCTTCCATCGGTGGCTTGTTATACAGCGTGCTGCTACCTACAGGTGCATTTGGAAAACTTCTGACCGCTCTGGTGGCTCTCAGTATACCCAGCGCTTGTGCGCCAACCATGTATTCGTTCAGCACCAGTTTCATGGCTATCGCTCCGTGGTTTGCTGCAGTGCCTAGATGGGTATATATTTTCGTCTCTGAAGGAGTGTACGTATATTCAGTATCTTGAACTCTCGTGATACTTATTATTTCTCTTGAAGTCTGATACCCGTAGCCATTGTTGGCGCCGAAAAGTTTTATACCACTTTTGTTGACATCCTGAGTACGAGTCCAAATTATCACGATATTTGTAACTGTCGCTGACTCTTCAGATGTCATCGGATACTGGTCGTCGGTATTCTCTGCGATTATTATTACCGAACATGTCCTATTTCGGCGTGCCTCGTTTTCTGAGGATGAATATCCTATCGCGACTTGGGCTTCGCGTACTCTTTTGCCTAGCAGTATTCCCGCAGTTGTGGCTTTCGTGTGCGGCTGTGGAGCCCTTGTTCCATTCATGTCGCAGGCTTGGTATGTTGGACCAGTGGCGAAGCGTGGGAGTGGAGACGTTGGGATGTACGTAGGGTTCGTGGTGGGAGCTATCACATATGCATTGGCAAGGGGTTTCGAGAAATTGTGGTACAAGAAGATGACTAGATCAGATGTGTAGCGTAGTTTTCAAGGCAAACAGCCACGTACACCTGTTCTAGGTGTCGTCAAAGAGACAATATAATTTTCGGAAAAAAGAAAAATCGAATGCTAGTTTACCATCATGGACAATGTAGTGACCTTGCCTAGACTTCGGGGAACCATGCAATCTACTCCCGGCGGTTCTTAATCAAGTCCGCTCCTCCGGAACTTTGTCCGGAACTTCGCCAGTACTCCGTAGCGCTACTCCCAATCGCTTATCAGAAGCGAAAAATTGCCAAGAGCAAGCATTGCATATGGTGATAACACGATATCTGAAGGCAAAAGTCAAAAAATGTCCAACATAGCAGTACGTCGGAGTTCTTACAATATTGTTTTATTCCAATGTTGATGATCTTTTGCAAATGTGTTTCAAAGTACGTTGTAAAATATTGTACATGCGGATAGTCAAGTCATTGATCATAATCAAATCAAAGATCATGCCGCTATTTTGATGTGCCTGTAGTATAATGGCTGGTACGATATGATGCCATCGGTATTGGCAAAGCGTCGGATCCCACTCGCTTTACTTTCGCTTGCTAACAAACATTTAATAGTACTAGGAATAGGCGCCTGGCTCATCTGCCACTCTCACTGACGCTGTTTAGCACGTCGACCAAGTCAATTGCTGTGACTCACACAATGCAGACTTACACAGTGGAGCAGAAACAGGACAGGTTCGTTGAAGTGCCATTCCAAACCCAGTGTGGCCTCTGATGAACATACGAGGCCCGAGGATGATAGCCTAAAGGACGATCGCTCTCATATAGGATTCCTCAGGCGTACTACTCAGTTACTATCTAGGTATGGAATTGAAACTCGTGGGTGAGTGATATGGCGCTGTTTTTACATTTTTGCTGATCCTTGAACCTTCGATAAGCATCGCGCCGGTGCCAGCAGAGGAACGTCTCGACACTCGGTGGTACCAGTTGTTTTTCGTTTGGTTTTCCCCTTGCATGAATATCTTATCGTGCGTTTCCATTACAGTGTTAATCCTGATGCCATTCGCTGATCCACCTAATACCTGCAGATTTAGCACTGGGACTGCTGGACCTGCATTTTTTTCCTTGGGAGTTCGTGAGTCCATAGTTATGATCGCCGTTGTTAACCTGGTGTAAGTCAGGAGTTCACGAGATATCGATACTGCAGTGATTGACCTTCAGCTAGATGTTGTTTAATGCCAGGATTCTTGTAGGTTGTCTTATTCTTCTCTGCACATTTCTGGGGGCTTCATAATGCGCTAGTGCTGTTTTTGGGCCAAAGCTTGGCATGCGAGCTATGGTACAAGCCAGGTTCTCATGGGGGTGAGTTATTTTTCCGATTACCAGTATCATTTCCTGAAGCGTATCAAGGTATTTCGGTGCTATCATACCGGCCGTTTTGAACGCCTTCTCCTTGGAAGGCTTCCTTATTCTCAACTGCATTATCGGTGGACAAACGATAGCAAGCTTGTCTTCTCAACTTGACGATACTCTTGGTATCGTCATCATCGGTATCATATCTCTTGTGGTATGTCGGAACTCCTCCTGTTGCACAAAAAAATCACAGGTTTTAAGATCACTTTCTGCGGATACCGCGTCATCCATTGGTGAGACCACTTCAACACCAATCATCCAGAATTCTGACCAAATGTTGATTCGTAGGTACCAAAGTGTCGCCTGGATCCCGAATGTAATTGCATTTATCGTCATGTTGGTTGTCGGTTATCCACATCTACGTGACAACCTATCGGCTCCCGTCCCTCAAGCAACAACTGCTAACATCATGTCTTTTGCGTCCTTTCTCGTATCAAACATTATTGGCTGGTGTACCATAATCTCTGACTATGGCGTATACCACAGCCCTGATACTTCTTCGTGAGTTTTTCTTGGCTATCGCCAGTACTCTCTTGACATTCCGATAGTGCAAGGATTTTTGTTTACACGTATCTTGGGTTCTTCGTATCTAATGTAAGCCATTTATGTCTGCATCAGTTGCATCTTGACAATTCTTTTTTCCGAAAGACGACTGGTCAAGCTCTGGGTGCTGCATTCGCAGCAGCAGCTCCGAACGTGCCTGCTTGGAATGCAGGATTTGATAACAGCTCTTCCGTCGGTGGCTTGTTTTACAGCATCTTGTTACCTACAGGTGTATTTGGAAAAATCCTGACTGCTTTGGTCGCTCTCAGCGTATCCAGCGCCTGTGCACCGACGATATATACTTTCAGCAACAGTTTCATGACTGTTGCTATGTGGTTTTCTAGGGTGCCCAGATGGGTATATATCCTCGTGTCAGAGGGAATGTGAGTGTCATTAAGTAGATACATACCTTGGCGACGCTCACGACTCTGGTTCAAGTCTCATACCAGTTGCCATTATTGGCGCCAAAAGGTTCTATGCTACCTTTGTCGACATCCTCAGTACAAGTCCCAAATATCGGTATCTATTGTTGGCGCTAACATGTTGATCTTTCAGACATTGTTGGATATTGGTCATCAATATTCGCTGCGATAATACTCACAGAACATGTGTTATTCCGACGAGCCTCATATTCTGAGGCTCAATACCCCATCACGACGTGGGCTTCGTATGCTCTCTTGCCTAGCGGTATCCCCGCGGTAGTGGCTTTCTTGTGCGCATTTGGAGCCCTTGTTCCATTCATGTCGCAAGCTTGGTATGTAGGACCAGTAGCGAAGCAGGGCAGCGGAGACGTTGGTGTGTTCGTGGGGTTCGTGGTAGGAGCTATCACCTATGCGTTGGGGAGGAGTTTCGAGAAAACACTGTACAAGAAAATGGGTAAAGGAGATTCTTGATAGTACTTGTATCAACGTACACGAGTCGTCTTCGACTATCCCTCAACGCTGAAAATTACAAGAGACAAGTGATTTTTTCCAACTTTGAGGCCTTGATGCTTCCGGTTCGATGTCGATGGCATATATTTGACCATATATTTGCCCCACACTCGATCATGCAACCACGCATGACGCGACGGCGGAGACAGCTGCCACTACAAATTTTTGAGCTACTTGTAAGTACAGCAAAATCATCGGTATGATGGGAGTTCTATCGGGAAGAGAGTCATCGCAAAATGTGGTATCTCCGCACCGATATAGAATACCATATTGATAGCACTCCCCACTGGCAACTTCCAGCATCCGAGTCAATATCACGACCTCTGCCACTCACGTTCGCTGTCTTGGTCAAATAGTCACATTCAGTGCTGATAGAGTCATGCGTAGGGCGCTGGTATAGGAAGAAAACGAGGTGTGGGCACGAAGTTGCGAACTCTCGAGACGCTCGATGGAGTACTAATCCTCCATCATGATTTTGGTATCTACTTGGGAGGTCTGGCGCAAGACGGTCATCAGTAGCTGTAGAAATGATGTATCAGTCCTTGTAGCACAGGTACAACAAGCTTGGTTGGCATTCACACCATGAGGTAGTAACTGGTAAAAGATGCGGCACAAGCATTACGTAATTTAAACGCTACACAAGCCATCACTGGCAAAACAACTTGGCTTGGTTTGGTGTCCAACAAGGCTTGACATCTAGACCTGCACCGCCAGCCGTGTCTATAGAATATCAGCGTATACCATATTCCTTGCCCCGTTTAGTTTTCCGATCCAAGTGCTGCTGCAGCTACTTATGGGGTACAGCTTTCCCTGCGATGGAGGATGCGCTATTGATGTCGCTACTCTTGTCTTTGCGATAGCCAGTCATCATGGAGTTGCCATGGCTCTCACGCCTGATATATGTAAGTTATATTTCGAGGCGTAGAATAGCTTGTTGTCAATTTCTGATCTCATAAATAGTATAGGCCGTGGCGAGATGGTTTCACGTGGCCTTGTCATAGCAGTTGTAATTGGACCTCGGAGATGGCATTGGCTGGCTCCGGCTCTCGTATCACCTCCGAGTGCGGAATCCGACTTGAGTGGTTTAGGCTGGTTGATTCAGAATCAAAGTACGCCAAGTTTTTATGAATGATCGTTCCAGTATTGCTCACTCATTGAAGCTTGGCTTGATGAACACCCGGAAAACGGTGCCACTCATGTTTAGCTGAAAGTCCGTCAAGCCGCAAGCGGAATTAGAGTGGGTTATGGGGGGCGGCCGTCCATCGTATTTCTCAAGGCGAACAACCACCGCAGACCCGCGTGTCCAGAGGAAGCTGAGAGTGGGCGCCTTGGACTAGCACAAACCCTGCGAGCCTAATTATGGCAAAGACGTTTGTTCGGTGAGACCGTGAGTCCTAATTTACTTTGCTCATAGTCTTTTTTTAACCCATTTTGCATTAGCCACCGACCCGTGTGATTGCCTTTGACCCGGCCACACGACTCGATCGAGCATAACAAATTTCTCGACGATCAACTGACTGACAAAGTTCGGCTTCTTCCTCTGCTCTCGACTCGTTGCTTTTCGGGATTTGCGCCTTGGAGAGGATAAATATGTACTCCTGCCCTCTCGAAGGAGGAGCTGAGTTTTCTGTACTGACCGCGACGGCTTCTTGCTGTCACACGTTACTTTTTTGCGTACGCATGGGGATCTTCGATCCTGACGTTCCCCACACCCAGAATGAAAATAATGTTTCCGGTTTGCATCAATCGGCTGTGGGGATTAAAGCTAACCCGCTCCACATGATTCATATGACGATCGACGCTGTCTTGAAAGTTTCTGGAAAGCGGTACCGACGATGCATGTCCCGCACGTGGACGACCGTGCTGTGGCGTTGGGAGTCTTTTGCAATCTTGGCGAGGCACCTCGAGCTATCAAGTCAAGACGAGCGTTCGTCGTCGATGCAAGTACAAATTACCGTTTTGCTACATAGGGTATACAAAAGAATCGCTAGCCAGCCCATAATTATGTGAGTAGTTACATATGGTATATTGTACTGGAAGTGCTCGAACCATGATAATTGTCACCTGTGCCCCTAATTTGACCGTCTCCTGTGTACTTGTCTTCCCCTTTGAAATCTGATCATGTTGCTCGCATCAATCATCCTTCGAAGTTGAGCCATAAGGTCCTTTGCTAGGAAGACGGTGCCGTTGTCTTCCTCGTAGCGTATGCGGTCTTCGTCAAGAAGTTCGAGAACACGAATGTCCTCGGGGGAAACGCGCAGGTCATGGGAATACCGAAAGATGGACACGAATTCGTGTCGAAAAACGATCATCCCTAAAGATGTCTCTGATTGGAGTGGGTGCACTATGTAGATTATAGACGATCGTATCAAGCTCGGATCTGAATGGTGGACGACTCACATTGGACCAGACATATATCGCCCTTTACGCGTGCGAAGGCGAAGCGTGGATGTGTTTCAAGATGTACTTGTTTCAACATGGAGGGGGTAGCAAATGTTATTGAAGATGGCGGCTGCCGAATGTGCGCATCGGCATTGTATGTGAGGGCAGCGGTGGTCATGCCGGACAATGGACAATGGGAATGTGAATGGACGGGAGGTGCGAGCAAAGGACGCAGCAAAGAAAGGGAGGAACACATGGGTTGGAGCGGTGAACAATAACCTTTATAGACACGCGAGGAAAATACGGTTTGTGGCTAGTACATGCTCCGACAATGAGGAAATAAACTTAAAGCGGTGAAAGGTTTCAAAACAGAGAAAGCCCTCTTTATGATCGGAGTCCTATTTATGGAAGCCGCAAGGCCAGAAGCAAACACCAGCACGGGACTGACCTATATATAGATAGCTCGAGTTCGCCCGGACCGTGATTGATAAGCCTGTAAAATTTACTTTTGTCTCGAGGATACAAAATTGATGGCCGAGTGTAGTTTCAGATTCGAGTCGCAACCCACCGTCTCGCGTCGGGTACCCAGGAGGAGCATACGCAAGTTTACATTAATATGACGTCAGAGTAGAAATTTTCAGGAATGGAAGATATTCCAATTTCAAATTGTAGATTATCCCGTGACCAAGGAAAAGAAGCAACAGTCTGGGAGATATACCTTGAATATTCGGGTGTGACGACAAGATATGCACTCCGAACAAGGCAGGCCGCCTACCATGGAGCACCCATGTCCGACGGTCACGGGAGACGTTGTGCTTGGTCAGGGGGCGGTCTAGATCATACTCCACTGCAATCATCACTCGATCCAGCTTAACCCTGATCATGCGGGCAGAGGCTATTAATATTAATCATCGACGCATACTATCAGTAGGAGTCATCCTTGGAAGCTATAGAGACACCAGACATGGTTCATCACAGTATGTCAGATCGACAAAGCGGACAACTTGACGAATGGCTGCTTTTGAACCACTGAAAGCCAATTTAGATCGTTACGAGGGTCGATCGAGCGTCTGGTACTCACTTTGTACAAGCAACTCGCATGGAAACGGTTCTTGCAGGTCTTGCAGGGCTTTTGTGGAAGGCTGCTGTCCATGACGCTGATGATCCTGTTCCAAAGTAAGAATCAATACGATCATACAACTGAGACTTGCGTACGAGTAACAGATCGCACACTCCACTTGACCAGCGAAATGAAGGGTCACGTTCTTCGTGAATACAGTTAGGCCGTCGACAATCCGACCATTCTGTGCACGACTCTCGTTAAACAGACCATCATTCATCATTGCCATGTCGCTTACCTGTTGCCAAACAATTTGTTGTACCCCCAGCACCCAAGCCCTCCATCTATCTTCAGATACCCCGACCATCTTCGTATCACGGATCTCAAGTCGGTGCAATGGCCAGTCGCTTGGCAATCTCAGAGACAATTCTAGCACTTGATCATCGACTGTGTAGGAGGCCGTGACCTCTCCAGCGCTCGGTGACACTTTGATAACGAGATTCTCCGTTGTGTGCAGCTCTGACGATGGATCAACCTGCCGCACTTGCGCAAGCTCGGCTCTGATAATGCCTGGTGAGAAGTACGAAGCAGTGTAGTCCACCACGCGCGATAATAGCTGTCTGTCCGAACAGTCTGAGATCCAGCCTCGGATTAATGCTGGGACCGTCAGAAGCGCTCGATGATAGATATGAGCGGCCAGGAGTCGTATGCTAAGGATACTCTCGGGCTCGAAGTCTGAAAAAAGTTAATTCGAAGACATGACGCAGGATAGAACCACTGACGGTCAATGAAAAAGTCATCGACTGCCCAAATATCGAGTTTGAACGCCTTCTTCTTTCCACTGAAGAGATTGAGAATATCGAAAACGTTAGGTATGAAGAAATCCCCGATAATACCAAGGCTCCTCATTCGATTAAAGTACTGCGACCGAACTTTGATAGACTGGAGTGTGCGTCAGCTAAAAATAGTTTGAAGCCTAAAACCAGTACTCACAGCATCGATGAATAGATCAAACACGATCATCCATGCTAGTAGGTAACCAGAAACTGTGTGTAGTTCAGACAAATCGATCTCGACATCGTCTGATTCAGAATCATGGAATCCCTCTGCCAAAGTCAAATTCGATTGCAGAATGGCAAGAAGTTCAACAGGTATTTCAGCGCTGACGCTGTCTTCCGTGTCAACAGCAGATTCGATGACGAAATATTCGGTCCGCTTGCGAGCTGCTTTGTGCAAAAGGCTGTACCCCATCCGCTGAACTTCGTAGGAAGGATCAGTGAGGAGGTGACACATCTAGACATCAAGTATCAGTACAGGCACTCGAAACCCATTCAAAAATATGACTTCGGGCAGTGTTTTCTCGTTTATCAGTGCATCAGGCAACCCTTGGATGACTGCAAGTGCCAGTTCCCTGCACAGAGAACGTGGTTCAGAACGATCGGTATTATCTGTGGCAACTTCAGCGTCATGCTCCATTACTCTGAGTTGCGACTGACCAAGTTTCGTGGATACCAAGTTCTTGACAAGCGTTAGAATAGGTTCTTTCCTCCCATCCCAACTTGCACGCAGTGGCTTGTTGGTCAGGACCAGGTCTTGAATAGTAAGGATGAGACGGAGCGATCTCCCTAGCATCGTCAGCGTTGCACTATCGGCAAAAGAACAATTCTAGATGTAACTTAGCCACAAGTATGGCTACGAGTTGTTATAACAAGCTGACATACCTCTAAGTTGTTCTCGACCACATCAAAGATGAACTCCCAATGGTTCCCAGCAATGTTCTGCAAAATCGGGGACAAATGCATGAACAAAAGTGGCATCATGCTCTCCACATCTTCGTCGATATCGTCGTCGGAAGAAACCCAAGCTTGACAGGTCTTCACGACATTGACAGCGCGATGCTGTGGCAAGAACACCACATCGGACTCAGAATCAGGGGCTGTTGCTGCAAGACGACGAAGGAGGACGACTCCCGTCGTGTTTGCTCTGCTCGCAGGTACTCCAAGGAGATCCGAGGCAATCTCGTTGCGGTAACGATCCATTCTCGATGGCTCTGGAGCAAATTCAGTGATGCTGGAAAGAATGGTCACGGTGGTTTGGGGCGCTATAGACGTATTGTTATGCGAACATCGATCACGACATGATCTATGTGACGCACCTGACTTTTCTAGCCTACGTGCCAGATTCAACCATTGGTCAGAATCTGTTTTGCTAGCACTCGCGAATAGATGCTTCAACACCGAGCGCAATACTAGTGAATCTCTGATAGTATCCTCACGTTTGGCGTGATTGACGACGTCCACGACAAAAGACGCCAAAGCATCCGATGACGGCGTGGCACAATTAGATATGCAAGCGTTGACAACCTGACTGTGAAGGCCGTCGTCGCCTGTAGATAGGAGGTAAGTAGATAGTTGGTGAACCTTCGCCAACAGTCTGCGCAGTTCTGACCGCGATACATCTGGTCCAAACAATCCACTCGGAGTTGCGGGGACGCGTAGAGCATCGTTTGCGTATTGTCCAAGTATAAGTATGTGCCGCAGTGCCCACATATTCTCCTTAGCGATGCTCCGGTTGTCGCTCAGGTACGCCAGAAGAGCAGACGTTACCCTGATGTATGATGAATAGCTTCTTGGATCGAATTCCAGACCAGAGATAGTTGAATCCTCAAACTCCGAGATAGCCGGGATGATGGACTCGATGAATGCAAGACTAGGGTCTGGTGGATCAGATGGAAGCGAGTTAATCATTGCGTTGAATTCGCCTGCTGTAGGGAAGACATCTGCAAGCGGGATGATATCAATGCCTTTCGGCTTATGACCTGAAAGTGTTAGAATATCTTCTGGTCTACAAAAACAATTCAGAAGCGCGGCGGGGCAAGGTGGGCTGCACAAACCGCGTGTAGGTAGAGCAATCTTGAAGAAGCTCTTTCAATTTCTCTTTAATTATTCCGCTCAGAGCGCTTTGTAGTCCGTCGTCTCCCTTCGAAACCCAGAGATTCCAAACCCCTCGTGCGGTATCGATTATATGTGTTTCCAATGTGGAGAATGTTACTGGTAGAAGATATCCTACGATGAAAACATCTGGGAGAATAGATACCAGTGAGTCACTGGTAAGCTTATGATTCTTGCTGAGCATGATATGCGTGAACTCTATAGCAGTGTCCAGCGCAGTGAACGGCGCATCTGCTGTGTACAGAATATCGCCTATAGTGGATGATAACGACGATACAAGCGTATCGAATAAGATATCTTGCCCGTTCTCCGAGAGGAAAAAGTCTATTGAACAGTCAAATAAGAATACCAAGACCAAAGGAGGACTCACTTGGTACTTGGATGAGCCTCTTTATCACATCGCTGCGAGAAGTCGTGACATTTCCGTTTAGCACCTCGATAAACAGGTGTTCTATGACGCCATCTAACTCGCCATCTTCGGGCCGTAAATATTTGGGACATATATCGGCGTCAATCACGTCCAGTAGTACTGATAACAAGTCGATCTGTTGGGAAACATCGACCAGTAACACATGCCATAGCTCCACACAAAGATCCTCGTCATTCCGACCAGACATGAACGCAGAGATCGCCTGAGGAGAAACTTGCAGAATGCGAAGCGCGTTGTTGATAAACATGTTGTCCATTCTCTGCCAACAGTCAAGAACTGTACTTTTACAAAGGAAAGAAGGGTTACACACCATAGCAAAGTCGGTGTGCTGGAATAGATGAGGACCAAACGTCTCTATTAGCGTGATCACCACGCCAATGTTCTTCGAAACTTCAGCACTGGTCGTATCAGAAGCAAGTACCGTCTCGCACTTCCCAACCGTTTCCTGCACATATTTGCTTATGAGAGTGCGTGTAAACTCTGCAGGAAGGTCTGTCGCTTCGAAGATGTCCACGAACGTCCGAAGCACCGTAGGTGTAAGAGAGGGAGACTGGTCCTCTTGAGAAAGGATCGCACTCGAGACGGTATCCCAGGCGGTGGTGAAAAGATCTGTGAAGGAAACGCGTCTTAGATCAAAATGGTGGTAGACAGAATACACCTACCCGTATTCAAGCGATGCAGAGATAGTAACGAACTAGCTATCAACTTCCCCACATCATTCTCGTCAGTTCTTAGGCGCCTTGCTTTGAGCTCTTGCCAAATGCGTGTAAATTGAGATTTGACAAGTTCATCTGCCGCGTCTTGTGAACGTGTGTTATTTGGCGCCAGGCCATCTGAGAAAGACCCAGATAACACTCTATGGTCATGGGATCCACCCAATAGTCTTCTCGAGAAGAACACCAAACATTCCAGGAGAGACGAAAGGAATGCGGCAGAAGGCACCTTTCTCTCTAAAGAATTCAGGGCATGGCCGTCGATTGCTGCCCAGAACGAAGTGAAGAAATCGTCGAGGGGCATCCCCGTCCTAGAAGACGCTGCGATGACCTGATAGACGGATTACTAATCATAACATGTTGCAGCAAGGAACATACAGAGGAAGGAATGGTCGATAAAACAACGAGGACCGTCGGATACCCATCGATGGGTGATCCAGCACATCCAAGTTCAAGGAATTGAAGAAAGTCCCGGTATGCCTCAGAAGAATGTTCCTTGCGAGTGGAAGATGTTTTATTCTCAGACTCCTCGTTATCCGAGTCCGAATCATCACCATCCTCGTGTTTATCTGGTTCATATGCCCCTTCAAGAATCCACGCGTTTGGGAATTCTGTAGAGCCAAAAAGTTAGGAACGTTTGATGATTAGGTTATTAAAATCGGGTTGCCTTTGAGGAAAATTAAGACTGGCTGGAACAAAGCATTTCTAACTCCTGAGTCCGTCTCGACCCATGCAGAACGAAGTAAAACAACGCTCAGGATAGGAATAAATGGCCCAATAGCGCCTGTATATTTCTTAGCGCCTTGAACAAAAGAAACAATTGACAGATCACCTCTGTAACGTTGTAGCAGCAGTGATAATAATGCCCACGTGGCCTGCCGTACTTGAGGTTGCCCGTGCCCAAGACCATGGATTTCAGGGTCCGGAATCCAAGGCGCATGCTCACCGCAGTACAGCGACGTCCAAAACAGTGGGTTAGACAGCAAGCCAGATAGATCATCTAGAGACATAATCTTCGAGGCAAGGCGAGCATCTATAGAACTATAAGAACTATGAGCATTGCATTGACACGACTTACCAAAGAGCCAGCGGAAAGCGCTTAGTGCACCAAAACGAAGTCGAGCATTCCTATCAAGGTCGTTCTCTTCATCTGCCTTGTTGGATTCTAGTTCTTCCCTAGAGGCCGCTGGAATGAATCTTCCGCCGGGTTTTTTTATGCCTGGAGTGGGAGCCACAACTGGTGCAGGGGGATTGAGGTAATTATGAACTCCTGGAGGATCCAAAAGAGTTCTTTGAAGGAATTCCATTATAGAAATCAGCATTTCCGTGTTTACTAGTGTTCCTCCGTCTGTGCCTGGAGAGGTGATGCTAGACCAGGACTTCTGTCCCTGCAGAGATACCTGACGATCGACGTCGTGGGCGAGCATGCACCATGTACCCATAAGAGCCTCAATTTGCTCAGATGTTGCAGTTTCTCTCAAAAAGAAGGTAGCGGCATCCCGGACAGCAGGGATCCGTAGATATGAGAAATGGAGTGCAGCAGCCAAGAGGCGGATCCGGCGGACAGAATGTACAAAAAATACAGGAGCCCTATGGAACTAGATACAGTCAACGTCGAAATATGGATCATGATTGCCAAACGACACACCCAAACTGGAAGCATCGTGACAAGTGCATCGCATTCTACGCTCTCATCCCCCTTCCTTGGACTTTCATCGATCCATTTTGATTGAAGCTCTTCCAAAGCCCGTCCCTTCGTGACAGGATCCTTCTTTCCCAAGGATCGAAGAATGATAACTAGTTCCGGCGGAAGTCTATGTATAAGGCCAAGAGTATCCAATGGATCTGGCTGCGGTGGTGCTGGCTTAAAAGGAGGGATGTAAACCTTCTTCCGGGGTTCCTTTTTCTGACCTTTCTGTTTCTTCTGCTTCGCAACCACAGGGACTTCCGGAGGGGTGCACCTACAGCTGCCTTTCGAGCATTCTTCTTGCGCGTACCCGAAGTTGCTGAGGATTTTGTGTTCTTCGGCATCTTATTTACAAGTTAATAAGAGCTTCAGGTAGTGCGCACCGCCGAGCAATTTGCGATGACTAAGTAATGTGAGTGGCTGAGGGTATGTGACTAGTGACTAGTGGTTGTTTATACTTGTTGAATCCTAAAGCCTTTGATTTCCTTTTTAAAAAAATAGCTGGTTCTTAAAAACTTCCTTCCTTACCATTAATTCGTCACATCGTGATCTACCTCATTTTCGAGGCTTATAACTCGTATATGACGTGCAGTCTGCTCGCTCGAGCAACGACAGCCTCAAGTAGAGCATGCTTTCGCTCACAACTCCTTCAGAGCCAAGGCCATGGGTTTGCGACATTGAGAGGAAAACGCGCAGGTATGGTCATGCAATTTCTAGCCAGATGCAGCTGCAATAACCGAGATTTCTCAGGCATTTTAATTCCTCATGTTTGTTCACGGAAGTATGAATCTACTGCAACAGCGTCAGCAGCCGCTCCTCCTGTCGTTCTGCAAGAGAATATCGCAAATGCTCCAGCACCCACAGGTATCCCTGCGGGTAACCTTCCTCTCGAAGAACCATCATGGGAATCGATGAAGCAAATGATATCCTATAAGACACTCAGTGCTATCACTGACAATCCTTATCGATTCAAAACTATGACCCCCGTCCAAGCTGCAGTTGCAAAGCTCCTCCCAGAGCTTGCTCTACCTCCTGATTCAACATCTAACGACGCTCCGACACGGTCACGAGATCTTTTGGTCAAGGCAAAAACTGGTACCGGGAAGACTTTTGCGTTCCTAATTCCAGCTATCGAGGCTCGCGTTAATGCCATCCACGCTCGGGGTAAGCAAGCGGTTCGCGATGCAGGCCTTGTTTCAGACAAGCATCTAGAGGCACAAGCTCGGAGACAATTCACCAGGGAGCATGTCGGCACCCTTATCATCAGCCCTACCCGCGAGCTCGCTACACAGATTGCCAACACTGCTATCAAGCTGACCGCGCATCACAAGGACTTTGAGGTTAGACTATTTTTTGGCGGAGCGAGTAAGCGAATCCAGATGCGCGACTTCATGAAAGGGCGGAGGGATATTGTCGTAGCTACCCCCGGGCGACTTCGTGATTTGCTGCAGTCGGAGCCTGAGGTAGCGAATGGTATTAGCAAATGTAAAATGGTATGCCACCCTATGAGTTCAGTATGATCCCCTTGCTTACCTATTTGTGGCTAGGTGATATTCGATGAGGCAGACATGCTTCTCGATATGGGCTTCCGGGATGACATCGATGCAATTATGAGTTATTTGCCACCTACACCTGAGAGGCAGACATTCCTCTTTTCAGCAACACTCTCTCGGAACGTTCGCCAGGTCGCACAGACAGTTCTTGCCCAGGACCATAAATTCATTGACGTAGCGCATGAAAGTGAATCCCCAGTTCACGCACACGTCCCCCAATACCACACCGTCCTCCCCAGCCCATCTCAACAGATCCCCCACCTTCTTCGTCTCCTTGCACATGACCAGCTTTCAAACCCGGGCAAGAGTAAAGTTATATTATTCCTCCCCACTACACGCATGACACAGCTTTTCGCGACACTCACTCGCGAGCTTTCAAAAGTAGTACTGCCTGCTGGCCAGTACACCAAGGTGTACGAGATTCATTCTAAGCGCGCACAGGACTCACGCATAGCCGCCTCTGATGCTTTCCGCGCTGACAAGTCTGGAGCGTCAATTCTCGTCACGTCCGACGTGTCTGCACGAGGTGTGGACTATCCAGGGGTAACGCGAGTCATTCAGCTGGGTATCCCCGCTGCCACGGAACAGTACATTCATCGTGTCGGACGTACTGGTCGCCAGGGTTCCACAGTTGGACGTGGGGATTTAGTTCTCCTGCCTTGGGAGATTGGCTTTTTAAGCTGGCAGCTCAACGAAGTTCCGCTAAAGCCAGTCACATCAGATGAGCTCGCGCGCCAGGTTCAGGATCTCGCAGCTCACTATGACGCTGACCCTCAAGAGGCATTCAAGAGTGTAACAATTAGGACACATGATCTCAAGGGTCGACCAATGCGGAACACACCCAGGGCGTACGACGCGCCGCTTTCATCACGCCTTTCCTCGGAAGAAATGCACAACAGCATCGCGGCGATACTAGAACATATCGACGAAGAAGCTGTCAAGGAGACTTTTGCTTCTCTCCTTGGCTATTATATCCCTAAGTCGCCTGAGTTGCGAGTTCAGAAGGGCAACATATTGACTGGATGTAAAAATTGGGCAACGGAAGCATGTGGTTTACCTGCACCTCCGCATGTCAGCGACGGCTTCCTGCAGAAGATGGGCCTCAACGACGGACGCACGAAGCACTTTGGCAAATCGTACCGGGATCCTAGGCCTTCAGCCAGACCTGTAAATTCATGGGAAGGAAGGGGCAAGCAGAACCGGTCCTTCGAGAACCCCAGAGGAAACTTCCGTCGGGATGAGCGGTTGGATGAAAATGACCCTTCTGGCGACGTTGACGAGTATCGTGGTGCACGTTATGGAAGGGAGAAACCCAAACCACGTAGAGAGTGGAGTGACACTTCTGGCAGTACTGAAGAGTACCGCGGTTCACGCTATGGGAGGGAGACCAGACCACAGAGAGAGAGAAGTGACCCTTCTGGCAGTACTGACGAGTACCGCGGTTCACGCTATGGCAGGGAGACCAGACCACAGAGAGAGTGGTCGAATAATGCTCCACGCCGCGAGAACAGCTCACGCGGGTTTGCCAATCGGTAATGGATTCACGACCAATACTAATTTAGATCGCATACAATGCACCACTCGACTTTCGTTATTAGCCTACAGTCACGCTTATTAATATCATCCAGAGTATTTGAAATGGCATTGATTCCACATATTATTTATGAGTGGTATGTGTGCCATGCTCGCTAGCCTTTTAGTCAGTTGGTGGTGTCATGGTACCGACACCATTGGCAATCGGATGTTCTTGCGTACTTGTCCTCAACGCCTCTTCACTAACCATCGAATGTTCGGGGTGAGGTGGGCGGAAGGATTTTAGTTGTTCCTGGATCTGTTCTTCGAGATCAGATTGTCCACAAGACGCTGCAATGAAGCCTAGGAAGGGTGGTGAAGGGTTGAGTGGTCTAGAGCACAGTTCGGGATGGGCTTGTAGACCCATGAAAAATGGATGATCTGCAATGATCAATCGTAACAGCCTTCAGATCGATTGCGCATATGACCATACCTTTGAGTTCAAGGATCTGCATTCTCTCCCCCTTTTCGTCCTTGCCCACGAATGTAAGACCGCTCTCCTGTAGACGCTGCACCTGTTCCGGGTTGACCTCGTATCGGTGTCGATGCCTTTCCCACATTTTTTCATTGCCGCCGTATAACTTGCGAGCCTTGGACCAAGCCTCAAATTCACGGTCAAATACAGTGGGTCGAAGACCCAGGCGCATTGTTCCACCCATATGAGTGCGTGAGATCTCAGGCATGAAGATAATAAAAGCATTTTGTGTATCGGGAACGAGCTCAGCCGAATGAGCATCTATGGAAGATAAGAGAAGCAATGGCTAACAAGAAAATAGAGCGAACCTGGTATTTCGAGCACGCTACGTGCCCATTCTACCACAGCCATCTGGAAGCCGAGGCAGATACCAAGGAAAGGGATTTTCTGCTCTCGTGCCCATTTGATGGCAAGAATCATACCCTCCGTGCCGCGCTTTCCGAACCCGCCAGGAACCAGAATACCGCTGTCCTTATTTGAGAACCAGACGATCTCCTGATCAGATATACGGCCGCCACTTACCCAGCACCAACAACTGCTCGCCACGCATCGTGGTATTTAGCAGGATCAGATTCCTGCGTTGAAGACTCCAGGTCCGATGACTCGACCCACTATGCAACATCACTGTGAGTCGTTTATTCTCGGGTACCAACACAACCAACCTGAATAGTGAGTTTCCTGCGAACGCGGAATGCAGAATGTTCGAGGGCTTTTATGACAGACATGTACGAGTCTTTCAGATCGGTGTACTTCCCAACAAGGACGATTTTGACTTCGTCGAAGAGGCGTTCTTGCCTGGACAATGAGAGATGAGAAACGATGATAGGGGAAGAAAAATAACAGTACCCTTTTGTTACGGCTCTCCACTTCATTTCCAAGGACAGCCCTTTGGAAACCCACTCTTCTGTGATGTTCAAACTTGCGAGATTGAGCCGCTTACGGAGATACTCGATAATTCGTTGCGACTGTAAGAGCAAGGGGACGTGGTAGACAGACGAGACATCATGAACGCCTATCACCTGCTCCGACGCAACGTGACAGAACATGGAAATTTTGTCCTTGGTAGAGGATTCAAGGGGTTGGCGCCCCAATAACCGGCACGCAATCTCCAGACAACGTCAGGTATGCCATTTGAAAAGGATACATCACTTACTAGGTCGGGCAGCAGACCGAGCCCGCGCAATGCATGAACAGTAGTCTGAGTTGGCTTTGTCTTCTGCTCGCCATGCATGTCGGGAACAAGTGAAACATGAATCAATGCGAAATTATCGTGTCCAACGCGAAACTGGAACTGGCGCATTGCCTCTATAAACGGCGCCGACTCGATATCTCCGACAGTGCCGCCAAGCTACAGAAAGTCAATATCACGGCGGAAAGTGTTGCATGTTACTTTTCACCTCCACAATACAAATATCAGGTTCCTCTCCTGATTCATCCACCGGTATCTTTGAAACACGCTGTATCCAATCTTGAATCGCGTTCGTTACGTGCGGCACAATCTAACCGCCGAGGATTAAGAGCAGTGAGGTACGCAACAATTGTCATGGACGTACTTGCACCGTTTTTCCAAGGTACTCCCCTCTCCGCTATTCAGAACAATAAACTCCTGTCAAAAAGCGAGAGAGAAGACAACTCACTTCCTTCTCAATAACTTCACGATATATTTTGCCCGTAGTAATGTTATTGTCTTTGGATAGTGTAACGTCGAGGTATCTCTCATAATTCCCCAGGTCTAGATCCACCTCGCCACCATCATTCAAAACGTAGACTTCGCCTGATGGGCGAATCTTAGACGGTTGTTGAGGAAACGTCGCACTCAAATCTCACCATGTTCTGTCGGTCGCATAGTACCAGCATCTATATTCATATAAGGATCTATCTTGATAGCTGTGACCTTGAGGCCTGCAGTTTTTAGGAGTAGGCCTGTTGAGGAGGCTGGGGGTGATAATAAACAACCAGGTACAGCGTCAAAAGCGCTGTGTCGCACCGATAACACCCTTCCCGATCCCACTAACAACACCTCCGGAAACAAGGATATATTTTGTCATCGCTGCAACAATCGAGAAGGTGGCAAGCAGATGAAGAGCTCGCAAAAGATGACGAGCAGAACGCGTCAAAATTTTGGAGACCGTGATCAACAAATAAGGAAAGTGACGGAAACATGAGCACTGCCACTATCTTATCACTAAGCTAACGAACGTGCGAGAGATAATTACGACGTCGACATTATAGACCACTAAGAATTGAATCCAGTGCTTACATCAGTCAAAGGACAGAGGAAAGTTGATTGCGAGGAAAGAACGAAAAGAAAACAAACGAGTGTGTACGTACTTAAGTAGTAAAATGAAGTTTTCACCAAGTGAGGAGTAACCAACAGGTCACTAGTCACTGCCAGTTGACACGTGCGCACGCTGCTGGAAAGACATACCAATCATGTCTTCTCCTGCATCGGAGCTATCCACAACCTTAGTGTGGTATTGTCGAACGCCAAGGATGAGGCGTGGTCCGAGCACAAACAGCTGCATAACTGAAAGAATTTGACGAAGGCCATAGTAAATCTGAGGTCCCATGGCAAGTGAGTTCTGTAAAGTGATGAATTCAGGTCACCAAACGTCAGCGACAGAAGGGCGTACTAAGTCTGGAGACAAAAACCCGAGGTCGAGACAGGAAACAGCAACAAAGCTAGCATGTACACTTCAGCAAAAAAGGTTGACTAGATTCAAATTACGAGCGCACCTGGCAAAGTAAACCACGTGAGTTCTCATTAACACTATAAAACTGTCCCTAACGGCCCATCCTGTCGAGGGTCGTTGCAGTTCACGGAAGTGTTTTACAACAATCCAGACTGCAAGACACAGCGCAAGAACTTCCCATAGAGTGGAGAGTATCCAAGTTATGAGAAGAAGAATGAGGGCGTTTGCCTCCGGGTCATAGCAATAGCATTGATAGGTACCGGAGAAAACAAGCTCCTCTGGTGTTCGTTTGATCAGCACAAGTCTTTCAACCGTAATTAAAGCTTACCCCCTACAGTATACTTGTTTAGGATTCCAGTCATTACTCCACAGGCGACTGTGACTGCTGTGAAGAATACAATGAGAAAGATAAGCATCTTTCTTGATTGTTGATACATGGCATATAGTCGAGTGATCATAATGGCTTGCATGATGTATCAGTCAAGACGATATCATTGAAGTACCATAGCGGAGTAGCTTACCGCCTAGCATGGCATTTGTGATAACACTCATCCAATTTAGTGTGTAGTATATAGCATTGCCTGAAAATCCAAGTCAGTGACGCGTGCTGGAAGATGACTTAGCATTCCAGGAAAAACCTCACAGCTGTCGCAGTCAGTGTGTTGCGCCGACGAGTTTGTTGATAATCTCACTCACCCCTAAAAATAGTATTGCAGTTAGTGGGATGGAACTGGAAGCGCAAATGCGTTAGAATACATACTTCATCTGTTAACGAGACTGTCGGAAGAAATTCTATACGTCGCTGGTCAGAGGAAATACACACGGTGTATGTGAGGAGACATACGCAGCATGTTGATGCTAATTGTGAGTAATGGCTTATTAGCACAGCGAAAACTTATTAACCTTGCAAACCTACACAACGTATACTATTCCAACGTAGCGCAACTAGAATATTTTGAAATTAGCATGTCTTACCAACTGCGCCGCTTGCAATATAAGCTACGCACACCGATGTATAGAACCGTAATGAGGGACCAGTGATGCCTCTGCTGCGAATTAATTGTGTCCTTCTGGTATAGGACTCTGCTCACCCAGACCAGTTCATACTGCAATAATCATTCTTAGTGGGTTGGATTCCTCGTTAATGGCGTCAATTTACCTCTTTTCCGATTGTCAATGCTGAAATGATCATAAGGATATCAAAGTGGTTCCTTAACACTACCTTACTTACCGCAATCGTATATCACCGCAGCGGAGGAGGCAACTGTTAAACCACAACTAAGACTCATGAGTGACAACATCCGACTGGTTGTCCACGAACCTATATAATAACTGATATTGATATTGAAATTGATCTGCGGCCACCAATAGGGATCGTTTGAGACTGCGGTCATATTTGAAGGATGGTGGGAGTCACTAGCGTGAGTCGGGGCACTGAGTGGCAAACTTGGTAAAATATCATGATAATGGAATTCGTGTTAGATATAAGTATCACCGCCCATCTCCCCACTGCTAAAAAAAGGCACCATGGAGGTGAAACGTTCTTAGTTGACCGTTACCATCGCGGTGTGATATCAAGGACAACGGGGCAATCTCCTGGAGGCTGGAAAGCCCCTAGTCCGACTCGATCAAATCAAGGTAGAATTTGGGCGAGGTTGATCGTCACAAAGTAGTATCTTTACAAGTGGAACGCTTAAACACCGCAAATATTGAACGGGTGACTGATTGATTGTGATGTATGAAACTTGTTTCCAACGCGAAGGTGTCCTTGTATCACTGGCAGTTGCGGTATTTTATCAGTAAAATCATACAACCACCGTAACTGATCTAACACAGATCAAGGAGCGATCATGATGCAGTCTTCGGGAACAAAAGTCTACCGTCTGAATAATTCTTGAGGAGGCGTAGTATCTCTCTCCACTTTCAGTGGCCGTGTGACAGCATCATGACCAACTCTCCTGAAAAAAGTCACGTTCTGTTGGCAGAGAAAGTCAAATGGGTGCCTCACCTATCCCAATCAACCACCCCTACCAATGCGTTCTGGAAGTTCCTCTTCGCATGTACCTGTCGCGTCGTGCACACTTCCTCACTCCCCGTTACAATGTCATCAAGACAAAAATATCCCCGTAATGGAGTCCCCGACATCCACGAAGTGTAAGAATACTGTAAGTCTGTGCAAATTCTGCGATTGACAAGGTTTCTCTGATCCCACTAAAACTTTCGACCCGAGTAGTATTCACGTGATGCATATTATTGACGTGATCCCGTCCGGACCTAACGGTCTAGGCTATGTTCATTTCGTTTTTGTGTTTGATTTTATCCGTTGTGACAAGCGTTCGTATGTGCTGCACTGCCTGTATGGTCTGTGCGTTTTCATTTCTTAGCGGCATGGCAGTGTCTCGTTTTCAAACTCCTGCCTACTGATACCTATCGTGGAGTTTGGGTTTTTGGCCTGGCGGACGACGAGCAGGGACGCTTATCGCCTTTTTCTAACTTCTCTAGTCTTCTTTCCAGGTGAGTTTTTTTATGTAGTAGTTCATATCTCCTCTATCTGACTTCACCTGTCGTCTTGTCAGAATTTAGTTTCGCGTCTCACCATTCTCACCTCTTCGAATAGTGGGGTGGAGTCCCAAAGTCGTAGTTCACGCAGCACGCTGTATTACGTCCCCTCCGTCCCCTCGTTGTGGCTACTGTGTATTTCTATATCGAAATTTATTTTCATAGGGTTTCCGGTCCTCTAGCCTGGGACCGCTTTTTCGCCAGTACTCCTTAGCGGCTCGTGCAAGCCCATTAGAGTCTCAGGTGTGTTTTGAACCATTTGTAATGTTTAGAATTCTGCTGAGTCCGAAACACACTTTCACGTCAAAATACCAACTTAACATTTATGGCAAAGGTTTTGGTCGACGCAGGCCGCATTTCTCGAGTAGTGATGTACACCTCAAATGCTGCGTCTCAAAATCCCTACTATGTCCCAGTGCTTACCGCTGTATAAAGCTCCTTTGTATTCAAATAATATTGAAGGAGGCTCTGGCACGCTGTGACCCCCTTGTCTTATAGGTACGATACTCATGTGTTATCGCCTATAATTACCGTCGTTAAGAATACCTCACTGCAATCACTTTTGGAACTTTGCGACATAGCACCTGTTGCTTTGATACCATCAATATCCCTGGATCCATATTCCTCTAGGTCGAACCCTACAATAATACCAAGAATACTTGAAAGATCGCACTATCATAGCACGGATCTCGAATAGTTCGTCGGTCTTTCTTTGCGTGAGTCACTGATGTAAGTTCCTGTTCATAGTTGTGATGAAAGCTCGGTCATCGCGAGATAAGTACGAAGCTTACCAGGGCGTACTGGCACGGGATCAGGGAGTAATTCACCTCGCATGAGGTATGTTATTCTTCCTTATCGGCGTGTGAAGCGTTCATGTTGCGATCCATTGGCTCCTGAGAAAATGATTGCACCAAGTACAGCTATCCTGTGCCTTCGGCATTCATACTCGACATCTATTTACATTTCTCAAAAGGTCCGCAACTCTGCTGAGAGCATGCCGACCATGACCCTCACTGGGCAAGCTTGCCAATCTCCCCAAACGTGACACCTGCTATTCAAACAAAACTTACCTGGGCCATTAGTGATAGTTTCTCCTGCACTGAATGACAATCAACGACTTTCTATGATAAACAAAACGGGGTGCGCATCATTTGTGGGTGCTGACAGAGGCCGGATATCTGATGTCACTTCAGAATTCATGCTGGGTCATTTACTTCAATCAATCAGATATCATGCCCTCAAGTCTCACTTTAGCAATGTAAGCGCATGTTCATCAGGTTCCCCTGCTCGCTCACTCACATCCTCTGATAGTATGACCCTAGTTTCGAGCGATCCCAGCTGGTGGCCACTTATCAATGCAGAACTTATTTCCAGCTATTTTGTAGGTTCGTGGAGAGCCAGTCGCACGATGACCGTGATGACTCAATTAACTTTTCGCAGTTGTCGCTTGTGCTATGGCAATATACGATTGGGGTGAGCAACATCAAGTATGGAAATAGAAATATTCAGTGACATCATGGGGTTTCTAGGACTCACGTTCGGACAAGAGGTAGGTTGACACCATCAGCAGGAGCAGTCATCTCGCTGAGAATGGTCTTACAGGTGGAACTGGTCTGGGTGAGCGGACTCCCAAATCAAAAGACTGATATGAAGATCCCACAACTAATTCGCGGCAGAGGCAACACTGGTCCATGATGACCGTTCTGTATCTTGCTGTATGTGTCCTGTGTTTTCAAGCGTGGTTAGCAAGCTGTACCCATGTGATTATATCCCAGGCACGGTATGGTGGAATAGGATTTGTTGTGTAAGTTTCGAAGCTTAATCCATTGATGTTGTGCTCATTATTCAACAATCAGGATCAACATTTTATGTATGTCTCCTCGTATAGACTCCTTTTCTTCTTGTGATGAACGACATACAGTCGATGTTCCAACAATTCCAACAACAGATGCAGTGAGTATTTCCCACCGATGCCTTCCATTCCCGTCCAAAAATTGAACTACCATGTAGGGGTGAGTGAGATTCTTGAACAACTCGTTAGTTCAACTTCAACCTAATGACTCCCACAGCTGTGAGTTTGTTTCGAGCCTGTGATCCTCCGAAGCTGATGACCGATATTGCTGGATTTCAGGCCGTATCATGTTCAACGCAATTAATTGGACAAGTGATGTTGTAGATATAATACTGGGTGGTGAGCTAAATATCTCCGTGATATTGACTCAACTGAAATATCATGCAAGCCATCATGATCACTCGGTTGTATGCTATGTATCAGCGATCCAGAAAGATGCTGGTATTTCTTGTTGTCGTCTTTCTGGCTATTAGAATCGCCATTGTAGTGGTGATCGTATTACAAATAAGGCAGGTTACAGGGGGTAAGCCCTACATGTGTATGAAATATTCAAGTGCACCATGCTCACCGATAAATACCAGAGGAATTCATTCTCTCCGGCACCTATCAGTGCATATTTGACTATTCGGGATATCTCCAATTTCTGGCTTCCGTGACTTGGATACTCGGCGCTGTATGGGAAGTTCTTGCGCTGTGTCTCGCAGTCTGGATTGCTGTAAAGCACTTCCGTGAACTGCGAATACACTCAACAAGGAGTATTGTTACAGACTGTTTTACGGTTTTAATACAAACTCACGCAAGTTACTTTGCGAGGTGAGCTCACAATTTAATTGCGGCTGTCTTTTCCGCTCACATTCTGCACGTACCAGCTTTCTTGCTATAGCTTGCTTTCATATCGGTTCATTTTCTTTGGCGATCTTAGCGGTATGCCCATCTGTCACCAACCTCTATGTGCGCCCACGATTCATCGATTCTATAGGACGTGTATTCCTTGGACGCTCAGATATATGCTGGTTTGGCTCAAATCTTCCAAGTGGTGCAGCTGTCTGTGCTTGGACCACGCCTCATCCTTGGTGTTCGAGAATATCACGCTAAACTCGTGGCCGACTCCGATGCAACAACCGCTATGACTTCAATTGCTTTCCAGGAGCGCGTTCATGTAGAAACCAGTAGTACCGTGTAGTACGGGACATGTTCGATATGATTTACAATCGGCGGGTATTAGTCTGCAGATTGCAGGAGTTTGTTTGTATTTAAGGATGTTGATTCGACCAGCTTACAACTGATTGTTACGACACATTGGACAGATCGACCTGAGAAGGCATCTCCCATCCCAGAATCGCCCCAATCAGATTCTGTGCCGCACGAGTTGCCATTTCTAGTCGAGTTTCTAGTGTAGCGCTTGCAATATGAGGCACTATCACACATCTACATAGCAAATATCAGTACAGCTAAGAACATCAAATCAGGTAAAGCTGGCACTGACCTCGGCTCCTTAACAAGAGGATGATCAATCGTGACATTGGGTTCCCCTTCGACGACATCCAATCCAGCTCCCCAGATCCATCCTTCTCTCAAAGCCTTCGCCAGAGCATCTGAATCAACCAACGTTCCGCGACTCGCGTTCACGAGAATGCTGGTCTTTTTCATCTTTCTAAGCAGTGTCTCATTCACAACATGATACGTTTCGCCCCCTCCAGGAGCAAGCACAAAGAGAACGTCACTTTCCCGCGAAAGTTCATCGAGGTCTACCTTCGAGACTGCTTGAAGTTTGTGTTGTTTTGCGAGCGCAGCATCCCGAGCGTGGTTTGGAAGTGATGACGGGTTTGAGAAATACAAGCAGTGTGTGATTCCGAACGGCACCAGGCGCGCTAGCGTCGCTTTGTGCGATTCGTCCAAAACCAAGAAAACCGATTTTTCTTGTGGGGGATGACGTCGTAGTACTGAGTTGTGGTCCGCACAAGCCAAAAGGAGCCCACGAGAAATTTGCCCACTGACATTGATAATGATTCAGCACAAAAGATCTCACAAAGAACACAAATCACTGACCTGGCCCCTTTGCACAAGGTCTACACCGGCGCCTCCGTTTCGGCCAGCCATGAGAGCGAGCATGACCGACAGATCAGCAACTACGTGTCACGAAGATAAGCGGCGATTTAGAGTGTTTGTTCAATGCCCTGTCCCACCTGCGTCTGTCAGGACATCAGGAGTATATCCCACTTTCAAACCACGTTGTGCTGCTTGCTTGAGGTCGATGTGGTCTGCGGGTTGAGGTTAAATCAAGTGCTGGCAAGTTCAAAATACCACACGCACCATACCCAACGGACATGGTGGATACCACCTTCAAAGATGGCCCAGCTAGCAGACACATGCCGGTCAAAACTTAGCTAAAGGTACTATGTGTTGCATACACACCCTTGTCCAGAAGCTCTGCATCAACCTAAGCAAGTCATCATCAGCGGATGCAGTGTCTTTAAACATCAAACAATGACCATACTTTGTCCGCGAGCATGACAATCACACCTGTCGCACCAGATATATTTTCCATCAACCATGACCGTTCACAGGCACTGTCCTGCGGCCAGACAACCAACTACAACTGTAGTAAGCCCCTCGTTCGAGTTCCTATACCAATCGAATAGTAACTCACATCTAGTTCTGGTCTTGCCTCAAGAATGGACATGACATTGGGTCCAAGGTTGCGACATACAACAACTTTGAATCGTTGACTGTGTAGATGAGATGCGACAGACATCAGTCGCTGGGTGGGCACAGAGGGAGCAACGATTGACCCTGACTCGGATGAAGACATTTTAGCCTGTTGCTGGTCTCCGTGACTACTACTGAAGCCTCTAGGTAAGTGGTCGAAAGAGAAATGTTTAAATCTGATCGGGCCACAATGAGAAGTATGAGCGTGTATCAACACTTCAACTCGGTCCGCGCGGCTCGCCGTGTGACATCACCTGGTTCATTCATGGGAAAGGAAGGGCATCGTGATGTGGAAAATAGCAGAGGAGCATCAATAGCCTGAGCACTACATACAAATGACCTATTCAGTAATCGCGTTCTCGCCCATATTGACATCAGCATCCTGGGTATCTTCCGACTGCTCGACCCCAATGCTCCCGGCAGTCCTCCAAACATTACCAATGGTCGCTTTCCATAGTCGCACACGACCATCATTCCCAGCAGAAGACAGAACGGTTCTGGGAGAATGCGTATCAACTATGCAGCCCACGATATCTGTAGACAAAAACAAACCCAGTGATGTTCCACTCAACACGGCCAACCGCCGATCTGCGCGCATCCAATCAGAAACAAAGCCATAGGGGAGTGCGTATCGCACGTACTTGTGGTGATCGAAATCTGCTACTACAGTTGCAGACCATTTAGGATCGCCCCCTTCTCCTTCGACATCAGGTTCTTCCTCCGCAGGCTTGACTCGCCATATCCTAACATGTCCATCACGACCTCCAGTAGCTATAAGGTGATATGATCGCCCACACGAAGGCGCCCACGCCACCGACGTGATCGCAAATGGTGTTGGAGTGTCTCCGTCGCTCGCAAGTGAAGTTCCTGCCTCAGCAGGCAACCCCGCCGGCGAAGGAGAAGGGTCTAAAGTAAGGAGAGTCGTCGGTCGACGAGAGGGAGATAATTGTATAATCTGTTCAGAGTGAGCAATACCACCAAAACAATTTGGCGTGACAATTACTTTGATAACGCCAGATATCCCACAGCCAGCCGCGATGATCTCCCCCCAATATCTATCTTTACACCATGATATGCACCACCCTCCATCTGCCTCTCGATTCCCCACTCCGGGTCGTCCCTGAGTGGTGGGATTTTGCGATTGTTGCAGGGCTTGAGCGACTAGGGTTGCAGATGCACCCTCAAGAGTTGCACTCGTTTGAGTTGGTGTCGCAAACGCTACAGAGTACGACGACGACAGTGATACAGATGGGAGTGTTGAGACATCGACCTCTTCGGAAAGCTGCCATGTGACTAGCGATGATTGTTCCAAGCACTCGTAGATGCGAATGTGATTATCGGAAGAGACACTTGCCTTGCAGAAGCTCTCATAAACCTCCAAATGAGACGAACGACTGACGTACCAACTTCAACCCAAAATGGTGAGGGGCAAATTCGACTGCGCGGACAGTACCTCTCGCATCAAGCAATACAGCCCTTTCCACCCATCTTGAAGAACCACATGAAGTAGGGTGAGGAGATCCGGTACCAGCACCATTCGTTTGGGAATCAGCTGTCGATGCAAAGCTAGTTTGCTCCCAAATCTTCACCGTACGGTCGAAAGAGGCAGATGCGAGTATAGTCCCAAATTCAGGGTGAGCCCAGCTTAGTTTTGAGACGGTAGCATCGTGAGCCTGGCATTAATTGGTTGATAAGCGCAAACACGCGTCTTCCAATATGCTCGCCTTCCAGTCATCTTCAACGTTCCAATTTCCATTACTCTCGTCTACTTGCCAAACTTTGATTCTTTGACATCAGAGTAAGTCAATTGTAGAAACAGGTGTATGTATCAGGGGAATAACATACCTCTGATCGAGACTGCAGGTAGCCAAACGAAGCCCATAAAAATCATAAGCTACGTCTGTCAAAAGATCATTATGCGCGCTTTGGATGAGACCAGTTTGTATCATGTTTTCCAAGTTTGCTCGGAAAAACAAAGTGGGACAAAGAGTTTTGGATTACGTGCTGAGATAGTAGTAATTTGTATGTGGTCAATATGTGGTTTGTTCTTTCTTGCAAGGGTCAGCTGCAAAGCCTTTAGAATTAAATAACAACAAACAAACGTAAGTTGAATGTCAAGACCAATTGGAGAAAATTTTCTACTAGTGCCACATGCGAGCGATGATGATTTTGTATTAATCATGCCATGCAAGGTTTCAGTGCAAACGTTCATCATGTCTCGAACTTCATACTATCATCGACATTGGTGTCTGTGGTTATAGTAATAGATGCGAGGTAGCAGCAGAGTCACACATTCGATGTCTTATTCCTTTCCAGGATCGACGTCCAACTCCTAGTAAAGAGCACTCAGGCCCACTTAGCGGTGTTTCTCTCCCGGATAACCCACAAATTCTTCCTTGCCAAACGCTGCAGTGAAGTTACTGCTCGTAGAAGGCTGTTACATCCAGATACAACAATTGCCTCGCCAGGTTTATACTATGTCGTTGTATATGACATAGGCCACCACGAGGATTTTGACACCAGCCTCAAGAATAGCAGAGATGACCTCGCCCATACCATGCACCCAGCATGGGTTCAGGGTTATGTCCTTAACCAATTACATCACAACCGTTGACGCTGATACGATCTTAATACGGTGATCTGAATACTGTCGAGGTATTTCAGGGGGCCTGTTATGAACCGAGAAGGAGTCAGCCTAAGCAACATCACTCATCAGGGCGGGAAGAGTCGAAAGAGGACCCAGTTAAACGGTGGCGCACGGAACCAGATGCCACCTGCGACTCATGAGGCTACGAGAAATTTGCCCATGTTCTCATCAATCAAAGTTCAACGCTTCTTGGGGAGGATTTTGTCACAATCCAGTAAGACATGCCGGCCCTCCGAATCTACGTATATGTTGACTGGTACGTCTTCTTTGATACTTGACAATATACAAGCCAATTTACTTATAAAGTATATTGGACAGTCGGACTCATTCGCGGCCGTGCACCAAGCCTGCCACAAGCTATGTGTAATGCACAAGCTCCTGCGGCCCCTTTCCCTCACTACCAACGAGCGTGGTCAACGTTCGAGTTCAGCCAACACACACGGCGCCTACTTCCCTGTTGCCCCTTAGTTTAAACCAGAACCTCCATCTCCCGGGGGACAAATGTACAGATACTGTCGAGCATTATGGGATATCGCCCATTACAGAGGGTGTTTCACATCTTGTACACGCTCTTGTTTGCTCTCCGACGTCTCAAGGATCAACCTTCTGGAAGACCTCGGAAGACTGAGCTCACCTTCATATTTCCGATGTCACTTCTTATCAGCCAAACGGGTAGGGAGGAGCAAAATTCTGTCATCTCCATCGCATCCTGACTATTCATTATGGTTCATAACTCTATCAACGTATTCATCGTTCGTGTCTGTGCGAGGGTCTACCTGTGGAATACTATCTGAAAGCTCTGACGGCTGTCGCAGTAAAGAAAGGAGCGGAAGAGATTTATCGTCAAGGCTACAAGAAAGAGGAACTGGCGACGAAGATCATTGAATTCATCCTCGAGAATTGCTTGTGTGCGTCCCTTGTCTCGTTGTGAATTTGGAAGTTAAAGTTTACCAACGGCCTGCAGCAAAGGACTTGGCAGAGAAGTAGATGATGCTCGAGCCAAGTTTACGATTTCTCGATGCATTCTCCCGTGCTATGCGCTCGTGTAGTGTACGATAGCACGCTAGCTTCAACTTCCGAGCGGCGTAATAGACTGGTGTTTCGTTGTTTCTGATGCTCTTCTCCATGCTATATTCTATACTTGGCACTCCATCTTCGACTACTGAGCGCCCGATATTATGCCGGATTTTAACACACGTTTTTCGGATCTCATCATATCGCGTTCTGTTTGGTGTTGCCCTTATGCTCGACAAATGATCACTGTTTCATTCTTATTTTCAATCGTGAGAATTTGAGAACTGGCTCGGGATGCTTCAATGCTGAAGCGGACGGGCACAACAGCTAACAACATTGTTGGTGCTCGTCGGGACAGCACGCAGCTTCAGTGGGGAGTAAGTCGTGTACATGAAAGTACGGGAGACCGCAGTAAGATACCAGACCGAAAACCAAGATGACAGGAAACGTCGCGAATGTAACGAGCTCCCCAATAAAGAACTATAAGTGCGGCACCAAAGTAACCCATGACACCGCCTTGTAAGCGTCAGGAGGAAGATTGCGTAAAGTGGTGAACATAAGTACCAAGAGAACAGCACGAGCTGTGATGTACAATATGGCAAATGCAGAACAAATCACACCCCAGATGACATGCTTTGCTGAGTCGGGTATGTGCCGTACTGAATTGATTATTTCCCGAACTAAGTAGGCACTCAGACAAAGCCAGGGAGTGCAAGTTATAGCGACGGCACTTATGCGCCATAGCATCTGTTCCTGATACGTGGTGAACGCAAAAAACCAAGCCATACAATGGATGCCACCAAATATGGTCGCCATATGCAATGCGGCTTGCTGAAGAACCATCCTGTCCGAGACATTGAGTTTGATGCTACCATCAAACGTCGGAACTTGGAGCTTTCGAGATGTAGGAATGCCAGCCCAGCCTATCAGTTCTATAATTGGGCGAAGGACTCGAGGCAAGAACCGAAACTGAGCGAATTCGTTTGTGTCACTGACACTAAGGCAGACATAATCAATAGCGGTATAATTGTTGAGACGCATACATACTCAATGTAGTCCTTTAGCTCTGACTCGGTCAACTTCCAGTGCACTGGATGTGGACATTCCACGTTGAGAGGCTTGTACCACCATACAGCGTAAGTGAGGAAATTGAGAACCGCAAAAGCGAGTGTTCCCACTTCGAGCTGGGTGATTTCGAGACGATAGATGGCGCGGGTGATGAGTTGCACAACAAACCAGGCCACCTGAAGGATGACTAATCCTTTCGATATCGCATTGCCTTTGCTCCTGTCGTTGATCTCGTCTGCCGTTAGGGTAGGGGCATCGATACACTTTTGACGTATGAGTTTGCGAATGTGCTCAGGCTGTAGTACACAATAGGGCTTCCCATTCACATAAAGCATGAAACCACCCATCAGCGCAAAGAAGCTGTGCGTCTGAGTCCATGTAAATTCTAAAGATGCACATGAGCTAATGTTAAGGTGAGCGCGAATCGGGCTTACCTTCTGGGTCAGGCTCGAATTGCTCTGACCTAATCCATCTTGCAACCCACCTCACGGGAGCACAGAGGGAATGCCAAAGAGACGCCAGCACAGAAAGAAAACCTGCAACAAACAGGCGATAGAGGCGACCTGTAGCCTTCTGCCAGAGGAAAAAGAATTGAAGGAAGGGATGTCCAGTTCCGAGTGCTTTAACAGGCACCTTTTCTAACGACGTATATAATGAGTTGTGAGATGCTGAGTTTCCAAAAGAACAACTCACCTTCAGACTCTGAATAAACCTTGGGATACCCTGATTTCTTGAAATGTTCAAACTGTTTTGTAACTTCTTGAGCGCTGAACCACTGGCGCATAGCCCATATGACGATCAGTTCCGGAGCGATTAGTGCCAACATCATCGTGCCAAGTTGTCGCCATAAGATATAAGGGTAGCCTCTGCCCTTAGGACTCGGGATATTGGGGTGTATGGCACTATAAACGCATGCAAAAAGAGTGAGAACGGAGCTGGAGACGATGGTCCACATGCTTCTGGTTGTGAATGATGGGGCTTGAAAACTGCCGTCAGTAGTAGTGTTTGTTGTATTTGTTGTAGGTGCAGCTTGGATCACTCCAAGGAGGACGCAGAAAAGTATCAAGCGCATCGTTGGATGTTACTTTGGGGTGTATCACAATATGCATCCTATTCACTATTTGTATTTACTGGCGGGCGTTAGTACGACAAGGGTAGACTGCGGAGAATATGCTGGTCTTATCTCTCGAGCGTTCACGCGCTAAAGTGAGCAGGCGCGGAGCTGTCATCTCCTAACCCTGAAGCCGCATGTCAGCCTCGATGTAGACATGTGGTGTCGCAAGTTAGTAATACTTTCAATAGTAAGGTTCAAAGAAGCGCACGCATGTGACCTGACTTGGTAGAATTTAATCATGGAATGGCGAGTGGCGAGACAGTGGAGCTCGATCATGACTAAAATTGAAACAATCTAAGTGCGGCAAAGTTGTCAGTAGGACTGAAGCGCCAACTTGAAAAAGAAAATTGCGGATATAGCCTGAGGTGACAGATGGAAGCATTCCAAGCTAGGTCAAATCAGAATCCTGTGCGCATCTGAACGAACCAGCATGCAAGTTTCCAATAGAAAGCAGATCTGGACCTGACTAGAGCATTCCAGAGTTCAGACTCCAGACATTTTTTGTTCCTCCCCTCCTCGTACCTTGCCTTCGGCATTCGTCGTCTCTAGATGGACCTTTCGGTTTCCAACACTGAACAGTGACTGACCCGTATCCACCGGCAGAATTTAACCAGCATACAGAATGGCGAGACAGTGGCCCAGGAGGTGCGGCGAAGTCGTCAAAAGGAAGGTGCCGAAATGATGACTAAATTAAAAGATAGAAGCTTTCCAAGGTAGGTTAGTAGCATCAGAACCCAGGCTGTGCCATCTGAACGAACAGTCACTTCAGCGCTTCATGCGGATCTCCTGCAACTTGCATGTATCAAGCAGCCCGGCCGGCGCTGATATATGATGTTCGCATCCTAGAGTTATTACTCGTTTTGCCCCTGCCATCCACTTCCTCCTTACCCTTACTTCCATTAACTTAGAGGAAAATGTCAGAAGATACTCCTACCGTTGTCGCTTCCTCTGATCCTCTCCACATTTCCAGTAAGAATTTCCAGCTTACCATGTAATCCACCCCTTGGACATATTCTTCTTCCTAGGTATTGCCTTCCGCCTTGATGATGCTTCAAAGAAGAAGATCGATTCTGCCGAGTTGAAGCTTGATTCACAGCTACAGAAAATCCACCACAGTTCGGAACAAGACAAAAACCTCAGTGCAAAGTTCGATCCCGCCATGTGAGCCTCATTTATTTTTGTAGAAACTCGTTTCAGAACATCGTAACACAGTACCGTGACCACTGAGCAGGTTTCCTTGTCTGTACACTGTTACCATACTATTATGGGCGTCCTTCCGCGGAAGACCACCACGAACTTTTCATTAAACAGAAAAGATATTTTGGCCCAAACAGTGGATCCCAACGGACAACGAGGTGAATCAATTCGCCTCCAGCTGTATCTCATCAAATTTATAACTTGACACCGTAGAGTATAGCACGTCTAAGCGGAATATGGCAGTCATCATTACTACAACATCGTCAGTATATTAGTCTCTTATTGCGGAAGAAAACTGAACATATCGACCATGATTGTTTATTTCAGACAGCTGCAGTCGACTAGCAGTGATATTCTAAAGATTTGCCCGAGATTCCGGCTACTGGTAATAGGGAATGTCTGTTTCTGTCATTGTCTTCAAGTATAGATGTCTCACGCATCCACTTCGTAGACCGGCGTCGGAAAGTCAACACTGATTCACCAGGCATTCAAAGTAAAAGAAGTAGTTGAGTCAATGAATTAGTTGCACGCGGGGACAGTTGCTGACGTTCACCTGTCTTTTACAGCATGCCGCTGAATACGAGCGTGGTGAAGCGGATATCCATAAGGAATACACTGCGCCAGAAAATGAACGATTTGTCGTCCACGATAGTCTGGGGTTTGAAGCTGGCAGTAGCAAAAATCTTGCGATGGCAAAAGACTTCATTAACAGCCGACGCAGCATGCCACTGAAGGACCAAGTCCACGCGGTCTGGTACGACTTTCTACTGATTTCCGCTATCGCTCTGCCATATTAACACTTCTGGAAGGCTTTGCATCTCGATACCTCTTTCCAATGAAGCGTTGCTCGAGAATGGAGTAGAGGAATTCCTCAAATTGAGGAAGGAAATACTAGGGGATAGTGCGCAACGTTTCCATTTCGTTCTCTCATAACCTCATATTTTAAATCTAGTTCCAATCATCGTTGTCTTTACTAAGTATGATGCTCTTGTCGACAAATTGGAGTACGACGCCAGTAAATCAGACGACTATGATGAAGCCGCGCTCGAATCGCTTAAAGTTAACAAATTGGATGAACTGTGTATCCAGCCGCTTAAGGAAGTAGCCGGGAGTAACATCCTGCACACAACGGTTTCTAGTAATGGGGGGTTTTACTTCTCTTGTTTCCGATGCTGACACACCATTATAGCGGAGGAAGAGCACGAGAGCACCGTAAGACAACTGATCGATCTTACAACCACGAACGTCGAAACATTTGTCGCCTCAGAAGCAGCATTGGTCATGATGATAGCCCAGGGTGCGGATATTGGTCTTAAAGTTAAGGCATCAATTGCGTACGACCACTGTTAATTTGGTAACGCCTTAATTTCACACTTTTATTCTCCACAGTATCGGCAAGAAAAGTTAGTCTTGTCATCGTCTTCGGCGCCTTGTTGACTTCCGAATTTCTAGGATATTGGAGAGGTCTCGTTGCGAGCGTGAACTTCATAGGCTTTACCATGTTGGAATGCTTGTCTGTGATTCACAAGGACATCATTGACGTTTGGAACTTCAATGACCCTTACCGTGTAAGATGCATATTGAATTTTAGTCACTGGGTGCTGACATGTTTCTGCGAAGTACTTGGCCAGTGACCAGTTCAAAGGACTGATACTAAATCATCTAGACAAGGCCGACGACGAACCGACGCCAAAAGATTTAGACAACTTGGAGGACGACGAACTGATGGACAAGGCAGACCTTCCACACACAGCACAGGCTTTGTAAGTCATTGGTTGTCGTACTCCGAGACATTTCAATTTACAGAAGCTTTAGCAGCGAATTCAGCCTCGCGACAATCACAGCGGTTTTGACATTGTTGGCTGGCGTGTTGCCACCAATTGCCGCAGTGGTGGCCTTGGTTGAATGGGCTCGTGATGCCTATAAAGATGCGTAAGTGAATGCATATTGTCTCCATCTGAAACGTAGTTTATGAGGTGACCGATCTAGAAATATTGTCTCGCAGAGAATTATGACGTATATCGTGGATTTAACATGTGTCATGCAGATCTTGTTCCTGCTAGTGCCAACAGGGCCTATTTCTCGTCATGTCATCAAAATTGCCATCAAAGCTTATGAGGGAACTTACAAAAACCAAATCCACTTAGCAATCCAATCTCACTGCGTGTCTGCCATTCGTAGAGGAGAGGATGATGCGCTTGAGAAGATCGTTAAATTGATCGAGGATCATTCTATCAAGGCTGAAGAAGTTCGGGGCCTGAGGGCGCGGATTGGACCCGTGGATTTGAAAGCAGACGAAGAGTGGTAGACGATGCGGCCTGCATACATGACAGTGGTCAATAATTATGATTTCTACAAGCGTACCTTGCTTACTATGTGTATAAGTATATCATGATGTACATGCTTGCGTTTACTTATGTCTGACCCAAGGTTTGAGCTTGAGCAATCACGTGTTCTTAGAGTTCTGCAATAGGCGGTGGCGGGTACATTGGCGGGATTAATTGCCATGGTCGTTCGTAATATTGGGTAGGTTTCAAACTCCACCGGGAGTGTTGTTCGTAAAAACAGAATGGGACAAATACTTTTGAATTGCGCGTGGAGGCAAGAGCGATTATATCATATGGTTGTTCTTCCTTGTGGCAGTGAAGGACTCCCTGACTCGGAAAGGTTGTACAAAGCCTTTAGAATTAAATAATAGCAAACAAACGTTTACAGTTCAGCCGGACCGTCATCATAACCGTGACTGTGACACGGTCTGTAAACTTTCAAGGACCAATCTGCATACGGGCGATTATCGGGCAATGATTTTTTTTATCAATTGTGCAAAATCTCGGCGCAAATTCCACGTCTCGAATATATACTCATACCATGGTGCCCGTGGTTACATGGTAAATGCGAGGTGACACAGCCCACTCGCACATTCGATGTCTTATTCCTCGGGTCCTCTCATTCATGGCGTCCGACTCATCAATATCTAGCTTCGTCCGGTTCATCGACCATGTCGTTGTAGATGATATAGGCCACTGGCACGAGGATTTCGACACTGGAAGAGAGCAGCAGAAATGATCACCCAGCATTCAACGCCATGTCCCGCAATTCTGTCAAAGTTTTTCAAATGGCTCGATCCAAGCCATACAGTCACGCATATATTTCAAAATATCGAGTCTTCGACGCCCACCGTGAGTTGTTATACTTATAGCATTCTTGCCAATGCATGTAATTTTGTACGTTCGAGGTGCAGGGTCATTCATCACTTACCTCACGACCGTCAACAACTATATGATCTCATTATTACTAGGGAGTTTTCTGTGATCCGAGAAGGAGCAGGACTAACTCATCGCAGTAGGCACCAGGGAGTCGAAGGAGGGCGGTGGGTGCACAAAAGCGGCAACTCTGGAGGTTTGTCCGTCCTGCTCGTGATTCAGCATTTGGGGCGGATTTATCATAATCAAGATGGACACCAGCCCACCGAATCTACGTGTATAATGACCGGTACGTTTTCTTTCACACTACAATATATGCGCTAAGTTATAAAGTATGATGGACAGTCGGACTCATCCACAGACGTGTACTAAACCTGCCCCACGCTATCTATGAATACACGAGCTCCCGCGGCCCACTACATCAGCCAACATGCACGGGAGTCATTGCTGTCTCCCCTTCGTTCAGACCCTGTCGAGCATTATGAGATGTCACTCATTCTAGAAGGTGTCTCATATCTTGTACATGCTCTTGTTTGCTCTCGCACACGTCTCAAGGACGAATCTTCCGGAAGACCTCGGAAGATCAAGCTCACCTCCATGTACAGAGATTTCCGATGTCACTGCTTTTCATCCAAACGGGTAGGGAAGAGCGAAATTCTGTCATTTCCGTCGTAGTCTGATCATTCATTATAGTTCATATCTCTATTTTCATTGTTCGGCATCGTTTGTTATGTAATCCTTGTGCTTTTATCGAACGATTGAACAGTGGCAACCTCGTGTCTGTGCGAGGGTATGATTAGTTGTCTGATGCAGGGAGATAGATAAGAGATAGGCGCCGTGTGTGGCTGTTGTGTCATAGGTCATGGAGTCCTTCCTTCGTGTTCTTCGCTATCTCGCCACGACCTTGTTCTGTACCACAGGATAGCCTTCACGACTAATCAAACCATCTCTACTTCAAGAGGCACATCAAGGTCTCCCAATGGCAACTATCGATGCCCAAGACCTCCGAGAAAGAATTGGGCGTTTTCGAGTTCTTACCATGGGGAGAAGAAACGCAGGCAAAACAACCATCCTTCAGAAGGTCTGTAACACCACGGATGAGCCAGAAATTTACGATATCAAAGGAAAAAAGGTGCGGGTGATCATTTGTGTTATGTACTCGTCGATCGTTGATCAAATATGTGTAGCTCGATGCTGATATCGTGAAATCCTCGATCAAGGTAGTGCATCATTTGCCCTGTGGGAATACATCCGCTGATGTATATGCTCAGCGTGGAAATCACGATATCACGAACCAAATGGTCTTCAAAAGCAATCCCAATTTCGTCTTTCATGACTCGTGTGGTTTCGAAGCGGGCTCTGAAAAGGAATTCGAGGTCATGATGAAATTTGTCTCAGAACGCACACACGCAAAGAAATTAGAGGAACGAATTCATGCTATATGGTAAGTAACACCCTTCTGACGTTTTGCGCTTGTTGATTGCAATCAGGTATTGTATCCCGATGAGCGACCGGAATCGATTATTCCAACAGTCAGAGGAGAAGTTCTTCTTGCAGTGCGACACTGGGCGCGGTGAGCCTACAGCTTCGTTGACACTTGCCGTGCTCAGACTAAATGATCGATCTTCAGTTCCCGTGGTTGCAGTGTTCACCAAGTTCGACGCTCTGTATCCAGTTGCATATGGAGAAATCAAGAAGCAACTTAAAGGCTTATCGGTAGAAGAACGCTCAAGGAAGATTGCACAGCGCGCCGAAGAACTGTTCACGAACACGGGCGTTTTGAATAAGTTATGCAAGCCTGAAAACCGTGCGCGTCCTAAGTCGCATGTACGGCTGGAGAGTAAGTGATTCAGGTTGACTGTGTCATGTCAAAGTTGATATATTAGCAACCATCCTAGACATGAACGAACCAAATACAAATTGCAACACTCTACTGGAAAGCACCACTCTCGCACTGGATGACGAAGAATTGCGCTTGTGTTTGTTGTCGACACAACAATCAAATCTGGAGCTTTGTATCAAGTGTGCCATCACGTGAGTCGCAGATTTGCAAGTCACATATGTTTATTCCAACATCATCTAGAACACTTGTTGATCGCGCACATCAGCCATTCGGGTCGCTTCGAATCGATTATGAAGTTTATCAGTATGACATTGCTAGGTGGTTTGCACATATCAAAGTAAGACGAAGATTGATCTAATCTGACAATGTCCTGGTACTGGTGCTCACGATGGTAAATATGAAGTGCTGAAACTATAAACACTCTGATATATTTCCCTTGATTATAGTTGTCTTCCTATAACAGCTGGTAAGATTGTGGTTTACGAAGCTCGAACAGCACGGACGATGCTGATGCCTTGCGGATGCTCGCCTGTTTGACAGTGGGTAAGTGCCTTGATGCTTTCTACTGCTCGACTCATGCTCACGATCCCTATGCCTTGCTGCTGCTCGCCTGTTGACAGCGGGTAAATATACTAGTGGTTTCCAGTCCTCCACCTATGCTGATGATCCCCATGCCTCGTTGCTGCCCGCCTATTCACAGTGGGTAAGTGCATTGATGATCTTCAGTCCCGACCCATGCTCACGATCCCTATGCCTCGCTGCTGTCCGCCTGTTGACAGTATGTAAGTGCCTTGATGATTTTTAGTCGTCAACCCTTGTTCATCATTCCGTCGCTGCTGCTCGGCTGTTGACAGACGGTAAGTGCCTTGATAGTTTATAGCCATCGGCTCATTCTCATCATTCCCACGCTTCGCTGCTCCTCGCACTGTTGACAGGAGGTAAGTGCCTTGATGGTTTCTAGTCCTCGACCCATGCTCATGATTCTTATGCCTCACTGCTGCTCACCCGTTGATAGTGGGTAAGTGTCTTAATAGTTTCTAGTCCTTAACTACCCTTACTCATCATCTCCATGCCTCGTTGCTCCTTGTCTGTTTACAGCGGGTGAATACCTTATAGCTTCTATTCCTCGACCCATGCTCATCATCCCTATGCCTCCCTGCTACTCACCTGTTGACAGCGAGTAAGTGCCTTGATGGTTTCTAGTTCTCGACCAATGCTGATGATCCCCATACCTCCCTGTTGCTCGCCTATTGACAGCATGTAAGTACCTTGATGGTTTCTAGTCCTCAACCCATGCTGACGATCCCCATGCCTCCCTGCTACTCACCTGTTGACAGTCAGTAAGTGCCTTGACGGTTTCTAGTCTGACCCATGCTCATTATCCCCATGCCTCGCTGCTGTCCGCCTGTTGACAGTGTGTAAGTGCCTCGATGGTTTCTAGTCCTCGACTCATGCTCATCATTCCCATGCCTCGCTGCTCCTCGCCTGTTGACAGGACTGTATGTGCCTCGGTGTTTTCTAGTCTTCGACCCATGCTCATCATCCCCATGCCTCGCTGCTGGTCGCCTGTTGACAGCGTGTAAGTTCCTTGATGGTTTCTAGTCCTTGACCTATGCTTATGATCCTCATGGCTCGTCACTCCCTACCTGTTGACAGTATGTAAGTGCCTCGATGAGTCCTCGCCGCATGCCCATAATCCTCATGCCTCGCTGCTGCTCGCCTGTCGACAGAAAGTAAGTGCTTTGATGGTTTCTAATCTCTGACCCATGCTCATAATCCCCATGTCTTGCTGCTGCTCGCCTGTTGACAGTCGGTAAGTGCCTTGATGGATTCTGGTCCTCAACTCGTGCTCATGATCCCCGCGCCTTGCTGCTGCTCCCCCACTCACAGCACGTAAGTGGTTATGATGGCTTCCAGTCCTTGACCCATGCTGATGATCCCCATGCCTCGCTGCTGCTCACCTGTTGACAGGACGTAAGTGCCTTTATTGTATCTCATCCTTGACTCATCTCCGTGATCCTGATGCCTTACTGGTGCTCACCTGCTGATAGCAAGTACGTGCTTTTGATGGTTTCTCGTCCTCAACCCACCCATGCTAACGGTCGTTGCTGCTCACTTGTTGACAGAAAGTACGTACCTTTGATAATTTATCATCGTCAACTCATACCGACCATCTTTGCTGCTCATCTGTTGACAGGAGGTAAGTCCCTTCATGTTTTTCTGTTTGCAACCCATGTCGACTGGTCTTGCGTTTTTTTGGCAGGTGGTGGGTGTCTTGATCGTATCTTGTATTGAAATGATACTGAACAGTATAATGGTGTTCACTCATTTTGGTATAGCCTGATGTAAGCATTTTCTATTCTATCAGATGGAGTCGAATCACCATGACTCATATAATGCGTAGTTCGTTGAGTATCTCCCTCGATAGCTTATTTCCCATGTTCATTCATCTTGCATATTTTCTTGCCCTGTGCAGAACGTGAGTCCCCTCATAACTGGAAGCATTAAATGTGGAAACCATTTTGACTGGTTCCTTCATTTTATAGAATGTGAGTATGTTTCAGTCGCTAAGGATTTTAACCGCATAATCCCTTGTGTTCATCACGTGTTCGCAGAATGTGTGTGAATCATCTCCGATATGATAATATTCCACTGATAAACACTCTTATTTAGCTCGTACGTCCATGAATATCATATCTTCACCAATACATAGCGACACTCATCTGGTTTCAACCCCTGACAGTTTGTGAGTTACCTAAGCATTGATACGGCACTTATTCACAACCGTCATGTCAACTAAATAGAATGTGGGTCTTTGTTATTAGTCGAATGTCAATTTATATGATTCTGACATCCCTCTCGCAGGAGGCAAGCAATTTTATCTGTGGAGTTGATTCCGATCCTCACATTTTCAACCTATGCTAGGCCGAAATCGAGCGAGATGCTATTATTCACGTCCTTCAGCCTTTGGTAGGTTGATTTCCCCTCGCACTGATTCTCCGCACTGTAAGAGTGTGCAACAGGTTGCGAAGGGATCACTGCACACATCTGCTATGAACAGAATCATCCAGACTGGCCTTGGTCAGTTTCTCACCGCATGACCAGTTGCAGTCTTGATGACAGGAAGTAGCTACTATTGTCGTCCTCGAATACTCCGCCTTTCTCCCGAATAGCTCGAAGAAGTTGGAGGATGTCGAGTCTGCCGTGGCCTACTACCTGAAATCTCCGACGGTTATTGCAGTAGAGAAAGAAGCGAAAGAGATTTCTCATCGAGGCTACGACAAAGAGGAACTGAGGAAGAAGATTTTGGAGTTCATTCTTGAAAATCGCTTGTGTAAGTCCCTCGCCTGGTTTTGAACCTGGAGGTCGAAGCTTACCGACAGCCTACAGCGAAGGACTTGACAGCAAAGTAGATGATGCTCGAGCCAAGTTTCCTGTTTTTCGATGCATTTCTCCCATGCTATACGCTTGTATTGCATACGATACCCAGCTTCAGCTCCCGAGCGGTGCAGACTGATGTTTCCTTGTTTTCCGATGCTCTTCCTCATGCTATGTACCATACTCGGTAGCATTCAGACTAAAGTACAAGACACATACAAACTAATAATACCATCCTGAAGGATACAACATAGTTGTCGACAATATCCAGTGGAGTCTGGGTTCACATTCGGTAGATAAGCAACCAGGCCGCAGCTTACCATCGTGACAGGCCAACTGTCAACATACTGGCGCCCATATGTCAAGTTGCACAGGCGCTACTTAATATATCACAATGCAATGAGCTGCAACAAGTCTGATATCAGTTGAGACTGTTGAGTTGACTTGTACTTGCTCCTGGCACCCCCCGTGCCGATTTTTTGTACCGTTTTGATGCCAGGGCACGTGCCAGTGCGCAACCGAGTTTGTGTGACGCGTGACAGTTGCCTCCATACATGATGTACATACTACAGTCAGGTTCATGCTTCGTTAATCTCAGTTCTATTCCCAGACTCGGAGCCTGACCGAGACTCCTTACCTATCATTAATTCTATCCCTGTTCGTACCTCTGATTTCCAGACAAGGTTCGAAGTAAACGAATAAGATCCGAATAACAGGCTACCATGAGCTCGTGGTACACGCCGTGACCTCGTTCCACTAAGCGGTGATTATAAGGATCTGTATTAGGCGCCAGAAGAGCACAAACTTGCCTTGACTGTGACCATCGACGTCCTCTACCACTGCAGCAACACCCATGGCTAAGAAGGTCACCCTAAGTAGTGTTTCTCTCATCTTTGCGTTTGTTATCTTGCGTTCGGTTTTCTTCTTCGAACTAATCGCAATGCTCGAATCCTCTATCACAGGTGTGGAACAGCTCTCTTTTCTGATGGCAAGCAAATACAACATCTCCGTTCAAACATGTATTTGATAATTGTTCTCAGGTTATGCCAACAATGTCATTGGTTCTGGTGGGTGATGCATTAACTTAATGAGCTTTCTTTGACCCAAATTCGATTGTTTTGCAGTGAATACCCGTGAGCGTTGTTTTTCACGAAATTTACTCAAGGTTCAATGACAATTACAGTTCTAAAACGCATATACGGTACTGGTTCTGGCGGCATCACTACGAACTACAGCACCACACTCTCTAGTGTCGCCTTCGCAGGTACGTACCTGAGTCACCTTTGTTGATGAGCAATTAAATCGTCCCAGGCATCGTGGTGGGTATGTTTACCTTTGGCTACCTCTCCGACAAAGCTGGGCGCAAATTCGGTATGGTAAGTAGATATCAATTCGATCGATCAACCCACAAGTCATGCTTTTGGAACAGATGTCCGCAACTGGGATCATTGCAGTATTTTCTGGTCTCTCATCTGCGTCGTCTGGTGTTAACCACAACCTTAATGGTATGCTCGCTATGCTTATCGCATGTCGGTAAGTACACGTGCCGGTCCAAGATCATCTCTGCCGCTCATCATCTCTTACACAGCTTTTTTCTTGGGATTGGCGTTGGCGCTGAATACCCTTGTGGTTCTGTGTCCGCATCTGAACAATCGGAGGAAGAGGGCATTGCTAAGAACTCGCAACACCAATGGCTCGTGCTTGCGACGAGTGAGCTGATGTGACGAAACGTCTTTATCACCATTATTCTAAAACGCGCTGCCCAGCCACTATGATCGATTTTGGTTTCGTTATTGGAGCGTGCGTACCATTGGTACTTTACTGGATGTCCGTGCTGCCATTCACTTCCACATCTTGTAATTCATGTCCAACTGTTGCTTGTCAGATTCGGGGACAACCACCTTCGTGCTGTCTGGCGTCTCTCGGTTGGGCTTGGTGTAGTTCCTGCTGCTGGTGTCTTCTTTTGGCGGCTACACATGGAGGAACCTAATCGCTATAAGCGCGATTCAATGAAGCATGTCCGTATCCCATACGGACTAGTCATTAAAAGATACTGGCGTGGCCTGCTTGGCATCTCGCTGGTATGGTTCATCTATGACTTCGTCACGTATGTCGACAACCGCTTCCATGCACTCTGACTAGTCGCTCACATACCTCCAGATACCCAGTATATTGTCAGGCACTTACGGGATACATTATCACTGATTTTTCCTATAGTTCGGACTTTATTCATCCACAATCACCGACACGTATTGATTTCTTTTGTTTCTTGATGTGAGTAGAACTTGACCGTCTTGGCAGCATTACTGGCGGCAGTTCATCCCTCGCCGTCGTCCTTGGTTGGTCCGCTGTGATCAAGTAGGCTTTCACCCGTTCGTGGATCATGCTCCTGTTAACGTAGTTTCACAGCCTGTTCTACATGCCAGGTTAGTCTATTAGACCATGACGAAATTTCAGAGCTCACATTCTGTCTGCAGGCACCATTATAGGTGCCTTCGTTGTTGATCGTATGGGTCCAAAGGTCACCATGGTGAATGGTAATAAGCAGATGTGGAGTGCTTTTTTTTAATCCCATTTTAGATCACTGGCCTTCTCGTCCAAGCAGTCATTGGATTTATCATGAGTGGTTTTTATACCCAGCTGTCACAACACGTTGCCGCTTTTGCTGTAGGTATTTCTCACACAAGGGTCGTTGATGCTGAGTGGTTCATTAGGTGGTGTACGGCATCTTCCTAAGCTTCGGCGAGTTTGGTGCGTGGGGTTGCGCAATCCCTCCGTCTTTTAAACTCTTTTTGCCTAGGTCCCGGAAACTGCGTTGGTGTAGTGGCTGCAAAGTCTGGACCTACTGCTGTGCGTGGCCAGTATTACGGTGTTGCAGCTGCTGCTGGAAAAATCGGCGCATTTGTTGGAACTTGGTGTACGTGTCATATAGTCCTTGTATGGCGGGTGAACTGAGTTGATTCTTTGTCTGTCTAGTGTTTCCGGTCATGATCACAGATTTTGGTGGCTCAGGCTCAACTAAAGGGAACACTGGCCCCTTCTGGGTTGCCAGCGGTCTTGGCATCCTAAGCGCAATCATTGTATACTTTCTTGTGACACCCTTGGACCACGATGGGATGAGGGAAGAGGACGCCAAGGTGCGCAGCTATCCCTCCCGTTACCCACGGCATTTACATACCTTACAACGTAGTTCCGTGAATACCTCGAAGCGCATGGTTTTGACGTCTCACTTATGGGTCTTCGCAAAGCTGAAACCATGCAATATATGGAAGGCAAAGGGACAGGTTCAGCGGTCAAGGTTACTGACTCAGCGACCAAAGTTTAGCTGTGCTGCAAACATATAATTCTGAATGTGTTGAGACGCGGTTGCACTCAGGCTGCGTCAGTGGCATGATCCATTCCGATTTCCTACCTAGTACTGTGATTTTTGTACATGTATGCTATATGGGCTTGTACGAAAAAAAAAATGGAGCCGGGATAAGCCCTCCTTGAAGGAAAAGTGCCAGTAGTCATGAATCAACGAAACTCGTAACTTCGCACTAGCATAGGGATAGTAAACGAGATGACGTCCCAGACGTTCCTAAAACCCAGTCATTATTATGGAAATTTGAAGTGTGTCTGGGTAAAATACTCCGTGCCAATCTCATACCACGGTTGCAACGAACTTATTAGTTTTGGGCGACATGGACTTCAAGACCAAGAGCGTGTCGTTCCAGTGATTGCCGCTGTAGGAAGGCACCTGAGAAAGCACATAGTTTGTGGCGAAGGAGCCAGCCGCCCACCCAATGTAACCGAGGATAGCTACAGATGACACACGTCGATTTGTATCAGGGCACAATAACGTATGAAAAACGTACCATCAGAATGAGCAGCCTGGTAACTAATTTGTTGCGATATGTAGCCGACACAAGAGTTTACGTTCCCACCACCAGTCTCCGAGTTGAGGGCCTGTCGACCGTTTGCATGGAGCCAGGTGGTCAGAGGGGACCATGTGTCGTCAATGCCGTTGGTCACGCACTCAGCGTTGCTGCCACTAAGTGATATCAGCGGATGTATAGGCAAGGGAACTATTGTACTAACGAGCCATCATTGTCGAGGTACTTGTGGACGTCCATAACAAGGTTAGTGTATGTGCCGTCAGGGTTATGCACCGTGCTAAGGGCTTCAGCGGAACCACTGGAAACAAAAGTCTTCGCAGAAGCCCAGTCTGTTCCGGGGAGGAGAATGATCTGAGTTGTAGCGCCAGCTTCCCTGAAGACCGAATACATGATTTTTAATTGACACACCCTGCAGAAATAGTAGAACATACTGACCGAATGGCTGTAACTGCACTCTAGTTCCCCAGAAACATCAGTATCATCTGAAGCTTGTGGACAAGAACCACATACCTGGACTGTAATCGTGAAAGCGGATTGTGTCAGAGGTGAAAACAGAAAACATCCATCAAGAAATTCATACCGGACTCTGCCCAAGCGGCGAGATTCTAGATTCAGCGATCTCAGCATGACCCCTTAAGGATTTTTTGAGACACTAACCGGGATATCATGAGGTTCGTTCATACTGATTATCAATAAGTCAGCAATCTCGACCTGCAACGGCCATCACATACATCCCAAAGATGACTCTCGTCTCGTCCTTCCAGTGCGAGGCAATGTTAGACCAGAGCTCCGCAAATATTTCGTTGCTTGGACCGCCTTGACCAATAACCTATCATCGGATTGAGTATCGTTGGCAGTGTCAGAAGCACGGTTGCTAACCTGCCCATTGTACCTAGCGTAATTGTGTATATCAATCTCACAGTAAGCGCCAGTGCTCAGACAGTCGGACACCAGCATGTTATATTTGGAAAACTGAGTCTCATCCAAGACGCCAGTCATCTGGTCATTAGTGAGGTATTGCCAGCCAACAGGAAGACGGAACACATTGTAGCCGTCATTGACAAAATGTTGCATTTGGCCCAAGCCATCAATACCTAAATAGTATGTTAGAGTTGTGAGAGAGTTCTCCAAAATAGATTATACCGGATAATTGGTAAATAGGGGGAACAGCGTTGGAAGCCACGCAAGTGCCATCTGTGCCACAGCCAAAGTCTATGGAACAGGACTCTGGTCATGACTAATAATTGTAGTAGTACTATAGCACCCACCAAAACCTGCAATATTGACACCGGCGAACTGGAGCGGTGTAGACTTGGATGTCTGGGCGTTGATGAGGATCGTTGTGGCAGCGACAAAAAAATAAAAAGACTTGATGGCCATTTTACGTGAAAAGAATAGGGAATCTGCTGAGGTTTCATCTGATAGTATGGCTGTCCTTATGTATGGGTCAAAGCTTCAGGTGTGTAGAAAGCTTTACCAGTGCTAGGAACAAACACACATGATGTACTCTCAACCGTGACCGAAGTTCGTGCGAGTTCTGCATGAAACTATGCCACTGAGCTGACCCTGTGGTGACGGGATCTGATCACGAAGATACTGAGTTGATCCCATGAGGCCCTATGGTGACGAGAAGAGTCAAATATACTGACCCCATGGTAATGAGATCACAGCGTATCAAGAGAGATAGTATTTGCCAGCAGTCCCCAAGACTGCTTGAATGGAAGATAAGTAGAACAGCGCAATCACGTCGGAATATCATGCAAGTCTATAGGTTTATGCTTTGCGTCATAGTGGACAGTAAGCTTGAGCACGGTCAATGACCATATTATGCGCTGACTAAGATTCTAGGGTCGAACATCATTAACCTCGTGGTTGTCTTTTGATTCGGTCGGCCATTATAGTACTAGTCCCATGGAGTTTTGCTTCTGACTCCACATGGGGGCTCGTTGTAAATTCCCCCGGTACTGCGCACGGACCCTTGACATCGTAATGCCGCATGAACTTTTGGTGGGTTCCACTAGTACTATCTATTGCATAATAATGCTACCATTCGCCAGCAACAACTTTACTGCGCATATCGAGCTCGCTGTGCCCGACGACGAGCAGCCCGTTCTCACTTCGACCATTTAACAGCCCGCTTTTTCCCTTCAAAATCAGTAGATTGCAGCATAGAGGTGAGAACATACATTTTTAGTAATGAGTAACTCGTTGGGGGAAGGTCTAAACACTAGACCATACACTAATCTACTTGCTAGTCTTCGTCATGAGCAGTAGACTGCTCCTGTTCACTATCTTCAATGGTCTCACGGCCCTTAGGTTACCTTTCTGAGCACGCCTCCGCTGCCTGGACCTTGTTTGGTTGTCTTCCCTAGCCGTGTTCTTGCGCTTTCGTGACGGACCTGCCAGTGCATATGAATGCTTTTTACGAAGTTTGCCAATGACTTCGCCTGCTACCTGCTGCCTTTACACATCTGCATTGAAGTTGTCAAGCTCTGACCTTGTCAGGGTTTTCCACGCACAGGTGCCTACTTTTCACGCATCGCGAAGGACTCGCACGTCGAAGACGGTGTGGATGCTCCAAGGAGATGTGAATAGGATGATTGTCGGCCAGTCGTCCATGAGGATGCCGTGCGAAACAACAGGTTTATAACAATGATGGTCTTGTTCGTCATGCGTTCTATCAATAAAAGTGAGCGGCGGAAGAGCCAAAGTTAATGATGATATCTCTATTTAATCATGCAAGAATCAGTCTCGCAGCTTGCTTTTGCATGTTTTTGACACTATCTCACCTGATAATGGAAGAAAAAAACGCCAAGTGCAACAGGCGGATGGAGGTCAGACATGGTCGCCCCAGGTATCTGGCCCTTGATGCTTTGTGTCCAACATCCAGTCGTTCGAGTGTTCCATGCCTGCAGTCGATGTGTTACATTGATCACATTGAGAATATGTGACTTGGTTGATGATGCATATCACAGACGCAGGATGCGAAGAGAATACTGGAAGCTGAATGTCGAACGTTGAACAATGAGCATATGGAACTATTAATTAATCACTTCACACTGACATGGGGATAGTAAACGGGATGACGTTCCAGACGTTCTCAAGCCCGGTCATTATTACAGAAAGTGTCTAGGTTAAATGCTCTACTTCGATGTCATGCTACAGTTGCAACAAGCTTATTAGTTTTGGGCGACATGGCCTTCAAGACCAAGAGCGTGTCGTTCCAATGATTGCCGCTGTAGGAAGGCACCTGAGAAAGCACATAATTTGTGGCGAAGGAGCCAGCCGCCCACCCAATGTAACCCAGGATAACTACAGATGACACATGTCGATTTGTATCAGGGCACAATAACGTATGAAAAACGTACCATCAGATTGAGCGGCCTGATATCTAATCTGTTGTGACATGTAGCTGACACAAGAGTTTACGTTCCCACCACCAGTCTCCGTATTAAGAGCATGGCGACCATTTGCACGGAGCCAGGTGGTCAGAGGGGCCCATGCATCCTCAATGTCGTTGGTCACGCATTCAGCGTTGGTGCCACTGAGTAATATTAGCATAGGCATAGGCAAGGCAAAGATTGTACTGACGAGCCGTCGGAGTCGAGGTACTCGTGGACGTCCATAACAAGGTTAGTGTATGTGCCATCAGGGTTATGCACCCTGCTAAGGGCTTTAGCGGAACCACTGGAAACAAAAGTCTTCGCAGAAGCCCAGTCTGTTCCGGGAAGGAGAATTATCTGAGTTTTAGCGCCAGCTTCCCTGAAGACCGAATACATGATTTTTAATTGAGACACCCTGCAGAAATAGTCAAACATACTGACCGAATGGCTGTAACTGCACTCTAGTTCCCCAGAAACATCAGTATCATCCGAAGCCTGTGGACAAGAACCCACATACCTGAACTGTGATGGTGAAACCATATTGTCAGAGGTGAAAACAGAAAAATCCATCGAGAGATATCATACCTGACGCAGCCCAAGCGGTGATGTTCTGGTTCAGCAATCTCAGTATGAACCCTTTAAAAAATTTCGAGATACTCGCCGGGATATCATGAGGTTCGTTCATACTAGTTATCAGTAAGTTTCATCAATTTCTAGTTGCAGCGGCCATCACATACACCCCAAAGATGACTCTCGTCTCGTTCTTCCAGTGCGAGGCAATGTTAGACCAGAGCTCAGCAAATATTTTGTTGCTTGGACCCCCTTGACCGATGATCTATTGTCGGATTAAGCACGGTTTGGAATGACAGAAGCACGGTCACTAACCTGTCCATTGTACCTGGCGTAATTGTGGATATCGATCTCACAGTAAGCGCCAGTGCTCAGGCAGTCGGACACCAGCATGTTATATTTCGCAAACTGGGTCTTATCCAAGACACCGGTCATCTTGTCATTGGTGAGGTACTGCCAGCCAACAGGGAGACGGAACACATTGTAGCCGTCCTTGACAAAGTGCTGCATTTGGCCCAAGCCATCAATACCTAGGGGGTATGTTAGAGTTGTGAGAGAGTTCTCCGAGGTAAATCAAACCGGATAGTTGGTGAATGGGGGGAACAGCGCCTGAAGCAACGCAAGTGCCATCTGTGCCACAACCGAAGTCTGTGAAACAAAAATATAGACATGACAAGTAACGGTGATAGTATAGCACTCACCAAAGCCTGCAATATTGACACCTGCGAACCGGAGCGGCGCAGACGTCTTGGCATGAACGAGGACTGTTGTGGTGCTAACAACAGCAGCGACAAAGGAATACAAAAACTTGATGGCCATTTGACGCGAAAGAAACAGGGGATCCGCTGAGTGTCCATCCGATACAATGGCTGTCTTTTATAGCTGAGTTAAAACGTTCATTATGGTGTAGAATGCTTCGCCAGGAACAGATATGCATGATGCGTTTTCAGTCAGGACCAAAATTTGCGCAAGTTCTACATGACATGACCCTATGATGATCAGGATTCAGAAGAGTTATCCCTAAATCATGAAAATATGCTGACCCCATGGTAATGAGAAGACTCATCTCTGAATAATGATGACAATCACGACGCAAGAGCGAGAACAAATATTTGCCAGCGGTCCCTAAGACTACCGCGACAAAAGGGAGGCAGATCAATGCAACCACGTGAATTATGCTTGCCATCATAGAGTGGACATTTACTTATGATTTAAACGCTGGGGCAGTGGACTCTGGCCAATGATGAACAGATGAGCTAGCTTCGGGTGGTGAATCCTAACTGGATAGCCTCTGCACGTGCAAGTGGTATTTCCTTGATATGGCCCACGGTACTTACCATATAGTTAGATTGACAAATTCTATGTTTTGGTGGTAGTGGTGCCTGGTGGTAGTTCAGATCCCAGGTAAAGATTACTGCCGAACGACCGTCGACAACGCAAGTAAACGTTGGCGATATTATACTTTCGGTGAATGGTCGCTCCACTATATGCAGTAGTGATATAACAAATCGATCATCCAGGACCACGACAGCACCGCTTGTTTGTCGATATTGCTGTATTGATTAAGATGTATATTGCTCTCTGGTCGAAACGAGGTCGCTAGTGCCATCATGGACGCTCCCATGGAGAGACAAAAACTGAGCGAGGAATATCATATGTATCTTGCAGAGGTGCAACTCGGGAGTTGAAGTTCGCGAGTGAGCCGAAGTGTTGAGGCTGCCGCGTTTGCAGGGGCAAAGTTTGATACTTATGTAAGCAATTAAAATAACCGAAGTTGCCCTAATGTGGGGTCTGAGTCACGTTCTCAACGAGATTATCATGAAACATCCAAAGAACATTTTAACTACCCCATCGTTCAGCTGTTCGTCCGACAGCGGCCTTGCAGTACTCGTATATATAAGGTACTTAATTTGATTACATTAAAAAGTTTGTGGATTGATGATTCGCATCATAGACGTCGACGCAGGATGTAGATTTAGTAAAAAAATGATCACGGAGTTAATTATCATAAGAATCATGAATCAATTACTTTACGCTGGCATGGGGATAGTAAACGGGATGAACCAGGACATTATTACAGGAAGTGTATCTAGGTAAAATGTCCTACATTAATTTCATACAACGGATGCAACGA